CCCAGAAAGGCACTCATCTTTGAGGAGTTCACATTCATTGCTGTATTGTTTTCCATTGCAAAATCCACACACTGGCTCATGCTTGAAACCAGCACAACTTTGAGAACAGCTGCACATAGGAAAGCCATCATTCCCTAAGGTACAAATCTCGCGAAAGCCACACTTCTTTCCTTTACAAACAGCTACATAATAGAAAGTAAATAAAGTAATAAAATAGTTAATCTAACTGATTCTCTTGATCTGATCTTCAGACCTGTGCCTGGGTTTCTGAGATTAAACTGCAAAGGAAAATTTATCAACTAGTCAATGAAGGATATCCTTCTTTGATCCAAATCACATAGTCATACAACAAGAAGGCCACATTAATAATTAACATTGTGGATAAACTTACCAGGTTTACATGTGCCTACTCCTGCCCCATAATGCCCACCCCGCACCACACATTTCAGACCAGCATCACAACGTCCCATCCTCTCCAACTGCCCACCACATAATTCCCCTTCAACCTTTGCACAAACACTACAACAGCCACCTCTAGAATTTACCACACCTCCCTTGCAATTGGTAGGAGGAGAACACTGTACCCGTTTGCATGGAAGACACGACAGAGACATCAATGGGGTCAGTGCCACTAAAAAGCTTCCAATAAGCAGCAATCTAGCCTCCATTTTCACAAAAGTCTAAAATAAAAAGATTGTAATAATTATTAGTGTCAATCCAACAAGTAGTACAATAAAAATATTATGATCATCGACTGTACACTGATTGAAAGCCCACCACCTGTGTTACAAATACCTTCCCACAAATAATGGTCCATGTGTGTAATTATCATTTTAATAAGTTACTTGGCACAAACAATATTCTGCAGTTCTGTAAATGATAGGTCACTTCCTCAAACTGAAAGAGTGATCTGACATCATAACCTGATTAAAAAAAACAGCTTACATTACATGAACCTGGTAATAAAGGGTGCCAGCAATGTACATTAGTTAGAAATATACTAAAATAGAGAAACAACTAGAAAAAAACAATAAGAAATGAAAAGCCATGATAACCTACAGCTTCCATTGTTGGGAAACAAAAATTACAAATTATTAAGCATGCATTTTGTCCCAAGGTGGTTCACTTTGTGTACAATCAAATTGAACCACTAGGGACAAATGAATTGGACTGGGATATAACCATCTATTTAAGGAAAGTTAAATAGATGGCTGGTATTCAATTTATGTACAATCAAATTGAACCACTAAGGACAACTGAAGGACTGGGATATGACCATCTATTTAAGGAAAGTTACAATCCTGTATCCTTTTTTCGACAAATTTCCCCCATGTATGGCTTGCTGCCTTCATACTTCATACATATTTTTCACTTTGCTTATTTGATCATAAGTTTCCCAGGTGGAATGTTGAAAAGAAAACTTAAATAACTGACATTGATAAAATTATGATGCACAGAGAAACAATGAAATATTGAATGCATTAAATTAAATATTTGACCAGTAATTAATGATTGTATGAATGTAGAACGAGCCAGTCTGCTTGAATTTTTCAGAATAAGGAAATAAAGAAACCTCTAAATTAGCGAGTCACATGAATTTTGAGGACTGGGACCATGGAGGAAAACACTGGCATCTAAGCTTTCACTTAACTGTCTGTCCTTAAATGTTGTGCACTTTTTTTGCATTTACTTTCACATTTAATATTTAGCTTCATTTTAAAATGCAATTGTAAGGTTGATGTATTTTTTAATTCTTAGTTACTCCACCCTGCAAAAAGAATTAAACCAATAAACCATTCTAAGTCCAAAGATACATACAAATACATACATTCAAACAATTTGGAGTATTGTGTTTAGCATCCCTTGAATATCTTTATGAGGAAGAGTTTCATCAGATTGAATGTAAGGTTTGAAAACAAGGGAAAATCATTGCTGGGAAAAATTTGAGATGGATTATAATGTCAACAATTATAGCCTTCAATCCTGCACCTAAAATAGAATCTCCCATTAGCAATTACTCATGATCTATTCTGCCTTACACAATCTTCTAGGGAAGACTCGATTGTTCTTTTAAATGAAGGAACATTTAATATCTAACAAAATAAACTTTCTCAAAATGAAAAAAAAATTGAGTAAAGTGCACATCAAATTAATACTTCCTACCTAACTATAGAATAACCTTACAAAAAGTTAGAAAAATTAAATGCATAATTGAATTCAAATTCAGTTTAGGTTAGAAGCTCCTGACTATGAACAAGACATTATAACCAGAGAATAAGATACTAAAATTTTTTGTCTGTTAGTTCTAAATGATTGGAACACTACTGAACATTCTGCAAAGTCAGGTCAAATTTTGGGAAATATCCACCAAAACACATGACCAATGAGTCCATCAGATTTCCAAACCAGGCACTTCTACTACATGTAGAGAATGTCATACTCAGACCTTAACTTTAATTCAGCTGCATTTTCATGGTGACAGCAAACTGAAGTCAATTGAAATACAATTCCCTATGTTTCTACTTAATGCCATGACCATGACAAGGAAAGAGGGTGCCACACCCTATTTAATGTTGCCTTTACTAGTATCTCAATATTGAAATCAAGGGGAAACAATAACCCTCAGAGGAAATATATATTCATCTTTTAGCTTAAAGACAGTCTGTGTTTGATTGACACTAATGGAAGCCCCAAATATTTTGGAACAAATTGTTTTAATACATTGTCAACATGACGTTGACAATGTGGACATTGGAATGCTGTCAATAGAGAGTTAAATTACTCTCTCAAACAAAAAAGGCTTCCACTGACTGTAAAACTTTAAGAAAGAGTATTCTTGAGTAAATATCCGTCTGCAACATTTGCATCCTATTAATGACAAATAGTAGTATGAGCGAGAAATTAATTTCCTTTGTTCCTATTAACAATAGTCCAAGGCATATAAACTGGATTCAGAGAAAAATTTTTGGCTTTCTTGTAGACTGAGGCCATCCCTTAAACTACTTTGTTTCCAATTCCCCTAACCTACCCACTTTTTAGAAAATGTAAAAACTGCGAATCAACTGTCTGAACTGTTTGTGCAGCAAATTTTTTAAGAGTGAAATATTTCACATTCTCGCTATATTTCAATGGCAGGTGATTGAGAAGTGCTTGAGTAAGGAAACTAATTAGCAAGGGAATGCACCCATAAGCGATATCCCCTTCTTCTTTTTCTGGCCTGAACAACCAACAGACATACTTTGACAAAGTGAAGGTGATGGGCGTCAACACGGTAACATGAGGCCAAGTGCAACTGTACTTAAACAACAATGCCTGGCCCCCTTAAATCAATTTTTGGCACGAATTAATCGGTTGGCGAGACCTCTTCTTCCACTGTTGATTTCTCTGTAAGTTCAGACAGCAAAGGTCACAGTTGATACGTTTTGGCCGACTGCCACATTATTGTAGGACGAAACCCGACCCCAGCAGCGCGTCCTTTACCCGCTCTATTATTCAAAACCAATTTTTGGAAGAAATCTCTCATGTCATTGGAAATGTTATCTCTTTCTGTTTAATAAATGATAATGTAAGTCAACAAAAGTCTTTTCCGGGAAGAATGTGAGCAACTGAGAATTATCCAATTTTATAACGAAAGCTTTTGATGTATTTCGGGCGCAAACAATAATCTGATAGCATGCTGAGAACTTCGCTTTAGCTAAAAAACGCAAACGATAAAGACGCTATGGTATGACAACTTCGCGAGTATTGGGAATTCAAAAAGGTTGTGATAGTCCTATCTAGAGATATGTAATAGATCCTCAGCAAAACTAGGCAGAGCAGACAAGGAAATTGTCGAACGAACGGAAATCCGATTAAAACTGACTCGCACTTCTTCTTTGGTGCGTGCGACAAGCTGCATGTATTTAATGAAAAATGTTCTTTGATGCTTCGGGTCAGTTCGTCTCTTTCAAAATCCTATTGTAAAAGACTTAATCACAGAATTACCAAATTAAAACCACTCTAAAGCCCAAAGCCCCTGCGTAGCGATCCTAACTCAGAACGTCCTGTTAGCGTTCTTTTATTAGCAAGTTGTTGAATTCATTTACAAAAGATTACGCTCATGTACTCAGCTGCATGTCATAAAGATCTACAACATCCACTCCCTCTCTATACACTGTACAAATACACCTTACCTTACTGATACAGTGACTCTCATGTAACGACCTTTACAAGAACGTTCTTTCTGTGAACACTGAATCAAAATTCTCGTAGATGATGCGCAACGTGGGAAACTGATACGATATATGTCAAACTCTTGACGTCGATGTATTTAGAGCCCGGGGAATGTCAATCAGTTACAATGACTAGTGGAGGTCACGTCATCATGTCCTTACAAAAATAATTAGAGATCGGCTCTAATTGGATTTTTTTTCGGAACTGGACAGGAATAAATATTAACAAATTGAAGAGGATCGACGTATGACTCAAATATTTAGGTTATGCCCGGTGGGAGAGACGATTAATTTCAAAATTTGTAACAGAGAGACATCAGCTTAGATGACCAGAAAGAGGAGAGAAAGACAACGAGAGTGGAACGTACATTAGCTTTTTTCAAGTCAGTCGTTTAGGTTTGTACCGATGGTCACCCAAAACTCTCCCTCATGCTCTGAACAAATAGATCAGCAGGAGGTGGACCAATATAAGATGATTATAAAGGTAATAATAACTCACCACTTCTAATCATTTCATTATATGGGGCTCTTTGCCATCAAACGATTTCGCAATTCGAAAGGGAGATGATCTTTTCGCTGAGGCGAGGAGCCAAACACGAATAATTTACCAATCTTTTTCCAGGCTTTCCCTATTTTTCTTCCTCTCTAAAGTTTTCCTTTATCGCCTAAAATGGCCCGAGTTACCATTTGTGTCAAGCCCGTCATCGCTGTATAAAGGGTCTGTTTAAAAATAGTTTGTGATGGTCATTCCTGAAAACTTTGGAAGAAAAAGCTCTCAACAGCAACAACAACAGTAACTTTTTTTAATATGATAAGCAGCTATTCGGTAGCAAAATAATTGTCACCAAATCATGCTTAGAATGTCATCTTTGCAAATTATTCACAATCGATGCTAACTACAAAATCTTAAGAAACTATGGATGCCGTCTAATTGTTAATGTTGTAAGAAATAACTGCAGCTGAACTCCAAAGGGGATATAGTTTGTACTTGCCACAGCTATCGCCCTGCGCTAAGCTCGATAGTGCTAAGTGCGCGTTTGGAAACCTGTGAAAATCCCAAGACTGCGACGAATACTCTTATTGACTTGTCAACAGCCGTGGACAAGCTCATCAAAATGTCTCTTACATTTCAAAAGCCACATCAGGTTTAAAAAGAACAACGACAACAACTCGTCGTTTTATGAAACGTGGTAATGTTTTTAACTCATTGTTTGATATTCTGCAGCTAAAGGTACGTGTCAGTGCTGTGTTCCTTCTCTTCCATTTTGCCTACAGTTTCTTCCTTGTCATTCGGAAAATCTTTGTCAGAATGTTGTTGTTTATGGGTGAAAGCATCAAAATGTTCTTTGTTTGTTGTTTGTTTTTGTTCTTGTTGCTGTTTTAAGTTTTTGTTTTGATTGTAGTCCAATTGTTGATGGTTTATGTCTTGGTGGGGAGGACGTTGTCTCTGGTTTTTCATGTCGCTGCGGTTCCCACGCTGTTCCTTGTCCACATTGTACGGTACAGTCCAAGGACTGCTCGATCTCGTTCCTGTTAAGCTGAAGAGGCGTTTTACCCGGTTGGACGCTCGATGTGCATTTTTCTTGATCTGAAACACAATAAATGTTTCATTACGGCATGATGGACGTTATTTTCCAGTAAGTGATAAATTGTGTGAATTGCAACGCATGATAAAGAGAAAATTGAGTTCATTTTCCCTATTTATTTGATGATACTTACCTCGTCATCAAACCAGTATTGAGCTATCAGGAAATAGAGCCCCTTAAACAGTAAATGGATAGAAACATGAGCTAATTGAAAGATCTGTTAAAACTAACTGATTTCTGATCTTTCAAACTACTTTTTGCCTGCAAACGATTAGAAGGACTTCTCACCTGCATGGAGTTTAAAACAGCAAAGAGATATTGGAATACTAGAGAAGTGTTGTGGATGGAAATGAATCCGAGCAGCCATGTCACACCCAACAGCGGAACTAGAATCACCAATGTCTTAAACGCTGCTCTGTAGAAAAAAGGGGAAAAATTGTGAAGCAAACTACGGATTCGTGCATATTAGACGATAATTTCGAACTCATTTAAAAGAGATGCCAACTTCCCAACACGTGTGGAAACAGGTTAATCTCTCACGTCACCACTAGTTCGTCTACATAAAAAAATATGCCATTGACTCAAATCGATCTCTATTTAAATTACGCGTTCCATACAAAAGAAGATCCCTCAGAGAAAATGAACCGAAGACCTAGCGATAGAGACCTTAGAATTATCATCAACGAGAACTTGAAGTAATCACCCCTGTTTTCCTTAAATTTAACAAGGTCTATAGGCCCACCTACCTCATTTCGAGCTCTAAAGCTGACATTTTCGGGGATCTTTCCTTGTAGCGAGCCCTCTGCACTACAGTTTTGATGGCTACAATCAGCGCAATCACGTTTACCTGCAATCCGGTAATAGAATATCACCTTACCAAGGAGTTGAGAAATTATTTAACCGACAAGAAAGTTCTGGACCAAAAGGAGACAAATTTGTTTTCAAAACTGCGAGTATTGTCTTTTATCAGTTTGCATTTCTTGTGAAAAGGTGTTGTAATCGCATTATTCTTATTCGAAAATACTACTGCACCGTAAAAACTGTTTTTATTAACCCCAACCCCCACCCCACCCCACCCCACCCCTCAAACACTTAAACATTGACGTGTTTCTTGATCTCAATATGCGACACACGTGAGGGGAAATAAAAAAATTTACCACAATTCAAATATTTGCCCCGCCGGGCAACATGATGCTTGGAATTCAACCAGTATTTCGGACAATGTATTTTGAGGAAAAATCCCCTTTTCTTTGTGTGTGCCATTGTTGACAGGATACTTTATGTCCAAAAAATCACGACATTAATCGTAACTTCCGACTTTCTCTCTGTTTATCTTTAAGTTGTTTGCGACGTCGTTTGCCATAGTCTGCTTCGTGTACTCACCCAGCAGTATAATCCCGAGCAATTTTCGTTTGTTGAGGGATGGAGTACATTACATCTGATACATTTAGCTCGCGTAATGTTGGTAGCGTGGTCATGTGTTATTCATGAACAACAGATACCTCCCTTACCAATAATATAAATGCCACTGGTCCAGCAAATGACCATATGACTTGATGAGAAATCCAACAACTATAGAAAAACCATGAAATGCAAAACAATTAAGCCCTTATTTGTTTCTCTTATCTTCATTTCATTCTTTTCCTGAGGCGGAAATATCTCTTTTCTCCTAGCGCCAATGAGAGATACAAAGACAGTACAGGTTTTGTGCCAAGGAAACATGTTCACTTGTTTTTGATCTGCTGGATTGCTCGGCTTGTTTAAAACTGGCCTTATTATTTTGGACAATAACCATGGTAACGGGAAAGTTCGCTTTAGCTCAGTTGAATAGATGGAAAATTAATTACAATCCAAGAATTTTTTTAGAACGACACTTTGCAGTACATAGGTTTTGTCGTCTGCAAACACTGTGAAGTAGAAGTTTTCAAGTTCCTTGTTTACAATTTATTTATATTTATCTTTGCCTTTCCGCAACCAGTTCATTTTATGTCATTTTTTCTATTCAGGTGTACCACCACGCGATGATGTTAAAAGATCCAACTTACAAGTTATCTCTTACATATTGGTGGCGGGAGATGCTTGCTGTTACTGCCACAACGACAGCGGGCGCACCTAATAGGTAAGGAACATTCATTAACGCAGACTTCTTTAAACCTTTAACCCCTAAGAGTGATTAGGATCTTATTTCTCCTTCCAATATCACCGCTAGATCAAACATTAAGATCACCAACTAAAGAAACTCAAACAAATTCTCCATGTCAGCATCTTAGGAAATGTTTAGAGAAGAGTATAAAGAACATGCTCACTAATGTTAGGGTGTAAAGGGTTAGCTATTTCTTTTTTTGCCTGATTATGACCAAACTACGTTTAGTTACACTGTCCCTACCTCACCATGCCACTGTCCCTACCTCACCATGCCACTGTCCCTACCTCACCATGCCACTGTCCCTACCTCACCATGCCACTGTCCCTACCTCACCATGCCACTGTCCCTAACTCACCATGCCGTCAGTATTCAGTTTGAGATCCAAAAATAAATGACGTTTTCATCATTTGAGGGATTATGCCCCCCGTCCACCCACCCACTCACAAGTAGTTATTCTTTTATCTTTCCTGAAAGGGCTATCACGCAGGTATATCAGATTGCTAAGTAAATTGATCTAATTTTGACCTGTGGCAGGTGCACTTAAAAACTCTTACTTAATTCGAGATAATCTGGGTTGAAACTTTAATCTAATACGCCAAAAATATGCCTACCCCAAGCAAAGAGGAAATAAGTTCTCACTTTACTGGTGACTCGGAAAACTTTCACCATACCACGGAGAAGATTGATTCCCTCGACCATCATCCAGAAAAACGCCGCCAATTGAAAATAATGGAGAAGAACGGCAAAAGCGTAACAAACAGCCTTTACATAAAACAAAAAATAAAATAAATGAGTTCGTGGAACTCCCTTGACTAAGAAACGACTACTGACATCAAAAGATTCGCAACAGAACTCGATATTGGCGACTGATATTAGGTTACGTTTCCGCTTTCAAAAATTAGTACAGTAAGTATGAATTTCGCACTTCCAAACTTACCTTTATTCGAGCTCCAGGATAGGCGATAAGAAAAAAGAAAATGGCGAAAACCTCAGCTGCGGCTAGGTTTATGTGGATGTTTAGAGTCTCTGTTCGCCTTCTGAATACGGATAAAATTTCAAACACCGTAGTGTTGAGAGGATTAGTGATTGTTATAGGATTGAGTTAAGTATAATTAGTAATCGTGTTTGAGCGCCAAGATTACACGGCTCGAGTTGAGACGTACTTAATCTTATTATTAATTGATCGGGTCAATAACAAATCGGATTTGAATATGATGAGTTTTAACACTTTTAAACCAGTAGTGATGAACAGGTTACTAAATATCTAAAGAAAATAGAACCAGTTAGTTTCATTTGATTTTGTTTCTCGTTTGGAGCCGGTCAACCTAGACACGAAATAACTTTTTGCAGCCTTGATTTTGACTGATAAGAGTGGTAAGGGTCAAGGTATTGCTGAATCTCGCTGGCTGGAAACATCAGCTGCTTAATTAGTGATTGACTTTTGGACAGTCACGCCCATGAGAGACAGCTTCTTGTTAAATGGGCCACATTTGAGAGTTCTGGTGACAGAGGCGCATTATCCAATAAAATGAAAGCAGTAAATGTGATGGCTCTTGGGACACAATCGGCTCAGCCTACATTGTACGTTATTATCCAGATAATCACTATTTAAAATTTAACAGATCACATGCATTTAAGGGTCAGAGCAGAGCGCTTTCTTGACAACAGAGTGAATCAAAAGTAGCACATAATAGGCACAATTTAAAACTGAACAATACCTTAGGAAGAAAAATGCAAACAACAAGATGATATAACAAACTAAGGCGATCAAACATCCCACAATGGACACGATGGACAGAATAGTCTTATGCTCTTCTGAAATAGTATCACCTTCCTACAAGAGATGGAAGATATGTGAGTCTGATATACCCTGAATATATCATAACCAAATAATGATCGCATAAAAGAAATTGAAGTACAGCCTAAAACTATCAAACTATTTCACGGATAAGGGCTATGCGTTTTCCCGGTCACCAAGATTGTTTAATCTGTTGCCACCCAGGAAACTGCACTTAATCAGCTTAAGAACACTCTTTTAGGAACAAAGGAACATTCTGAACTCATGATTTTTCCCAGTGTTGGAATTTACGGTCTTTAAGGCAAGAAAAACATGACTTCATTCTAAACCATATCAAAACAATTATTGTGCGAAATAACAGTGGTGTGTTCGAAAAGACCTCTAACAATGACGGTAAAAATATAAAGTTTGTTCGTAACATCTAAGTCGGATACATGTTTGGTAACATGATAAGAATTAGTCTTACGCTTACGCTTAGCTTAAGGAAATACAAAATACTAACAGAAACAAATTAACTCAACCAGTATCATGTACTCTTTCACGTCTGAAGTAACACCCTAGTCTCACGAATCAAGCCGTGGTAAGTTGTTAGGAGCATGCATAGTAGTCTCAGGAGCATCTTTTGATGAAAGTAAAAAGTTAATAGTCAGCGTTCTACGTGTTCAACGTACATAAGCGCCATGTACATCCATAAGTACAGCAAAGCTTGTCATGTGATAACAGTGGCACACTGTGTGTGATGAGCTGACCTCATAAACAACACACCCTGATGAAGACCAAACTGGAGGGCTAAAATCAAATAAATAAAATTCGACTTTAAATTATTCATTAATGTAAATCAGTGTATTGTCAAGTTACGCCTTAATGAATTTGGAAAATCTTTTAAAAAGTCCATAAATCGCTGAAAGCTCACTCGGACACATCGGAATAAACATTTCTGCAGGTTAAAAAACATGTCCTCATCGAACTCAAAAAACAGAGACACCACTGTTTTGATTTTATTCGTCTTGATTAACAAACTCGAAGTATCAATCCATGTATGCTTCGCCTATAGCTTCCTTTTACCTTTTACTTGCCGCACAATACGAGTCTTGTTGTCTATTTAAATCATTTTATAACCCATGTGGTGACGTGATGGTCTGTTTCATTTAATAAACACTTACTCAGTGGTGACATCGAGATACACACACTTCCGTACGCCGTCAGTATTCACCTGGCAAAGGGAATTAGGACAAGACATAAGGATGGAGTTTAATATAAAATAAATATATATATATATATATATATATGTTAAATATCAAAACACTGTGTGAACACCGTTATAACGTAAAAGTCGACTTCATGATATCTGCATGGATCGAGTAAGAAACGTGACGTGTCTTCAAGGTATCAATAAGCCGTAGCTGAAATCTAAGCGCCACAGATACCACACGGGCCATACGGGCCATACAGGCTCATTCTATCTCTTTTCCTTTTTGTGCCAAGTGGTAGATTCACATAAATGTCGGTAATGCTCAAGGATTAAGCAAGACTTCCTACAGGATAATAAGCGATTGTGAGATGTCGTGGGGATTTTTAAAAAACATCAGCTGTGGTGCTTTCGCGATGACGAATAGCCTGCGTAGCTGGCGGTTTTTTCGGGCGCTCGATAAAAAGAGATGGGGACCGCGATAAAGACCTATGCGAGGAAAGTATTGAATTCAGTACCTTAGAAACAGCTGACAGATTTATTACAACCGGATGACTCAAATTATTAAATCTACTCCCATTGTTGAAAAGTATTGTGCTTGACATAATTCCTGAGTCCATGACTCTGTTGAAATGCAACAAGTATATGAATAAGCAGATGACTTCCATACAAGCTCCTTAAGTATGGTGAGGCTGGCACTAGTTTTACTAGTTTTGCATCCAACATTACCTCTTGCATTTTAAATTTCCATGAGAAACTTTTGGTGTTCCCCATTATAAAATAACCGAGATAGAACATGTACTCTGATTGGTTAGAAAACTCACGTTTATAGCGGGACAGGTACACCTACAGGCATTTTGTAATAGCAATGGCTTGTCAACAGGTGTTCATGGATGGACATGGTTTATCGAAATCCCCAGGTTTGCATCGATTTATCCCAAGCCCATGGTATCTGTGCTCATGAATTTACCCGAAACCAGAATTATGATTAGTGAACGCATTTTCATGGCAGAATTTGATCAAAAGAACCAAAGAGATGTATTGAAAACGGGCATAAATTTCATTAACACGGCGTTTGTAAAGAAATTTTAAGTAGCGAAGTAGAAGGGAAAGAGGGAGAGGAAGACCAGGCGTTGAGTGGACAGCTGGCATTAAGGTGTGTCTGGGACCCAGGAAAGAGAAGGATGGAGAATCATGCGGCCGCAACCCCCGGAAGGGTTTGCGAGAAACCATTTTCCGTAAAATCTTTTGTATATGATGACCATTTAATGTGCAACCAAACATTTGGTCTTTGCACTTATCAACTTACTTGCGTGCTTGAGGATCCGCTGTTACGCTGATATCGGAAAGCAGTAAACTGACGATAGACACTCCGTCTAAACAGATGGGCTGAATGAGTTACTGATATTACTGACAACTCCGAGACAGTAGGCTAGAGACTCGGGTTTAAATATAGAGTACCTTGATCCTGTGCTCTCCATATAAGAGATGATGGCAAGTTGATGTTATTGGTCTGTTCAGCATCTTTTGGAAAAGATACGGCTTCCGCACTGTTTTCTGACGACACAGGGGGCAACATGTCCACTGCGAGGACTATGAGACAAATAGCAGGGAGAAAGAGGAAAATAATTGCAAATTAACTTTGACTTTGAAACTGGTGAGGGGTCTATTGGGCTGAAAAACTTGAGTTTTCATACTCATCAAACCCTTCTTATGGACAATCTTCATATCTTTCGGAATAAAGTTTTTGAAGTCATACTGAATGTTCGTCCTCAATGCTAATTTGCTTCAGGCTTTAATCGATTTGATCTTTCCCCCAAACTCGCTGTGATATTATGATATAAGAGGTTTTGGGCAAAATTCAATTTTCAAGGGTCAAGCAAGACTTAGCCGGCAATCATAGTTAGTTTGTCAGCTTACAGAAATGTCAGTGACTGGCCTAAGCTGAGTTACGTTGAGAGAAACAACTCCTTTTCAACTGCTTTTCAATCAAAAATAAAACTTGATCTTTGAAATCCTCTGTGGTTCAATTTTGTTACTATAAATGGGAAGTAATATAATTCCATGCTCTTCCTATGTAGTATTATTGGATGCACCCCTCCCAGCTTAATTTAAAATAAATATCTTACCCTCCATGTATAAGCTTGAAGGATGCTCTTTTCAGGCACACTTTACCGAAATTCAAACATGTGATAACTCAGTCAGTTTTATCATGATAGAACTGACTTTTTTTCCTCTGAAGTGATTCGATGGTTTACCATCATCGCTCAATTTTGTGTCGTTAGTTATGGAACAATATTACTACCCTTTCTCCTCTACAACCCTAACCTCCCCACCCCTAACCTCCCCACCCTCCCCCTCCCCATGGAGGCGAAAAGACACCGACTCACCCAAAGATTCAGTGTTTATCTGGATACTTTTCGGTTCAGTGACGCCGCCTTCCCCTCTCATTAATCCTCGAACCAATAACTCTCCTATTTTTTCACTCATTTGAACGACCTGTGAAATTTGATCTAAGGACTAAAACAAATAACACAGTTACGACGTTTCATAGGTGGCTTCTCTGCGTTAAAGAGTTTAAAAAATATATAAATGAATGATGAAAAATAATGAGGCATTTATTACTGTTATAAAGGAAGTGATCAAATTAGCACCATCTATGTAAGCCCGAGGATGTCCGAGGAGGCATTGTTAGGCCGCAACAAGCAGTTGTCCATGACTGCTTATTTGGTGACGTACTTTTTTGTCACTTTTTGGTAAGAAAGACTCCTCGTCACCGCCATTGTCGACTAAAGAGCGCATTCTGTAGCTGTAGTATCATTTTTGCCAATCACTGTATGATAAATCGTTTTGAATATGGATTGAAATTACCAAAGATGGCTGTGCCTTTCCTACAGGGTTCACGACACTGTCTAGAACTGTTCCTAGTTCCTGCAAACAAAATAATACATACAGGAGGTTAAGGCAAGCATTTCACTCACAGGCCTGTGTTCTTTTTCCATGACCACTGCGACAATCACCATGAAGTATGAAAAGTATACCTTCAAATTTCTTTCAGCAGTCGATTGATTCAAAGAGACGCCTTCTAATGATTTCAGTGCTTCATCCAACTTCTTTAAGGTGTCTTGTACCTAATGAGAAAGGGCCAGTAAGAGTAGGAGTTGACAAGTTGAAGTTCTTGTAAACTTAGAGCAGTCAGGTAATTTAAAAAAGCGGTTAAGATAACTTGGTTATATTTTAAAGTGAAAACAGTTCTTTTAGGGCGACAGGAGAAGAGATCGATATCAACAATTCAAAGTGTTGAGTAGATCAGTAAACTGAAAAATGCAGCCCAAAAGAACACACGTTCACATTTCCCAACCCTCGTACAAACATAAATCATACGTGAGATATAAAAAGGACTTGCGTTCAATTGCAGCGTAGAGGTCTCTGTTGAAGTCTCCGAAGTGCTGCTCTGAGAGTGTTCTGTAAAAAGGTTGAGGAGAACTAGTTACCGAGAACACAATGGATACCAATAATAATCACAATACTGCGACAATGGCAAGAAGGATTATTGAAGGATCATACCGGATACATTTGTATTCCTGACCCCACTCGTCGGCGATGGCTGCTCTGTAATGACAACAAGTTCATTCTTCTGAATTCGATCCCTGATACTGTTTTTGATGTAAAATCATACACTGACTATCCTCAGAGGAGGGTTAATTTTTTTTTTATGTCAACTGACTCAGTATTATCATAACGAGAGTGAACGAACTGCATATCGAATACACTGAGTAAGACTTAGATTTTTAGCTCGGTCGTAAAATTAGAAGAGAGATCAATCTCACTTTTCTATAGTTTTCTAGTTCCGACACAAAGAACCAAACACCTTTTCATACCGAAGAAGACTGAATACTAGATAATTTTTATTGAGTTCTTGAACACCACCAACAGCGTCATTTGTTGTACCCTTTAATAGGCATTTGTAAGCCGCAATTTTATAGTGTCAGTGTTTTTATATATCGTACTTTGTACACACCTTCTACTTTCTTGGGTCGTTTGCATATGAAAAGTCTTACTGTCTTACAGTAGTCTATCTGCCACTTGTGTACATGATTGTAGTAAGCGCAGCGTCGTCCTGTCTCATTTTTTGATCCCTCATCGTAGCAGGCGGGATCCTGGCTGTGGTACCAGTTTGTGTAATTATATGGCTGCTTGTCCACCCATCCCATTAAGTTACTTTTACAATTTCTGTGAAGCCCTATGTAGAACGTCTCTTTGGGTCGAAGGTTTGTATTATTGATAAGATGATGTAAGAAATCGTTTTCCTTGTCACTTAAAACACTTGTGAGAGAGCCATTCCTTTGTCTGCACCACCTCACGGCATTCCAAAATCCAAGTTTTCTGTCAACAGCAGTATATACATAATAGCACGAGGAATCATTCAAGGTCCATTTATCTTGACAGTCAGCTTTTAAAAACAAAAAAAATTCTTGCTTAACCAGAAATCACTGAAAAACAGGCGCTGTGCAGAAACTTATGCTGACGTGCCATTTGGTTCATGGTGAGACCTACAAAGGCTAAGTTGGGATACTTGTGAAGGAAAGTGATGGATCTTGGTCCTTTTTCTGGGATATCGTGGAATACTGAAGTGATGGGATAACGAAAAAAAAGGGGATTGTATGACGGAAAGGTCGTCAAAATTTTGTTTTCTTCATTGTTAGCGGTAAAGTACACAGATGTTATAGAGTTCATTTTTGACACTTTCATTGGTATGTACTATGGCAGTGTTAGAAAAAGATCGACATCTACATTAGAAGAGATCGGGTTTTTTCTTTTTTTTTTTTTTTTAAGGCCTCCTCTGTTTGTGTATAGGTCCTGCTGATATGTACTTAATAGAAATGATGCGTGCAGAGAAAAGAGTAGTTGATACTTGATCGGCATGATAAGGCATATTTGTTGTGCCGCGCTCGACAACATGGACTAACTGATTGTTATTCAGCTTATGATTTCAATAAGCCCATGCACCTGGAAGAGTAAACAACGATAAACCAATTTGTTTTTATAAAAGTGGTAACACTCTCTCTTTGCTACTTTTTCTTACAAATATTTTGATTATCTTGGGTGTGGAAAGAATTATAATAAAATTGTATATACTATTTAGTTATGAAGCCCCATCTTAACTTGGACTCAGTTTATAGTTTCGTCCGTAAGTGTGAGCCGTGTTGCTACAACAAAGAGCAACAGTAATTCACTTGGTATCAATTTTCTTTCGCTGCGAACGAAAATCTGGCAAAACCGAACATACATTCATGCATTATTTAACAAAGCATTCAGTCAATGAATCGATCTTGTTGATAAAATCTCTGCTTTCTTTTAAGTTATGCCGGTTTGCTCGTCTTGCGCAATGCACTAAGACTTAAACTAGACAATTATGAACAAATTCTCTGTAAAACTTCTTCATTCTTTAAAAAAATTATTCAAGGTTCAGATGAACTCTGTTAGAGGAGCTCTTCAACAAGTGCTTGCTTAAAATACCGAATGGCAAACGGCTCAAGTAACTGAATATCTGACTCTCTGTGTCATCATCATACTAAATTGTTGTTGATGCTACTTCATTATATCTGTCCTTCTCTCTATTCACCTCTTGCTTGACAACGAGGTGAACATGTCCTCCTTCCTCCAGCTGCTGTCGCATTAATCATACTAGAAACTTCAAGATCCTTATGAAACCGACCAACTGATGGAAGGACTTACCTTGATTGCTTGATGTCTGTCCATAGTAGACTACTAACATCACAATTGTTGTGCTCAGGGTTTTGGTAAGGAACAGAAAGCCAGTCATCGTCGTTACTGGCGAGACCGGGTCGGAATTTAACTAATCAAGTAAATTCGTTTGCTCAACAAAACTTCCTCCCCCTAGGGGTCACCTAAATCAGCATGGTGGAGGCCTTTGCACTCACTGTGTATTCAAATTCTGGGTTTAAAGAAAGTTTTGTTCTTCAAATGATTGTCTGATCACTCTCGGTGCCTGTCAGCTCCAAAACAGACACAAATAAACCATTTCGAATCATCTCGACCGCTCGTTTTAAAATATCTAAATTGAGCACAAAATTTCATTATCCTTGGATCACTATTCAAGAACATTCGAATTTCACGCTATGTTAAACGCGAGACAATTCAATTATTTTTAGCTTGCGGTGTCGTCGATCAATCAACTGATTCAAATTTAAACGCTACTGAACTTTGGATTGACTGGGTAATAATAATTCAAAAAAGGGGTTGAATGTAATGGAACTCGACCTCGACTCGAATTATAAAAATTCCCAAACTCGACATATCTTTCTTTGAGTGCATCAGTGCGACAAAGTACACTATTTCCACTGAACAACGAATGTTAATTACTTTATATTTTTCAAAACAGTTTTTTTTAAACAAGTCATGTTAAAAGCATTCTCAACAGTCCAGCAGCCCAAGCGACCCCTTTTTTCACGACTTGGTTATACTACTTTTTTTATCAGGGAAATTTCTTGTGTCAAATGAAATGGTGATAATGAGTGAGACCACTGCGAAACGAAAAAAAAGAAATTAAAAAATGTTTTAAGCCACGCAAGTTCTCCCACTGTTTCCAATTTAGCCACATGGGAATTTATGTTTGTGGCAAAAATTACTATTTTCCTCTCTTGGAGTTAAAATAATTTAAAAACAGCTTTGTGAGATTCGACAGGGAACAAGTCTAGCCCTCAATAACCAAAATGTGCCCAGAAATATATCCCCCTATTAGCCCAATTGTCCGATAAGAAACAGTGCCAATGTATGTAATGAGGCAACTCGAGTTTCTTTTTGTCTTAAAAAAACCATCTGACGTTGAGCTAACGATTGATTCCTTTTGTCAGTATAGATATTATCTCTGGCCAATAGTAGGATGAACATCATTTACTGACAAGTTTAGTGATCTGGTTAATTCTGAGATAGGGGTTTACTAAATGATGAACGTTTGTTAATTTTTGTGTTTTCCAACAGTTAATTGCTCAGGCTTGGGTTTGGTCCGTAAAGGCTGCTATGTAGTCTGTTCAGATACAATAATGTTTATCAAAGTTCAATACATTCACCTCGGTTTAGTGCATCAAAAAAGCCCTCTTATTTCCAAAAAAGGCTTCAAATCAACCCGATTATATCATTAAAAGGTCTGGGATGGTCCCCCCGACAGGAAAAATTTATTGTCTCATATATGCGAAAAACAGAGCTAAAATATGCTTGAGATCTTTTCACTTTTTGCTACATTTGCATTTGCACTCTTTTAATATCACTGAACATACGAGTATCTGTTTTGTTTCCAATTCGTGTAAAGGAAAAATTTGAAAAAAAAAAAGATCAATTTTCAAGGAACACCGGCGATACTCCCTCTCCCTAAATACTTCAACATCATTAACTGGCCCCAATTTGGATGGCAACTCACAATGAACATACAGTCCCACATAAAAACCCTCCACCGATTTAATTTCGCTTTATAATCTGAACTCTCTCCAACAAACAGTAAATGGCTTGGTTCAGTATAACCTTCAAGCATAATTCAGATTGGCCTCCCAATTTCAGAATACTTCAGATCATCTCGTTCTATTTCTCTCAAGAGACAAGTGTCATTACAAGTAGATTGCATTTGAATCAACTGTTGCATGATAATCCTTGACAGCCAACTGCATTGCAACAAAATCATTGTAGGTCATTTGCAAAAAGCGACTTACAAAACTTTGCAAGGTTAACAAATTCATGTTTGTAATATTTTTACTTCCGTACACTCGAGGAAAGAAGAATTAGGAATTAGGAATTAGGAATTAGGTCTGCAACCTGCAATGTGTCAAGCAGTTTTTTCTGCTGAGGCGGATGCACCAGTTTTAGAGACCACCCTGGTTCGTTTAAGTCTCCGCCAATGACCCGTGTCGTAATTCATTTCAAAGAGCATTTCCACCAATTGCATCTGTTGATTGCCGTCTGCTAACGTCACCGTTTCCGTGTTTTCACTCAGCTTGATAGTTACTATCGAACCTTGATGGGGATATGGTTTCTCTGCAATCAAACGTGTGATTACAGGATGAATGAGATAGTGGGCATATATCCACACTTTTAGTAAAAATAACAAGCTTTTCAAAGCGACAAATTAATCAATTCGACTTATTTTGCTCACAGAAATCACTAACATTAAAACATTAATTTACCTCGTGCACCGGCCATAAACCCAAGAATAAGGGCCTTTTCAGCGCGACTCACTCGGTTCGCATTTTTGAACATTTCGTGAGCAGCTAACATTTGTTCCCGCTGAAAAATATCAAATTTGGAAAGAATAAAATCAAACCCGAAAGCCTGACAACCGTTTCCAAGAGGGAATTTTACAGAAACAAGAGAAGACCCTGAAAGATCCTGGGTCATATCTTCACAGACAAGAGTCCAAGAACAATACTCACAAGATCACCACCAAATTTACAAAAATCTGCGAGATCATCATGGATTACTGGTAATGCAGAAAAGACCTGTTCAGGAGCTTGAGGCTAAAGAATGGCCTACGTCTATGAAGATTCGTCAAGAACACTGCGAAATCTTAGTCAGACTGCGCCTTGTGTGCCACTTTACGGTACATTGTTTGGGTCGGGATTTGGAATTAATTTACTAGAACGTAGCTAATTGTGGGTTCTCTCTTTAATTGGTAGTGCTCAAAGAACGCCAAAACTACAGACTGTTTGTGCTAAATGAGAACATTGCCTCATAAGGGCACAAAGTGTTACCGTTGTTCTACTCTTATGTAGAGCGCACGTACCGTTAGCGTAAGTTGCCGTTTATTTGCTTGCTGTTGCTGCTGTTGTTGTGTGTTCGATGCCCCAAGGGAAGGTGCAGCAGGACTTCTTGTAGAATCACTAGTGGCTGGTGATGTAGAACTTGAGGAACTAGCGGCCATTGCAGCAGCTGCCTGTTTTTGTTGTCGCTCTCTCATTATCAACTGGCGCTGTTGTTCCATATGCATCTTCATGTAAGAGAGCACACTCTTAGTTATGCACGTACTCAAACATGGCACGATACGTCCAGAAATGCATGAAGCAACGAAAATGGCAGATTTGACGAATTTTTTGTCGACGATTTTCACGGATTTGACGAAATTTGTTAATCCGTGGAACTTTTGTCAAAAGAACGATTGTGACGAACTTTCGCCAAATTTGATGACGAAATTTATATAAGTGAATGGATATGACCTTGAGAGAGGGGCCCCTAAAAGTTGACGAGTTTCTTTACAAGGAACCCACAAAGTTTACTGGCAAAAGCCACAAACTTGTTAACAGTGGCAAATATGATGAAATTTTGCTAAGGCTTCTCTTAAATCAGGTAAGTTCACAGGCAATTTACATGTGAATGGGAAAGAGTTTGTAGAGAGGAACCATGAAATTAGCATAGTTTATAATGTTTTGTAATATGGAAACTTTCACATGCAGTATCATGTTGGTAGTTTTGGTATTGAAAATTTCAAAAGCTATTAAATTGTCTTTTTTTTTTCAATTTAGTGGTAATGAAAATGTTTGCAGTTAAACTGAATATATTTACAGCTAAAAAACACCCACTCAGATATATCTTTCAAAGGAACCCACAAAGTTTACTGGCAAAAGCGACAAACTTATTAAAAGTGGCAAATATGATATAATTTTGCCGAGGCCTTTCTTAAAATAAGTCAAGTTAATAGACAATTTACATGTGAATGGAAAAGAGTTTGTAAAGAGGAACCATGAATTTGGCATAGTTTATAACGCTTTGCATATGAACATGTTTGTGGTTAAATTGAACATATCCAAAGTTAAAAACGCCTCCTCGAATATACCTTTAAAACGAACCCACAAAGTTTACTGGCAAAAGCGACAAACCTGTTGAAAGTGGCAGTTATGATAAAATTTTTCCAAGGTTTTTCACAAAATAAGTCACGATAATATACAGTTTACAAGTGAATGGAAAAGAGTTTGTAGAAAGGAACCATGACGTCCCATAGTCGAGACGTCAGCTTTTTAACTCTTTACCGTTATGTCAATTTTTATAGCACATCTGCATTTAAACGAGCTCTTCGCTCATATGCGATATGTGGTTAAATAAAGTTACTTACTTACTTACTTACTTAGTTTATAATGCTTTGCAATATGGAAATTTTCACAAGTACTATAATGTCGGTAGTTTTGGTATTGAACTTTTCAGAAGCTAGTGATTTTATTTCAAATATAGGGGTAAACATGTTAGCAGTCGTATGGAATATATTCAAAGTTATGAACGTCTATTCATAGAGAAATAAGATATAAAATTAATTACTTCGTGAGAAGGCCACAGTCATTGTGTTAACGTCTCATTGTCAAATGGAGTGATGCCCAATTTAGATCAGTTTTCGGTTTTTGCGACAAAAAACTTCGGTTTTTCGGTATTGCTGTTCATTTCGTTTTGCGAATTTTACGTGTTTTAGCATTTGGTTTTCGTCAAAAATGCGAGCGAATTTTCAGAATTTATTGCCGGTTTGTCTTCTGAGCGGCTCGACTGATCTCGAACAGCCGCGAAACGCAAATGTTATTAAGGGAAATCCGTGACAAACCAAATGTCGCTGAAATAACTTCTCGTTGGTGAAATATTGTAGCGATCCGTAGGAGGTCACGCGTTGTGAATAGCGCTCAAGACCGACCTTGCAATGTGGAGCACTTAGGTCGATCAGTTTGCGAACTATGGCTTTCAACGTGCTTCGCGCACCGGCAACGGATAAAACTCAAGGACCTTGCATTGATGAATTTGATTAAAAATTCGCCAAAATCGTCGAATCCACGAACATTCACTCGGTTTGACGAGATTTCTTCAGATTGTCAAATCTGTCATTTTCGTTACTGCGACATAAGAGAGCATGTTAAAGTTATCGAACCTTGTTTCCTAGGCAACAAAAGAACCAGTAAGAAAAGAAAGTCTTACTTCCAACTCTCTCTTGAGGTTGATGGTGCTCTCATTGAGTGCGTCTGCTGCTGCAGGGGTTTGGGAAATGTTTGAGGGAGCCTGGGGTACATATGAGGGAGCTGATGATGGAGCTGGCATACTTGATGATGGTGTCTCTGGGCTTGATGGTGGCTTTTTTAAATGGATGAGGTAAAGTAGAAAAAATCATCATGAATAGCAATGTGCCAATCTAGGATTTTGACAAAAGGCAGGGCCCACATGAACCTGTCACTTTTGTACCTTGGGGTGGAAAAAAATTCCTGATCTGGTACTAGAAGTAGCCTCTTGAAATTATTTAACTGATATATTAAATAAAGTTAAATGTGGCTTAGACACATCACACAGACTTGAAAAGAGGAACAACAATAACAAGGCAATCTTTTACTCATGGAAAGAAAACAATGCGAAAACAGATAGCTTGACTAATGACCTGTACTATGTAGAATGCAAAGTTAATCACATCGTACAGTAACATGGCCTTTTTAATTTGACTAATCATAGTAAAAAGAGGTCTCTTCTATCCAACAGGTTTAATTAACACCTTTATATATATGGACATTTTTGAACATTTGAAAGGTTTATGTACCTTAGTTGGTTGAGTCATGGGTGTAAGACCTGCAGCATAATCAGGTGTGCTTGGCTCTGGAGGTTTGGTATTGTCAAGTTTCTTCTGTTTTGCCTCCTCTGCTTGTTCAGACTCTATTGTAAATAACACCATATAAAAGAATCACTTCTAAAATCTGTTGATGATAATAACTCTAACACACAGAAAAACTGAAAAACAAAAGGAAAATCTTATTTAAAGATTGGTTCATCATCAAGCAACCCATACATCAGCTAAACATTTAGCCTCACACCTGATACATATACTGTCCAATTTAAATCATTAAGCTGAGTTTAAGACAATGAAATTCTACATTAAAGTAGAGAGTTGAATAATGCTTTGCCCTCTTGACTTTTCTGACAAAACTTGAAAAGTGACCAGTTGCAGGGTAACTGTGTGAGTGCTTTTGTTACCTGCCAATTTCTTTCTCCTTTTGAGTTCTCTACCACCTCCTATTGGCTGCTCATTTATGTCCAAAAGCTGTGGGCATAAAGAGAATTCTCACACAGCTTGTTTTCAATATATCTCCCTAATATTTTGACTGTTGTAACATGCACATATAGCCACAAGATCTTCAGTTCAGACTTCAGCAATGTTTTTGTTTTTAGCATAAATGGGGAATTGTAATCATGTAAACATTGCAGAAGACTGCATTATCTAATACAATACACAATAATTATGAAAATAATATATTCAACCTTCTAAAGAAAGATTTTAAAGAAGAAAGATTATTGTAGTTGTCTATTCTAAAGCAGTAGTAAAAATAGGTATGCAAAGGCATACATGTGTCTAGTGCGAGCTAGTTGCTTACATGTACTTCTTTTTTTTGTGGCATACAGTTGTTACCTCTTTCGATCTATCCCAATCATAGCAGACGTTTTGGAACTTAAATGGAAACTATATATTCTTGGAATCATTTAAATTTAAGCGTAAAAGCGACGGAATTAGTTTTGGGGTAACAAAAAATGCAATTCTCAAAAGCGTAGGGAAAGGCCCGAAAATGAAAACAGAACTTCCTAACTTCAAGTGAGACTCTGCGATATTTGACTATTTTCTGGACTGATAATTTTATTTTTTTAAGTGTTCATATGTTTTTAAGGTATTATTAAATCGAAGATTTTGTCTTTAAATTATTCAACTTCCAGAATCTTTAACACAACGCTATGGCCATGAACTTATGTAAACAACGATGGTGCATATATCGCCCAAGTCTTGTAAGTTCAAGAAATTCCTTGGTTTTTTCGTTTTTGAACGGTCTACCTAAGACTTTTTGGAATAAAGATATATTTCTTGCTTATTTTCCTTGAATTTTATCAATAGCTTTTGGTCCAGAGAAAATACTATAGGGTTTGTATTCACGTGAGTGTTAGTTTCGAAGCGCGTAGTTCGTGTACTTTTCTCTTGTCTTCTGTTCTGGCTTCTTTTTAACAATTAATCCCTCATTAGTTAATGATTATTAATTAATAAGTTTGCCATTTCAATCCCTTCCTTTGAGCACATGTATCAGATATTGTATCTCATCTTTTATCGCCATTAGTTGCTGCTGTTACTTTCAATGTTCATCTGCTATCGTTAGGAGCTAGACAAAAGTAAGTCTTTCTTTATTTTACATTTACGATATTTCCCTCTCGGTCTGTATTGACTACATTGGTTTATTTCTCACACTCAGTTCTCTTTATAATCGTCTCATTGTTAGTTAGGTATGTGTTGCATTTCCCAGGGTACTTTCTTAGTTTATGTACTGCTGTACTTTTTTTTTTCAGTTGGGACCACACAAATTCAGCAACAATCTTTAATTATAATCTCGTAACCTTCTATCGCAACTTCCCCCTTTTCATCCGTATAATTCAACATGATTTCACACCGATTACTTGATTCTAATCTGTAATTTTGATTACCTACTGCATTTAATTAATCCTTGTTTCTACTGTGCATTCTAATTGTCTTCTCCCTTCTACAAGTAACTTTTGGAGGAACAGAATGTGTAACAACTTATTAGGGACCTCTGCACGAACCATGAATTGCGAACAAAGAATTTGCATATCAAACCATGTGGTTTTAGAACCTTTCTTTAGAGGAGAAATGTTATGAAGATGGCCAGTAAGTTCATCCTCCATTTTTCAGGAACAGGCAGTAAGGGAAAAATGGGATAATACATGAAATTACTGGTATTGACACAAAGACTTAAAATGAGGAGAAGGTACTTAGATTTAAACAGAGAAATAAGTATATTTAGTTGTTATTATATAAACTGGCTAGGAAATTGTTTGCTACTATTGAGAGAAAGGGGAAACCAAATAAAATTGGAAAAAAATTGCAAGCTTACCTCTATCCCTATGTTTATTCTTTGATGGAAAAAAGTGTAAGAAGGTTGCCAAAAAGCAAAACAACCTTCAGAATTGCATTATAGTTTTAGGTTATCTTATTTAGGAATTTCATTGAGGAAAATTAGTATTTTTAGATCAGTTACTTGACAGTTAACTAACTGACTTCACATGTGTGCCTGTTTTCAAGTTTCTATCCTTCAATTTATGCAAAAACACTGGCTTGTGATCTGAAAAATTGGAACATCTTATCAATACATATGCATAAATTATGATGATGGATGTCAAGTGAATTTCTGAATTAATCTTCCTACATTGAATTCTATTGGTACTTTATGGCATTCTCAAACATCTTACATGTAGTTACATGTGTATTCAATTTTTAACAACATCAAGTTTTAATCAATGCACATATTGCTTTATGATCAGTGAAATATGTTTCCAGAATGTGTACAGTCACTTGTGATTCAGGCAAATTGGTATATATATGGTCAATAGTTGTTCTATTATCAGTAGTATAGGATGATACCAATTGTCTGTAATTTTTCTCTCTTATAAACAAGTTATTGAGGAATTCCAACATCTTCTGATAGGTCATAGTTCTCATTGAAGTCAGGATGTAGGTCATGAACACCTTCATACTCATCTTGGTATTCTATATTTTGAGTAAATGGTGCTATTGAATCAAACTGATCATCACTCAGAATATTATCATTTATGTGCTCCTGAATTTTATCAATTTCATCGCTGTAAACAGCATATTGTTTCATTTGGTCATTTATGGCATCTTTCATAAGTAAAAATCGGGCCTTATAAGAAGAACAATTGGATATTAAGTCAGTTTCCTCATTTCTTCATGATGTGAAGAGCATAATTAACGGTAGTATTTCTCTGGGTCTTTTTCTTTGTTAAACCAAACACTTCTAATAATTCTAGCTGATGATCTTTTTCTATTTGTTTCCTTATTGCTCCTACTTTCATCAGGAAGGGTATCATCATTTTCATCAATGCCTGTTTCTAAAGGAAGTTTATCTGTGTCATTTTGAAAAGATTTCTTTACATAAGGCTTTTGAGACAAGTCATACCATGCTACCCAATCTGCTAATGTTAGGTGTTCAAGGCTGAAGGACGTTTTACATATCTCTGCAACAGACCAGTTGTATACACTTCTTCACAATCATCTTCCATTTCTTTCATTTCATTAAGTTGCTTGAGGAGCTGCACTCTTTCATCGGGAGGTGCAGTATTTATGAATACCACTCGTTGTGATGACTTCTTCATAGGGAGCTGGAGAACAATGTAGACAGCTTCTTGTGCACTAATTTCAACACTATTTAAAAATTTGTTTCCAATATCCCTGACTTGTTGCTTGATGTTAGAATTTTCTTTCCTCACTTCTGCACATGCTTGTCACAAAAGTTTACTCATTCCTTTTTGTGCTTTAGAAATATATGATACTACCGTATTTATTCGCCTATAAGCCGAGCGATTTTTCCAACAAATTAAACTGAGAACAGGTAAATTCTTGCCAAGGTAGGGGGTTCGGCTTATAGCTGAGTATTTTCGCCAAAAAAAATTTACGGGTGCTTAACAAGATTCGAAATTTGACAACATGAAAAACTGGCCAATCAGAAGCGGTCATTCCCACGGTTTGTGTAAACATTGCAACACGATCTGACAGATATCAGCTGATCGAAGCTTCTCATTGTTTTAAAGAAACGAAAGACTTACCTTGACTCCTCTGCTCTGAAAACCAGTCCAGTATTGTTTGATCCAATTCAGGATACTTTGGCGAAAAGCAGCCCATCGTCTTTCGCTTTGCTGACATTTTAAGCTCACCATTAAACAGGTTCGCTTGATCTTTTCGCCAGCGACACACCATCGATTCACTGATTCCGTAATCTCTAGCGATCTAGAATGATCTATGTTTATTCATAACCTACTTTTTGGTTGCATGTTTTCCGAGAGGGAAGCTCCTTTTGTTTTCGGTTTATGTTAATTCATCTCAGTTAACGACACGCGTGGAGTACTTTGCAATTATTAGGTCTCGGCTTATAGCCGAATGTTTTGTGTTTATTTTTTATTTCAATGCAACAGCTGCTGACATGAAAAAGTTTAGGGTCTCGGCTTATAGCCGAGATCGGCTTATAGGCGAATAAATACGGTATATACATAGCACACGCATAGATGTCAAGAACAAATTGAATATCCATGTTTGCTCTCCATGCTTTAAGGCAAGTTGGGTTGTAACTATTAATTCTTAACTCACTTGGTTCTCTTTTCAAAAATATAGTTGGAGAATTCAAAGCTGTCCTGATAGCTAATCGATAGTTATTTTCAGTAATACTTAGTTTAAGAAGCAGCTCGATCCTCAAAAGTAATTGATTCACCATCCTTTAAATCATTTAGTTGCTTTTTAATAGTTTTCCAAGTTTCTTTATGTTTTTAATTTCGTGTTGTGATATATCTGAACCTAAAGGATACATGATTTCAGTTGCTCTCATAGGAGGTTGCGGGTAATTAAATCGACATTCACTCTTTGACTTCTTTCGACATGTGTGAGAATGCCTGTGAATTTGTCTGTTCACTAGTTTCTGCAGTTGTGGGTCATCAATTGGCCATTTACAACTTACAATCTGATCAATGAACGTTGTAACAGTTGCATCATCATCAATTCCAAACACTGGTGCACTTTCTAACCATATAAGCATATGGATATGAGGTGAACCTCGCTGTTGAAATTCTACTCTATAGAACCAGTCAGATATCCTTCCTAGAGGTTGGCACTTATTCAAGAGGAAGTTAGTGAGAAATTGACTGATCTGATAATCAAAATGTCTGGCACATGATACTGGGTCACTTTGAATTAACCTACATTTTTCATCCCAGTTCATATTTTCCAGATGAGTATCAGTGTACTGTTTGTGGTCAACCAACTCTCCAAGTATTCTGAGCAAATGGATCCACTGAGTTTCTGCTGAAGAGAAACTACAAAATAACAAGGCTGGTCCTAATTGTCTTATCATGGCAATCAAGTCTTTCTTTGCTTTTTCAAATTATGGTGGGGAACCTCTTAATGCTCTAAGAAACTGAAATCCATCATCATGATGAATCAATTTCTCTAATGCTCCTTCTTGTTTAAGTTGTGCTGCATTTAAAGTTCTGCTATTCCCTTTGCACTTTCTAAGAGCAACTTGGGAATTTCCTAATAGTATTTTCATTTGCAGTTTCTTTGTTTTAAAGAATATGTTTTCAACACACATAGCTGCTCTTCTATCTGACTGCCTCAATTCAGATTTACAAATGTCACTGTAATGCACGCTAACCAATCTCTCTTTATTTTCTGAAACCTTTCACTCGTTCACATTGAACCGTGCTTCGAAAACTGTGGCATAATGAGAAACAAACTTTGAGGAAATTCATTATAAAGACTCCACAAAAGACCGCTTCACTTACCTACTTCACCATCCACGCGTGGGTTTGACTACGCACAACGTCGAAAGAAAACATTACCTTTTCATCGACTTGTTGTTTTCTTCGCGTTTCCAAATTCCATTGGTCTCGACTATTCCTCGCTCTGTTTTTTTCTTGAATGGGATTCGTCGTAGTTTTTTCGTTTCCGACTCCCCGCGATTATAAATCGATTTGTTTACACATTTTTTGGTTAACATTTTCTTTCCCCTTTCATGTCGACCATCACAAAATGTATACTTTACTGTGGCCTTACTAGTATGACCTCGTAATTTGTGGTATATGAAGTATTTTTCGAAATTTTTTGCACTCTTCCATAGGTGTCTTCGTGCTAAAGCACTAGACACCAAAAAGTATATAGCCTGTAAAAAATGTTCAAGCTAGAGTGGCATGAGTATTGTGCAGTGCTGATACAGTTCTTTGCTAAAGTGAAAACCACATTTCTTTTCTACTCATTCAAATACCAACAATTTTTCTTCAGTCAAAAAACTTTAACTCTTATAACCAAGGTTGGTGACTAAAGGTTTCGATGATAGCAGTTAAAATCAGTTATAACTTGTAGCCATTTATAATAGATACCGAAAAAAAGCAGAATGGTATCTTCAAGATAACAGCCAGTGAGTGTTAATGAACATGTACAATGGAGACATTCACCTTTGTACGGCCATGATGTTTGAGTGTAGCAGCAGAGATAATGCTCCGTGATGAACCAGATGATGGAGTCCCTCTGCTGGGGGTTGGACGGTTTGATGTTCTTGGTGTTACTCTTACTATTGTTGAGAGGAGACATTCTTTGATCAATATAGGTAACATTTTAATACACCTAGTCTGTATTGATCGATTTGCATTAATTAATATAGTTATATTTAATGAAATAAAACCAAGACACTCAGTTAACATTTTCACAATAAACAGCATAAATTATGGCTGAAATTATAAATGTTGTTCATATACAGTATTGTTTGTTTGATATTAATTCTGTTACTGACCAGGAGCTTCAAACTTCTTAGGTGACTGAAGTTTGTGGGCTGAGCTCATTGATGCTCCAAGACCTTTTTTATGTGCTGAAACTGCTTCACTGGCTTCACATACAACACAAAAAGAGATTGTTAACATTCATCATTGTTACTCACTAACTGGATCTGTTACTGAACTCAGTGGCATATGGTGCAGACCAAAAGAACAGGAATTATGAGTTTCTAGTTCAGGTAAGTAGATTTGGCTTGAAGTACAGGTGCATAGGCTGAGTCATATGCCTTTGTTACAATATCTAAATAATCATGAGGAGTTACAGTTTGCATCAAGCTCCTTTCCTTCTGAAGGGAAAACCAAGCAACCCTACACTGCCATTGGTTAATTTGATTTCTAAAGAAAACAGATAAAGTGTATCACTTGTCCTTGTCTCTATGACAGATTATCTCCTGGGACCTATAATCCACATCAAAGTATTTTAATCATTACTAGGCCATATCTCCTACACTCTCTATACGAATGCAAGTGACTCTTTTAGACAAGTTAAGGGAAAGGGTTTACAAGAAATTATAATCATTACACTCTCTACATTGTCAATATATATGTGTGGATATTACTTTATTAAGAAAAACAAAAACAAATACCTTTCTGTGTAAGTTCTGCTCTTAGGGCAGCAGACTTTGGTTTTCTTCTAAGTGTAAAGTGTTTGGGAAGGGGAGGCTGGTGTCCTACCATGGCAACAAGGGCTGTTCTGTTTAAATATAGACATTCCAGAGGAAGAAGACTAGATCCACTATCTGGGAGACTGGTAACTTAAATAAAAACACCATAAAAAGTAATGGAACAATGGATCCATGTTTTAAGGGGGCACCCTTAGGGTAGGGAGAAAACTCCCCAGAGCAGATTTTTAGATGATAGCTGATAACTATTCAATTTGTTAAAATGATGTATTTAACGAATAGCTTCCATGTTGTTGTACACTTATTTAGTAACTGATCACAGATGACCTCAAACTGTAGTAAGAATGAAAAAAGGCCCATAGGGCACAGCTTAGTGTGTCACTGATTTTCTCACAACATTTTGATGTCTTCTGTGATCTTTTACTGAACAGATGCTTGAAATCTTGGAATCTACTTGTTTTATATAATTAAAAAAAAAAAACGAAATGATGTTAATGGTGACGTCATATATGCATCTGTCCTCCAATAGATAAGTAAGAACCAATCAAATTGCATGTAGTAGATTCAACTTATTATATAACTGACAATCCCTGTTGCAGGGGCATTTAAAGACAAATCTATATTTAATCAAAATAGCGTATGTACGTGTATTTCAGGAGCTTGAAACATAACTTGTCACAACACCATTACTGACGAGCATGTTGTACAGATGTAAATCTTACCAGTTTTTCTGATTTCTTCTGCCACTTCTGCAAACACTGGGCTAACATGCTCGAGATGAACATTCAGAATCCCTGTACTTGGATAATACTTCAGAATCTCTGATAAAACACGGACCCACTCGTCTTCATCCTGGCTTCCAATCTCAAATATTTCGCTCATTTCACCGCTCATTTCCTCAATCACTCGACGAGGAAGATGGAGAAAAGCCATTAATAATTTTACTTTTACCTGCGTTTCAAGCCTATGAAAACACTCTGGAATATTACGGAGGACGTCTTGGGTTAGTAAAGATCGCAAACTACTACCAGACCAAGAATCGTCCGTAGATAATTTGTTATGAAGCCACAGGGCTGTGTCTGCCTGACGAACGGACGCCATGTTGAATATCGGCAAAGTATTACAGAGAGGGAGGGGACTCGGGAATACTGATAAAAAAGGGGAGGTTTCTAAGCAAGTTGTGTGCCCAGTAAGTTCCGTGTTCTTGATGACTAGTGGTGAGCTAAGTATGTAAGGTGCAGGTGGAACAACAGACAGCGCCTATGGCCACAATTTGACATGATTTTGAACAAATTTTAATACCTCTTCTTCTAGTTAACCTTTTTTGTCAGCATAAGGGAAGGAAACTCACCCTCAATGCCTCTAGGAGGAGTCAAGGATCGCTTATTGGTAAGTAAACCAAGGAGCCCGTACATATATATGACTAATATGTGGTAGTATCGATCTCTTCCTGCCTTATCAAGGGATGATAGTGTGTTGTCGGTGTTTGTTTACGGTAGGGAGAGAAATTTGTATGCATTAAAATAACCCTCAGGTTTATCTCAGGGAAAAATGGAGCGTCGCTAAACCAAAGAATTGAGCATAACTGTCGTTGCTTCTGTAAGGAACTAATGGCCCAGCTAACTTTTTTTATTTGTGGATTAAAATTTATCAGTTATTTTAACTTAAGACGTGTAGCAATGCATGATCAGAACACACAAATGTTACTCTTTCAAGCACTAGATGCGAGCCTAATTCACGAAACATCAATGTGTACGTATTACCTCTTAACACTGGAGTATTCACTTTTAAATTCGTTTTTTATAAAGCCATTCGTTTGTTTCGCTTTCGTTGTTCATAATGAAGTTGTTCTTTAAGGTTAAGCTGTTGTCCTTGAAGTGCATTCATGTATATAGACGATATAAAATGGTTTTCGGTGGTCGCTCAAATGCATGTGTCAGAAAAATAAATAATTAAAGTGACCACAATAATCGGCCGAATGTGGTGAGTTCCAATTAACTCTTGGAACACCAGCTATATGCTTGGTATTTCTTTATCTTTTTACATAGAGAAATATAACTTTTTCACGACCAAAAGAAATTATTTTTTAAACCAAAATTCCTCTCGTTTTTACCGTGAAAAGGTGGAAACATCTGGAGCAAATTTTGCAGCTACAATAAATTATTGATGAATGACATATTTGTTGGTAGAGCTTATGTAATTCTTGAAAAAAGCATCATTTACAGGGTGTATGTTGCAGCATGGACTTTTATACCTTATGCTTATCTCCTGAAAAATTACAATAGTGACTCAAAATGTATTTTTACAGCTCTCTTATAATGTTAACTCCTTGCTGCTGAGTGAACAGAATTATAGAGTTTACTTTCATGTAAATTAAAAAAACAAAGTTATTAGCATGGAATACATATTCCTGAATAACTTTCTTTTATTATGCTAACTTACAAGTGTCAGAAAAAAAATAATTATATGGACTGAAAACAAAATGAAATTGAACATCAAATGTGAATTCTATATGACAGGTTGAATAATCTTTATTATTAAGGTTAGACAGTACTTTTCATTTGCAATTCAGAACAAATCTGATGTAAGGTTAGCTTAACATAAGTAGAAGTTTTCACAACTCAGTTCAAATTGTGCTGTAAATTACTAATTTGATATACAGTTGGATGTGATGGTAGTTTCTGGATTTGAAAGTTTTGGACATGGGAGAATTATATGCATAATGACAGGGGTGGAACTTGTGTTATTGTCTTCAAACTGATATGTGTATACAGCTGTATGCACATGTAAAAGTCTGTCACCAGAAAAAAGAACCAAGAACAAAAAGAGTTAGCTCTTTAGTTTCAATAGGGAATTATTTTTAGCTTTCCAGAATAATTGCATAATCCTTAGATAGACACATTCTGGAAGGTAGGAGAGGTACTTACTGGTTTTGAAAATCCAGTTAGAAAGGGATGGGGGTTGTGATTGTAACAGTTTTCTTCAAGGGTTATTCAAACCATTTATATACCTTCTGCTGAGATCAGGGGTGTCAAAAAAGGACCTCAATCCCCTTATGAGGAACTTGGAGTTTTCTTTTTGCTAACCAGATAACAAATAAAGGACACCTTTTCTTTTTTTTTATATCCAAGCCCAAAATTTTCTCTTTTTTTCTCTTTCTTCATTTACTAGGAGCTTAAACATGATGCCTTTTTTTTAAGGGATTTCTTCCAGGAAGGGTGCAACATGATGATGAGTGGCGAACTGTTTTTGTACTTAATAAGTATCCTAGCAATGACACAGAGGTTGAAGTCAAGCAGAAGAGATATGCTAACAATGTAATTGTTACATCAAAGGTGGGTGTCATTGAAATGCTCATATACATCAATGTTTAATATAGTGATGATAATTATGTTAGTCTTCCTACCCCAGTTTTTTTCAAAACATGGTCTTCCTAAAGGTGGCACAATTTTTTCCTTTTTCCTGAATGGATCACCTTTGGTCTACTCCATAAAGAGGAGCCATAATTTTTTTAATTCTACAGTATTTAAAGAGTTAAACTAATTAAAAAAAATTGAATTTTAGTAAAGTTGAATTACGATATTCAAGTTGTATTTTTTGTAATGCACAGTTAAATAGGTCTTATAAAGCTTCTACTTACAAGCCAGATAAATTTTGAGGAAGTTCTCTTTTCAAGTGATAGATAACAATAATATGGATGTTTTTTCTTGGTATTTTCCTCTGTTGTCTTGGTTATCAAGTGTATCGTAGACCCTAATGAATTTTTTTTTTTCAGTACACAATATTGAATTTTGTCCCAAAGAATTTGTTTGAACAGTTCCGTAGAATTGCAAACTTTTACTTCCTCTGCATTGGTGTGATTCAGGTAAGGATAAATAGCTTTCTTGTTCAAACCATGTTCTTGAGACCATACATTCTTTTCATTGCTTAATATAATTACCTATACCAATCACCTAAACTTTCTTTTCAACCTGGAAACAAAAGTGTGTTAATGTAACTTTTCCCATTTGATCCAAATCAATTTAGTTAATAGAATTTGTATCTGTTTGAACAGAAACTATGGCAGGTCAGAAAATGTACATCAAATTTATTAGCTTGACAATGTTTGTATTAATTGAATTTAAAGGATTAATAATCTTTTTTGTTTATAATTTGATAAGATATTTCCTCTTATCAGTTTTCTCCTGTAACTAGCAATCTAACAGTCCTTGACATTACATGTTTGTGTAACACAGACATGTCACTACGTTGACAACTGTATTAGCACTACTTCCTCTACTAGGGAGGAAATAGTGGCCACTGATTTATATGTGCAGTCAATTCCTTTCACCCGGCTCTCAAGTATATCTGGAAAATTTGCAACATTTATTTGGCTTTTTTATATATCAAGTTACTATCAAGGCAATGGTCTATGCGCAAACATGTCAAGAATTCCATTCCTTTTTCTCAGCTTCTAGACTTCATGGTTTATGTAGTGACAACTCTGACTTCCTGCCTATCCTGTTTGTGTTGTTCAAGTGGGCCACCACTGCACCAAACAAATTGATGACAATCAGCACAACAAATATCGCAGAAGGAAAATACAGATCAAATTCCATCCACCCTCACAATCTTGCAGTTAAATCTATCATTCCTAAAAACTTAAAAAGTGCTTTGAACAAAATAATCCCCAAAATAATAATCCCCAAAAGGTTGATGTTAATAGCGGCGGTCATGGCGGCTGCTCTGCGTTTACGTTCCGCCGTTTGCTCCATTGTAGTGTATCTTTTGGTTAGTTTGATAGTCTGTAAACTGGCCGAATGTCCACAGAAACGATCCAGAGATGAAAGATTATCTAAACTGACGGCAGCAAAGACTGTGAACACAGTAAACATCAAAGCAGTGAAACCACTTGGCGATAAGCAAGTCAGCAAGAAGGCTCGTTCGCAAACAACGGGAAGTGTCAAACTTATCAATGCGATGAAATTATTGAATATGGCACTAGCTGCAAACCTAATTCTCCTGTCTAACGACTTTTCACTAAATCCTGGACCAACACAGCCCTCGCCATCCTTGATGAAAGGTCTTCGCTTATTTCATCTCAACATTTGCAGCCTACGCAATAAAACGGATGAACTCAGACTTTTCTGCGACGAGCACAAACCGCACATCGTGACAATAAACGAGACTTGGCTTGATGACTTGTTCACCGACACGGAAATAACTCTTCCTGGCTACAATGTTATGCGAAAAGACAGAGACGAAAATGGTGGAGGCGTTGCGGTATACATAGCAGAGCAACTAAATTACAGTCAGCTTGACGAAAGTGCAATCCAAACACAGAACGACAACTTTGAATCAATTTGGTTCGAAGTATGCCAGCCAAAATCGAAGAAGATTTTATGCGGAGCAATCTACAAAACACCAGATGCTGACCCAGCGGCTTTTACTAGCCGGGTCGAAGAAATTCTAAACAACGTTCTGACAAATGATGGTGAAATTGTTCTTATTGGAGACTTCAACCTGAATTATTTGAACCCAACTTCTGCGACAAAGCATTTTCAGCAAACAACAAAATCTTTTCATCTGAAACAAACAATCACTGAGCCCACTCGAATCAATGAGGAGACTAGAACTTTAATTGACCTATTTCTAACATCAAGACCAGAACTGTACACCTGCGGTGTTATTCCAATCGGCTTCTCTGATCACTGTGCTATTTTCGGAGTCAGAAAACTCCACAACATCAAGCGCCCTCCGCCTAAAATTATTCAGAGCAGAAATTATAAAAATTATGATCCTGTATTCTTTAGCGACGATTTGAATAAGATCCCATGGGATATTCTCGAAATGGAATCAACGTCAAATGAAGCTTGGATTGTTTTCAAAGATCTTTTTTTGACAGTTGCTGACAAACATGCGCCTGTTGCCACGCGAAGAGTTCACGGGTTTTCAGTTCCATGGCTAACATCAAGTATAAAAGAATTAATGACAGAAAGGGATTACCATCATAAAAAGGCGATCAAAACAAATCAAGAACTGCACTGGAGCAAATACAAGCGCTTACGAAACACCGTTAGCAAGAAAATGAAGAAAGCAAAATCGGATTATTATTCTTCTCGCTTAACAGAAACCCAAGACCCAAAAACAATGTGGGAAATCCTGAAAGAAATCATGCCAAATAAGAAAAATGCAGGTGTGCCAAAAACCGACAGTTTGTCTGCATTAAAGTTCAATCACTTCTTCACTTCCATCGCCGAAAAACTGTGTGAACGATTTCAACTAAGCACTTACATAAAGCCACTAACACCAAGAGTAAATAACAAATTTTCTATGGAAGAAGTGAACGAAATGTTTGTCTGTAATGAACTGAAGAGACTTAAATCAAAGAAAGCCACTGGTCTAGATGGAATGTCTGCAAGACTTTTAAAGGATGCAGCTTCTGTGATAGCCAAACCCATTACTTATATTATTAATCTGACTATTTCAACTGGCGAAATTCCACCTGAACTTAAAGAAGCGAAAGTTACGCCTATATTCAAGAACGGTAAAAGAACCGAAGAAAGTAACTATAGGCCTATATCCGTGTTGCCCCTAGTCTCCAAGGTTATGGAGCGTGCAATCCAAGTACAGCTTGTGAAATTTCTTGAAGAAAACGAAGTTCTGTCAGCGTACCAATCTGGATTCCGAAAAGGACATTCTACCGAAACTGCTGTGACTTATCTCACTGATCAGATCTTGGAACACATGGATAATCAACAAATGACTGGCTCCGTCTTCATTGACTTAAAGAAGGCTTTCGACCTAGTTGACCATAACTGTTTGTTACAGAAGTTAGAGCACTATGGTGTCAGAGGGAAAAGTCTCACATAATTCCAGAACTACCTAGGATCTCGTACACAACGAGTACGATTTGGACAGGACTTGTCACCAAGCCTCCCCATTGAGTATGGTGTTCCACAGGGATCCCTGCTGGGACCACTACTTTTCGTTATATACATCAATGACCTGCCAAGCTGTCTCAAAAACACGCACATTAGTATGTATGCTGATGATACAGTCATCTATTGCTCGGGTGCAAACCCAAAGGAGATAAAGAAGGCCCTTCAAGAAGACCTAGAGCGGGTTGTAACTTGGATGGATATAAATCGTCTGATTCCGAACAAAGAGAAAACAAAGGGAATTCTTTTCGGGACGAGACAAAGGCTGGAAGCCGTCGCAAACTTTTACATCACCATAAGTGGTACCAATGTTGAGATGGTCAGTAAATTCACATACTTGGGCGTTACCCTTGATGAGGAACTGAAATGGAAAATACACGCTGAAGATGTTCACAAGAAAGTATCCAAGCGACTCGGTCTCCTCAGACGAATACGCTCCACTCTTACTTTACAAGCAGCACAAGCGGTATACAAATGCATTATTGAACCAATTTTTAGTTACGCAGACACAGCCTGGGGTGAACTACCCGAGAGCAGTATCACTAGTCTGCAACGATTACAAAATCGAGCCGCGAAAATCGTCACCTGTCAGAAAAGTACAAAGACAGCCCGAAATATTGTAAATTGGCCAGATTTAGAAACACTGCGAAAAATACACAAATGTATTTTAGTATATAAATGTTTACGGAATTTCGTTCCTATATACTTAAAAAACTATTTTAAGGTAAACAATGATGTACACAATTACAACACTAGGCAGAGGAGAAATATTCACCCAAATAAAACAAATCTTGTTCTTGGGGGGCGAACTTTTAAAAATTCAGGGCGTTTAGCTTTTAACTCACTGCCAAGCAGAATCAAAGAGGCAAGTTCTCTAGCAATTTTTAAACGCCTTCTTAAAAGACATTTTATCTGATTTTTTTTTTTTTTTCTCCCCTTTTGTAAATTTTAGCAAATTTTACCTAACCTTGTAATCTTATTGTAAATGTTTATATGTAATTTTTATTGAACCCAGGGCCCCTAAGGATACCAGCCTTGCAGCTGACTGGGCTACCCTGGTAAAATAAAGTTGTCTTGTCTTGTCTTGTCTTGTCCCAAACTGGTCCAATTTTTTTGCACCGTCCACTTATTTCATGCAAACGTAACAAAACTTAGGTAACTTTCAATTAAGATGTTCACTACTAACTAATGATCAACTCAGAACTTTCAAATATGCATGGGCGTGATGCAAAACTTGTCCTTTCATTCATAATGACTAAAAATTTTTGGTACCCAAGCCATCAAAATTACTGATAATTTCAAGTGCACTTCTGCCAATGACATATATATCATGACTTGCACTTATTGCAAAAAGGTATACATTGGCAAAACCTGAAGAAGACTAGGTGGCCAATTCCTAGAGCACCTTGGTGATGTAGAAAGAAGTAAAAAAGATGCTTCCAAACCAGCAGCTACATACTTTAATCTCCCTAATCATTCTAAGAAACATGTGGCAGTCTGCATCCTTTCCTTACATCAAGGTGGTTCACAAAACCACCAAACTCTAGGACAAAAATTTCTCACTCAAAAAGGCACTCTTAATCCCTATGAATATCAATGAACATTTTTTATTCATTCAATTAATATATTCTTGTTTTGTTATTATACCATGTTCCTACCAGCAGGGTAGCTCTATTTTATACATGTAAACACACATGCAATCCACAACAATTAAAATGTCAGCTTTGCAGTGGCAAATTGACATTTATTTATCAACTCAGTTGATGAAACCAAATGATCTTGTTATACTCCCTTCTGATGTAGCCCACAGTTTCTTAGAAAGCTTCCTCCCTCTTTAGGAGGTAGTGTTCACTGTAGAGATCTGGCCTTCCAGCACAGATCGTGATGTGCTTAAATTTTCATCAAAAACAGTATGTCCCAGACAATGACCTTCTTTTGATGTTGCAGCTCTTAATTGACAGCCCTGTGAGTCCAGTGACCAGTATTCTTCCTCTGGTCTTTGTGATAACAGTCACTGCCATGAAACAGGTGTGTAAAACACTATAACTATTGCCCAAAGGGCTGGTACATACTTGTACCACTTATGGGTAAACCCAAAATAATTTAGATTAAAAAAAAAGACAGTGTAAGCTACTGTCATAGCCACAGTAGAATGGCACTAAATGGTAGACTGTATTAAGGTAGTGGCAGGGCCAGGGTCCAAAACTACAACCAGCTGCTCACCACTACAACTGAAAATGGAATGTAGCAGACCAGAATTTTGAGTTTCTTGTGAGTGTTCTGAGTGCACTCATTTTTATATTCTAGGCTCTGAAGCAAATAATGAAGGAAAAAGAATACTTTGGATCCTGATAAAGTCTGCTGAAAACACTGTCATTATTTTTGGCCTCTTTTGGCTCCATAGGGCATGATATGTGACATCACCTATATCCAAATAGTGTGTTCCTTTATGGCAATTCCAAGGTTTTCCATTTCCACTGCTTCTACTGCCAGATAGCTTATTCTCCTCCAGGAAATAGAAAGTGAAGCTTCAAGAATGCATGTGTATGGCAATCTCCTGAAATCAATAAAATAGATCATCATGTCATAAGCTCATGCCCTGGTTTTTCAGCATTTTGAACCCTTTTTTTCATTGAAATGGGCTTATTCCCTAGTAGGTCTCCTATCAAGGACAAAGCGTTCATGGCACATTATAATTGTGTACCCAATGGTTGATGTTTTTACTTTAAGGGTTATGAAGACTGGCTTCGTCATAAGGCAGATAGAGAGGTTAATAACAGACCAGCCAAGGTCATCAGGCAAGGACAGGTGGAAGATATCCCTTCCAAAAATGTCAAGGTGAGGTGCATGTATTTACTGGTTACTTAAGCTGAGTACCTCAAGAAATGCAGATCAGAGAGCTATTTTAATGGCAACAAATGACTATTTTGTGATGGGTTAGTCAAATTAATTTAAATTTGGTTTACTAGGTTTCAGATAAGGAAATTCATGTATGAAATTAAGTGAGATGCTAGTTGTCTTATCCCATGGGTGGGACAAAGGAAAAATCTGAGTTCCAGTGTCAACTTGAAACCCAGACCTTCATGTTCCTCACTCTTATGCCCTACCACTAGGGAACAGAGAATTCTACCATAAGGTAGACCATTACTAGGTACATGCAATGTACAAATTAAAGTTAGCAATATAACATGCTAATATTTCAGAGTTATAAAAACCTGAAAAATCCTAATTAAAAATAAAATGAAAACTTCTGTAACAATAGATAGCTAATGTATTTTGATACATGATAATGAATTATAATTGAAATTATAGACATATATTATTCAATATCATTCACTAATTTAATGATGCATAATGAGAGTGGCATTTAAGGTTCTCTTTAGAAGGCAGATACCAGCACTAGAATACTACAGTAGTGTCACTACCTGCCTAGCTTTACATGTTTGCCTGGTTACTTTAATAAGGATGCCCCTAGCACTTAATTAGATAAAGAACCTGTGGACATTGTTATCTTGGCAGTATGCAGGATGTGTGTTGTATGTTCTCAAGTAACTCCTGGTAGAGCTGTCCGTAGCTGGGTCATAGTGCATAAGAGTGAAATGTTAAGGACTTGGATTTGATCTCTCCTGCCACTCGGATTTCTTTTTGTCATATGCTCATGACAAAAGAAATGACAGCTTTCTTATTCCAGCTGTTGATATGCTCATAATTTAATCTGTCTTTTTTTATGTTCCCTTGAATTTTATTCAACAGTCAATTTTAGTGTGCAAGAATAACCTGATAATATTTTAGTACAGAAAAAAAGATACTTTTTGCCCTATTATCTTTACCAAACAAAATAATGGAAAAAAAAAGGAAAAAGATGCTCTTAAAAATGTTTAGATTGATAGGATTTTATTTCAAATTAAGGGCCCTCGTCAAGGTATGATCTCTAAATAATGTCAATACACACATTGTGATAAACTAAGGTGCTGCTTATTTCTGTGTTAAGAATGTATGCAACTATTAGTACTCTCTCAAGTGTAATGTACTCTATATCATGTAACAATTAAGAAAAATCCAGTTTTTAAGTGTTCAACAATACTAGTACATTAGTCTTATTCCTCTTGTTCCTCTCGTTCTTAAATCAGTGGGGAATCAAATAAATTTTTCCTGACAGCTTTTAAAACTGACATCTTATGTGATTATACTTTTATCATTACAATAATTATTGTAGTAGTAATGAACATTACTGATTACTTGTATGGGTGTGTGTAGGTTGGTGATATTGTTCAGGTATTAGATGATGAAGAGATTCCTTGTGATCTTGTGGTGCTGTCCTGTGATGACCCAGATGGAACATGTTATATCACAACTGCAAATCTTGATGGTGAAACAAATCTCAAGGTAACTGGAGCCCTCATGCAGTAATTGAAGATAAACTTTTGCATGCAGTATTTTTTAGTACTTGTAATTTAAAAGTGACCCAAGATATTGAAAATACAGCCTTGAACAAACTTATATAAACTCCACCGTTCAGGTGAAGAAGACAAACCATGCTCCACAGTTAAAAAAAGACACTGACCTAGCACATATTAATGGTATTTTTTTTGCAGGTGCGTAATGCATTGTCTGATACAGCAGGAATGCAGTCTGCTGAGCAGCTCTCTCATTTGATTTCACATGTGGAATGTGAGCACCCAAAGGAAGATTTGTACAGGTGAGGACAATAGAATTATAACCATACATATAGTTGTGTTAAACAAAGGGGAGCACATCCTGATCAATTTGGGTCTTGATGTGATTGTTGTCCATTGTATGAGAATGTGGGTATACAGGTAACAATTGACAGTTATTGGCAACAATTTGAAATGAGCAAGATTCTCTCTAAATGGATTGTGTTCCCATTAAATTTTAGATGCAACAAATTTTCAACTTTTCATGTTTAATTCTGCTCTTGTTGTGGACTGACTGCTTACAGTCACTCTGAGGACTATCTGCTCCTTGGTGATCACACCAGAAATTTGTTAGTTATAGTGAATTGATACAGGCACATTTCCATAAATTGAAAGAAAGGATTTATTAAGTAATTTACCTCTGATAAACTTAAACAATACATGTATGAGAAATATTAAAAATGATAAGCTTAATTATTATTTATTAACTAAATATCATCAACTTTTTACACCCAATAATAGGTATGCATATTCTCCATACTGTTCTCTATACATTGCCTAAATTGCTGAGAGGGAGAATTTGATTTATGGTCGAAAGTTTCTGTTGTTGGTGATCATTTACTTTATTCTTATGAGCTCAAAGTGTGATTCAGGGGTGACACTGCATGGAGAAATTAGATGCCAGCTACTCCTATGGGCTAAAGGGTTAAAGGAGAAGCAACTGCTACTGACAAACCCCCTTATTGTATAAGTTTTCATAATTTTGTGTTCTTTAAAATAAGATACTGCAATGTACATACAAGTACATATTATACATTAATTTTGCTCTAGACATGATGCTAGTTATTAATTAAAAGTGTAATTGAAATTTAGTTTCTCAGGTCGAATGGTAGTGACACCCAGAGGGGGTGGAGAATCAGTACTCAAGTGAGATTTTGCACATTTGTGTTGAAAATATTCAACTGTGTATTGTAATTAAGGGATTGTAAAAACAGGCTAACCAGGACTGTATCAATGAGGAAGTACTGAACAACAGTCAACTGATCAATCAATATAAATGTTAACTTACATGTTCATGTATCTATCCACCCAACTTAGTATCATATGGTCCATATGCATACATGTACAGTTTATATGTGTTTTTTAAAACGATGTATGCTACATGTATGTGATATGGGTATGATAACATGTACCTGCTCCATAAGCTGTTAAAGGTTGAGGTATGAACACCTTGAACAATTTAGCACTGATGAAAAAATAATCTTTTGGTTACAAATTAGTTGACAAGGTGTGGATGGTACCAGCCATTTTGTATATACTGGTGGTAGGCTTTGACCTTTCTCTGAGAGTTAGGTACTTTTATAGCATGTATTAGAATCTCTATAAATTTGTTATGTCCATGATCAGTAAATATAGTATTGACAAAGTTTTGGAAAAAGATTGAAGTGCATTTAGTATTAATAACTTATTATTTCTTTAGAGCCTTAGGTCCACAGAATCTGCTTTTGAGAGGAGCTCGGTTAAAGAATTCCACATACACTTTTGGTAAATGAATACTATTGTTAAGTCATATCACAAATAGTAAATGTCTCTTTTTGAGTTTCCTACTCTTTGTCACTAATGTAATTTGCACCATTGTAGGTGTTGCTGTCTACACTGGCAGGGAAACAAAGGTAAGAATCAAGACATGTGCGATGGTAATAATCCTTAGGATCACAAATATCAATTATTAAATTGTAATTTTATCAAGAATTTTGTTTAATGATTAATTTTGGTCATCCTTAGAGTGACATTTTGCTGTTAGTGACATAGAGGCTGACTTAGGATGCACCATATGTTATGCTATGCCCATTGTAACAGTATGTTGAAATTTTGGGATATAATTATATTTTAGATAGGAATGGCTCACAAACATAATAATCACTTACTTAAAATTGAGTATTATAGATTGCTTTATTAGAATTATTGTTTAATGAAATCATTACTGAATGAAAAGATTTCTTTAATTAAATCCAAAGTGAAATATGATTAGTCCATAAAATTAATTTCTCTCTCTTTTAAGATGGCCCTCAATCAGCAGCAAGGGGCTCACAAGTTTTCAACAGTAGAGAAGTAAAATATAAATTCTCCTAGTTTTTCATCAACATGGATCATTTTGTTTTCTAGTTACTTAAAGAACCATTTACACATTTATGACAAAAGTAATGTGATAAGTGTATGTTAAGGGCCTAGCAATTACATATGTAAATGTCTGTACCCAATACACTGTCAATTACAGCCACTAATGTTCTGTTAAGTACATTTATTATCATATTGATACCATGACTGAATTAGTATCGTGCTCTTTCCCTGAGTCTGTATTGTTATCTTCACTCCAGCCGTGATCATGTTCACCCTAGGATTAGATGTTGACCTAATTGTTTTTCTAAATACAGCAGTTAATAACTTACCCTCTCAATGGTCAAATTCACCAAGTACATGCACCAAGATGAGACCATAAAAAGTATATCAAGCAGAGTTAGATTTATCATTGTAAGAACTGCATAAGCTGATATAAATCTAGCTTATTATCATGGTTGTGAAAAATGAGGTGACTTTTTTTGTATGTGTGTTGCAGGACAATGAATGTGTTCCTGATTGTTTTCCTTATCGTGCTGCTGAGTCAAGGAGCTCTGTGTGCTGGTCTGATGTTCTGGAAACAAGGTACACCATCAGGGAAGCCATCCTATATCTATCAAGAAGAACTTAAAATCACAGTAAGTTTATCTGTGCTTTTTGTTTTTAGTATGATTTTTGATGATGAATAATTTTTTCAGTTGACAATGCTTTTTCAGTTTGTATCATGAAGGCTAAATGTTTTATCATGAAGTAAATTTAATTTGACCCACAGCTCACCTGTGAAAATCATTGCTTTAATTGATTTTCATCTGCAGGTGGAATGAAAGTTATTGCATTGAAAATTATTTTTAGAGCCCTCCACGGGAAAGAAGAACACTCCAAAATGTGCCTGCTTCTCAAGCTATGGCTTCATAGCTCATTTGGTAGTAGAACCCAATAAGCATATCTGGGAGGCACAAAATCAAATCTCATTACAGCCTAAATTTTTTCTCTGCAATTGCTTAAAATGCAGCACACTTGTGAGGATCACAGCTTTATACTATGTTGAGTTAATACAATGAAAAAATAAAAATATAAAGGAATTTCCTCCACCTAAATCTGCCCCAAGAAAACTCTTTACTTTCCCTTTAAGTTCACAGGTTCTAATGGTGTACTGGATACATTTCTTGTATTTCTTATTCTGTACAATTACGTCATTCCCATCTCACTGTATGTTACAGTTGGTAAGTTTCCATTATTTGTCATTTAATGTTGCTGATTACAAAAAGTAAACTATGTTGCTGATTACAAAAAGTAAACTAACTAAAGGTACCTGTTGTAAAGTGATCATCTAGATAAGGGCAAAATAAGTAGTCACCTTATTGTTGTCAGTTGTGGTGGATATCTATTAATTAGAATGTAAATTCTTAGTTTAGCTGCATTTTAAATTTAGTGATCAAAAAACTAATTAACTACAATGTAATCCTCAGATTTTTATCAAAGACTGTCAAAAACACAGATGCTCAAAACTAAATAAACTATAATTTCATCTTTATGTTAATTTTTCTGATGTTAGATTGAGATGTCTTATTTAGCCTGTATACATGTTGCCATTTGTTCTCACCTAGAGCTTCAAAAGTTTATTGGGGCATTGTTTTTTGCTTGGGATCTTAAAATGTACTTGGAGGTGAGAAGAAGATTGTTTCAAGAATTTGTGTGTCAATTTGTTGCATGTATTTAGGGTTTTGAATTCATTGTAGGTTCTTATGCAGGTTTATGTATGTCAGCAATGTTCTTGCATAACTAGTAGTTCAAATTTTTAAGCTATGTGAATGTAATTTTGAAATGTTACATGCATCTTGATACTGTAACCACCAACATAGAAACTTAGTAAAGAAACTATAAAGTTTGGTGATTTATGTTGCTAAGTTAGCTTTCATCAGAGTGATAGGAAACTTCTTTCAAAAGCTTGTTTGTTCAACTGTTTGTTTGTTTACCTGTTTAGGAAACAGATGAGCAGGCCATTGCCAATACATCTGACCTGAATGAAGAACTAGGACAGGTAGATAATTGATGAGTTTTGTTAAGTTATTGTCTTTTATTCTGATAATTCAAAATAAGAAGCCATCTGAACTCTCAAGGTTGTCAAACTATGTGTGAATTCTATGGATTTTGGTTAACAGCTTTCTCCAGACAGTAGGAATTAGAGAGATTTAATGATTGGTATACATTATTTTCCTAGATCGAGTATGTGTTTACTGACAAGACAGGAACACTTACTGAAAATGATATGCAGTTCAGAGAATGTTCTATAAATGGTTACCAATATGTGGTGAGTAATCATGCAACATGAAAATCTTTGCTAACTTTGTCAATCGTGCTTGAAAAACAGTTTTTTTTAAAATTTAAATTTTCAGCTTGGTACAGACTTATCTGTGTCTCAGTTTTTTTATTATTATTAAACTATGTAAACCAGTTTATCCTGGGATTTAGCTTCATTGATACTTTTTAATCGTGTTAAATGTTTTATTTTTGTTTGTGTGTTTTCTTTTCCAGGAGTTAAACAGTCAGTTATTTGTGGCAGATCAAACAGATGGTGCTTGTGTTTCTGCTCAAAGTGTCTCTGTAGGTTGAAGTTTATTTGTAACTTCCATAATTTTAATAAAAAAGATTCATCCAATAAACTTGGATTCCACTAACCTGTATGTCCAGTGGAATTTGTGACTGTCTAAGGTAATTTTATTTTGTTTTTAACTCTTATCAAGACACCTACGTAACCAAGAATAACATGTTTGTGCTTGAATGATTTTATTTCCAGTCAGAAGTTATGCAGTTCTTCTTGGCACTGTCCCTTTGCCATACTGTTCAAGCCTCCAAGGAGACCAATCAAGATTCTATCTATGATTATCGGTACCAGGTAACTGTGACAATTGCTAATTATTTATTTATTTATTTAATGGATTTGTACAAGTACAAGTACAGGTGCACAAGTACAAGTAAGCTAAGTTTAGTAAAAAGAACAAAGACATTCTCTACTCTTTGAGTAGAAAGCAGAGAAGTGTGTACAAGTCACAGGTTTTTTTACTTTCTTAAAGTCACATTCTCTTAAATTTTTATTTGTCTAGTGCCAGTGACTTAACTGGCAGCTAAAGGCTCTATTTTTTTCCCTTACAAAGTTTTTCTCTTTTAGAACTTAATTAGTATTCCTTTACAAGTGTCTTAAAGTTTAAAGGCTTGTTTTTTGAGATTTTGAAAAATATTGTGTTTCTCATGCAGGCTTCATCTCCTGATGAAAAAGCTTTAGTGGAAGCAGCTGTAAGGTGAGCTGTTATTAATCTGATTATATCATTTTCCTTCCCTGTTACACTGCCTCTTGCTCTCTGACCCTCTGCCCACCCTCTCACCCCCCCTACCCACAAACTCCCCTCCCCGTCACTTCATAGGTTTCTTCTCTGTCCTTCCTCATTAGGCTAGCAGGATTGTGTAGTTTCTTCTCTTTTTTTTCCTAAGCCCACTATATGTGGGGTCAGTGACAGGCTGCTGCTTGTTTGATTCATCTATTTCATTGGTACTGTTTTGTTTACAGATTTGGAGTCACCTACCGAGGAAAGATCGGTGATGATATCGAAGTCAAAGTTGATGATGTGATTGAAAGGTTTAATGAAACTTATTGTGGTTCAGAGAGATTTGTTAAGTGAAGCGTAAATGATCTAAGAGCTTCATCTGCGGTATTTTTTTTTTATTCCAGGTACACACTTCTTCATGTTCTTGAATTTGATTCAACAAGAAAAAGAATGAGTGTTATCGTTAAGTCACCGAGAGGTAAGTGAACCTAAGATTTATGCCTCTTGAAGACAATATGTGATTCTCTTGAAGACAGTACTGTGATTCTCTTGAGGACAGTGCTGCAATTCTCTTGAAGTCGATGTTTGTACTAGATTTTGTCGGTCAATTTCTTTACCTTAACAGGAAAAATTTCCGTTATCATGGTCGCTTCAAGAATAAGCTTCGGGGAAAATTTCAGAAGTAGTTTTTTATAGGGCTCTAAGGATCAGGACTTAGGAATATTATGAGCAAGTCATCTTTGTAGTTTATCACAATGCACTCACATCGACATGTCCAAACTAGAAATTAGCTAGTTTTCATTTTAAAGTTTACTTCGTTGTCTTTGTTCCAGGTGAGCATGTGATGCTAGTGAAGGGAGCTGAGACTGCTGTGCTGGATCGACTGGCGTCTGGACCCAAAGATATTACTCTTGATCATGTGAATGAATATGCCGAGGTGTGTGTGATAGTTGAACTAGCTGATGTCACTTCCGAGATGATGAATCAATCAACCTGTAGTCAGCTGTGGAATAGCGCTACCACATCTGAGTTTAAATATTTTAAAGTTGCTATTGGTATTGAGTTGTTTTCTTTTGGTTAACAGAAAGGACTGCGGACATTAGCTGTTGGTCGTAGAGTGCTTTCTGGAGAAGAATATGTTGTTATTAATGCTAAGGTGAGTGCTTCGTTTACTAAAACCAGCAGTATCATAAACCCCTTTCTGAAAATAACAACTTGAAAAGGTTGCTTATTATTAAGCAACGTTATTAATTGAATGACATAGAGGAGATGAATTATAACCAAGAGGAATTTGCCCTTTGCTAGCTTTTTTTAATAGGGAAACACCCAAACTATCAGTACCAATCTGTTTCTTATCCCTTTATGATTTGTGAATATTGCTGATTGTTTTGCAATTTAGATCAACAAGGCCAAACAAGCAATTCTTGATAGAGAAGAACAGGTATGTATACACGTCTGTTGTTGTATTTGAACTTAAACGTGTTCTGAAAAGCCTCTATTGATGTGTAAAAATCTAGATCAATCTGCGAGCTTCCACAAATTGTTCAGGAGACATTGAGCCCTCATTTTAATAGCACTACAAACTAATTAAAAAGAAAATGCCTTAAAGTGGATCTTTGTTTAAAATTGTAGTTACGCCTTTGCGTCTCAATGTTTGGGTTATCGTTCTTGTAAGGAACGTTTGTTTGTGCCTACTGATTCTAATTGCATATTTTGGTTGATGATGCAGCTTGCACGTGTTTATGATGAAGTGGAGAGAGATTTTCACATCCTTGGAGCAACGGCTGTTGAAGATAGGTATGTTAGTCGTAATTACATTTGGTGCAACCTGTGAACATACAGTAGTTTATTCAGAGCAAGAAGATGGGTAAGTTGAAGGATTCAGTAAGATTCATTAAGGAAATTAGAGCCTTTTTGTCAAACTTCAGGTAGGTTGACTAGACTTATCATACAATGTTTTCCACCTGTTTGGTTCCAGATTGCAGGATGGAGTCCCGCAAACAATAGAAGCCTTGCGTGAAGCAGGGATCAAGGTAAGCACGACAGTGAATATATGCATATATTTCATTTCTTCAAGAATATGTACCAGTCCTTAACTCTAAATTTCTCGCTATATTCCTACATTTGTCTCGTGGTCCTTGAGGTATATTTTGGTGTTGCTGTTTATTTTGATGCCTGTTTTTTTGTACAGGTGTGGGTTCTTACTGGAGACAAGCAGGAAACAGCAGTCAACATCAGTCACTCATGTGGACATTTCAAGGTTTCATATACAAACCTTTTTGTACAAAACTTACATTGACAGTGATGGGTCTTTTGTGATTACCATGGTGAACTGTTAGTGATGCTACACAAAGTAATAATTGTTAGCGTGGCTTTTAATAATAGATTGTTGAAAATTGGTCGGTGATAATTCTTCTTCTACGTCTATTGTCGGGCCATGGAAAGTTGTCAGTCGTATGAGGAAGGTTATAATGTAATTAAAATACTGGTTTTCCATTCGCTTGACAGACAAAGCGTGTTTCAGTTTTACATTCCCTCAGACCAATGTTTCGAGTTGTAATGTCCCAGAGTGTTACCTTTGACTGCCTCTGGTGATGTTGCGTATCTTAGAAGGTCTAAGATCTGCTTCGTTGTCTGGGTCTATGTATTATGATTGGTACACCCAATGTTACCCATTACCAAAGATTGAATGGGGGATTGAATGGTTATAAGATTGTGTTCACGAAATGGTCGTCAGACATGGTGCTCCTCTGCGACAGCTGTGGCTGGAATTGGACAACTGTGACAATTCTGTCTCTGTCCTTTGCAGGCGGGAATGGAAATGATGTTTGTCACAAAGAAGCAGTCGGAGAGAGAATGTCAAGAAGAGCTTGTTAGCTGCCATGACAAGTGGGTAGTTTTAATGCTGGAAAACTGTGTCATATGTGAATTACTATTCGTGGCACGTTGTGACAGATCATTTTTCTTATTTTTATTTTGTGCTCCGTGGTTGCAGGATTCAACGCCGACCGCCCACAGACAGTAGGCAGTATGCTTTAGTTATCGACGGTGTTAGTTTGTCTCATGTTCTTCGGGGCTGTTCAGGTAAGCGCAGTTACCTCATATCGAAAAGTGTGTTTCTATTGAAATGAAATTAGGAGAGCGGAGACAATTGAAAAATCCAAACTTGCTAACTCCAGGCTAACAGGAGTTGGGTTTCGAGACCTTCATAGAAGGGGTACATTGAAATTTATTGGTGACTCTCTGAGCGTCAGTCATCACCAAATCCTTATTTCTATTTGTCAGTCTATTTCTGTTTTAGTAATTACAGAAAAAGGGAAGTTGCCGCAAAGCTTACAGATGTTACAATGTCGGGGGGAGGGGGGGGGGGTAGATCATGTAAAGAATGGTCAGCAACACCGCTTTTATGACTTGTGTAGGAGTAGTCTTGAACAGTTTATTTCATACTAAGAGGCAATTCTTCGTTTAAGTCGTAGTTACCAGGCTTCGTTATGTGTAAAATGGCATGTACTTGTTTTTTGCAGAATTGTTTGAAGGAATCTGTCAAAAATGTGTTGCTGTATTGTGCTGTAGAATGTCGCCTTTACAGAAAGCTCAGGTATCTTGCGTAAATAATAGTGATAATGATGAAGATAAAGACATTTGCCTTTTTTTTCAACCTCAGCATCACACGCAAGTTCTCAGTTCATGAGTGTTTGCAAAGACGTGATAGGCTTGGAAAGTGTCCGCATTTCCGCATTAACGAGAGTCCGTAAAGACGGGAGTTTATTTCAGTCATTTCTTTATGAGTTTCGCCGAATAGCGGGGTGTCCGTAATAGCGAGGTATCCGCAGGGCGAGAGTTGATTGTATGTAGTTTTTTGCTCTCTGGAATATCAAAAGAGAATGAGTTTTGTTTCCTATGACGAAGTCTGTGTTTCTGTTTACAGATTGTCCAGTTAGTAAAGAGCTCCTGTGAAAAGCCGGTGACTCTTGCCATAGGTGACGGTGCTAATGATTGTGGTATGATTCAAGAGGCTCATGTGGGTATCGGTATCATGGGAAAAGAGGGTCGGCAGGCGGTCAGGACAAGTGACTACGCTGTGGCTAGGTTCAAATTTCTACGGAGGATACTGTTGGTGCATGGCCACTATTATTATGTTAGAGCTGCAGTTATGGTGCAGTACTTTTTCTATAAGGTAACTTATTTGGCTTTGGGTAAACCTTGTTAGGTCCATGTGCACACAGCTACAGGTTCACATACAGTGATTCAAAGAACATAAGCAATTGCCGCCTTGTGGGCAGAGTGAAGTGGTCGTTATAGAGAGGTGGCTGCGTTAGGGAGAGGTTGGGTTACAATATCACAAATTTTATTTCGAAGGCTAGAACTTTTTATTTATTTATTTATTTTAATATACTTTTCCGAGGAGGTTAATGCTTAAAGTGATCAAAATATATTTATGACAACGAAATAAGAAACTAATTCTCGAGTGAAGCCCAGTGACTACATTTGTCGTGCATCGTTCGGTTTTAGTCTCGAAGGCGAATAATTTTTTCTTCCGATAAATAGAGCTGACAGCGATGGTTTGCTCGAGCGAATTGTCACAGCGCCGCTCATCAGTCGGTGATGAATTGGTTTTGGTTGAGAGATTTATTTTTTTACGATTAGGACGCGCTTTAATTGTGGTTGCTGGTTTAGACAGGTGGCCTTTTTTGATAGAAAACAGGGAAGTGGTTGGTGAAAAATGGTTCAACCCGTATTTAGTAAGAGTGTGTGATGCGCCCTATCTAAATTAAAATTGGAAGGTAAAGGAGTGGTTCGCCCCTCCCCACAACCTATGTATTTTGACGTGATCAGTCTCTGTGTGCCTGAAAAATGTTGATAAAAATTATGTTCTTCCAACTAATCGTATTGATCTTACCGAGTCTAACAAGTGCTTACTTCCTCGTTGTGACACTCCTCGGTTTAAAGTACCACGAGTCCAGTATTTACACGGCAAACCCCGAGTCCCTCAACTTGTTGTATTCTAACATAGCGTTATGTTCTATTTATCAGAATGTGTGTTTCATCACACCACAGTTTTTCTACGCATTTTTTACCTCTTTCTCCGGTCAGGTGCGTATATAAATGCAATATTTGAGTCCTCATTGAATAGGCCACATTTTTTCTGTAGTCTGAAGAGGATTATTTTGTTTATGCATAGCATGTGCGACAAGAAACATTTTCAGAATAATAGTAGATGCAAAGTTACGCTTGCGGCAGCAATCAGCCAGGCAGGGCTTGCTGTATAAGCTATCGCTTAACTTTGTGTATGATTTGTTCCTCTTTGCAGCCGTTGTACCTCGCATTCTTTTTAACCGCTTACAACATTTTCTTCACGTCGCTTCCCATTTTTGTCTATGGCATATTTGAGCAGAATGTCAACGGTGACGCATTACAAAGTCAGCCGCACTTATATAGGTTCTGTATGCAAATGTTTGTTGGTAATACTTTTCTTCATTGTCATCAAATATCCTCCTAGCTGTTTTAAATTGGTACCCCTAGAACCATAAAGCATACCTAAACTATTGAAGAACCAATTGATTTAAATTCGAATTTTATCAACCTATACCTGTTTTCACGATAACAAAATGTTTGAAGTCATTGTTTCATTTTGTTCTGTGATTGGTTTGTATTGTTTATTGTTATTTTTTTCCGTTGGTACACTGAATATGAATAATGAAGAAACTTTTGAAACCATGAAACAAACTAAAAGACCGGCAGATTGACAACAGGTAATCGAATGTAGTAGCCTCTTGCCAGTTTTACGGGTTCTTATCAAAATTAAACATTTCCTTTTTTCCTCAGGGATATAAGTAAGAATTATCGCTTATCATGGACAGAATTCTTCTTTTGGGTAATGTCTGGTGAGTTGTTTTAGGTTTACACTTTCTGCGTACTTATTTTCTGTATCTTTGGTTTTGTTTTTTTCTCTTTTTTTCCCTCTCTTACTGATTATACTGAGTAATGGTTGTATTTTTGTCGTAAGGTTATTGGCACGCATTAGTATTCTTTTTTGGATCGTACTTCTTCTTTCAAGGCGACGCAATAGGACCTGCCATGTTGGTAAGATATTTGTCGTACGTTCAATTTTACCGTCTTCGACTAAAAATCGAAATCTGTCTTGCAATACAATATGAGATATATTTTCAAATTTAGCTCACTTCACTAATCAAATGAAAGGTGTAATGCATTATGAGCTAAGATGTCACCCAACTTTTCCCCTTGTCCTGTGGAGGTCGACGTAGTGTCATCACCGTTGTTTGATTGATACTTTGTAAGTAGGTCTGTGGTTCTTTTCCTCTTTCAAATGAAAGAAGCAAATATCTTTACTGCTTAGTTACATTCAATAAGTGAAGAAGCATCGTATTCCTCTTTTTTTCTTTCCCCAGCAATATGGGAACTGGTCATTTGGAACGTTTGTGTTTACTGTTTGCGTCATAGTCAGTAATCTCAAGGTAAGTGTCTCTCAGTGTTTTAGTAGAAAGAAAGAATCATTCGGAAACAACTTCATGCAACTGTCGCCAGTCACGCATTAATAAATAAACGTCGTCATGATTACAGATGTTATTTACATTTCAGCTGGCACTGGTTACACATTACTGGACATGGATGACTCACGTTTCTACATGGGGCTCCATCATTCTGTTTTTCGTGTCCACCATCACATATAACAGTGAGACTTGGTTAGTACACAGAACATAATTTTTACCCGTTGAGAACTTAAGTGTACGTATCCATATTGCACCGACTGTTCGTGGACTGTTGGCATATTTCAAGAAATAAGCACTGCTATACAGAATTATGTGTACGTTTTAGAAAGTGCACTGACATGTTCATAGACTGTTGGCATATTCCAAGAAAACATTTCTGCAATACAGAATTAATTATATGTTTTAGGCATGAGTAAAGCTTCCTAGTGCCCCGTCACCAAACTTCATCGTGATAATCACGATCATGCGGGTACAATCGTACAGGATACCATTTTGAAGGAGCTGTATCAGTGTGTTTGATACACCAAATGTACACGTTTCTGGACTAACTATAGGATCCAACCATTAATATTGCTTTTCAGGAAGGGTTTCCAGCTAGCATTCAGTGACGTGATATCATTAGACATGTACAAATTATTCTACCAACTGTTGTCCCAAGGAGTGGTATGGCTGGCCATATTGTTACTCATCTTCATGGCTCTTTTACCTGATATCTTCTTCATGCTCGTTGGTCGACAATTTTATCCTTCAGAGACACAAAGAGTACAGGTGATTGTTATCCCATTTTTCCTGTTTAGTCTTAAGGATTTCTTTATATGTGTTAACTGGAAGCTTTGTTATTAATCCTAAGTGAGTTGGATTGCTTGGGAAAGGTGTGTCAAGCATCTTCCTCAACTGCCAAATATCAACTCGAGTTTCGTAACAGAGACACAAGCGAGCGGTTTTACTTTTTCCTATTTTTCCATTATCTTTGGAATGTGGACAAAGGATCCATTTTTTTCATTTTAGCGACGAGTCCTTGCGGTGAAGTCCGTATCATGCTTCATCATAAAAGGCGCTAATGACCCGAAAAACTCATTCTTTCTCATCCAGACACACATGAACAGTTTCTCAGTTCTGTTTGTTGTCCTCCTTTAAAAAACCCGCTACTGCAACTGAAAATCTGTCAACAATTCGCACATTCTGAATGGGATGCTACAACTGTAAACTAATCTGCAAATACCACTTCGTTAAAACTTGGTATGTAACATAAAGTTTATTGCAAAACCAAAAAAGATGATGGTTTTCTTTTCGTTGGTTCACTTAAACCGATCAGTTGTCCGCAACCTAAAAATTAAACCAGCCAGTTAGGCAGGTAAATCGGCACCAATGTCAACTGCTCAAATGTGAACAGTCGTGTCATTTGCCTGGAGACTTTCTGTTTCAAGCTATATTCATTCGTATCAAAACATCATTTAAGTTCATGGACGGATCGTACAATATTTTCTTTTGTCGAACCAAACCGTTGTTCAATGTGCGTGGTCTGACGTGTATCTCATTGGATAACATCAATCTCGGACAACACATCAATGCAGGTAGAGTTCTTTTCCAGCTTTTAGTAGTCTTTCACGTTAAAGGAAAACGCACTAGGTGTAGTGAATAATTAACTAATACTTTTCCCTTTTTTACACATCTTTCAACGATGTAAATTTGATCTGAAACCTGTGGCCATCGACCGCGCGTAATTGCACCTGAAATCACTACATTGAGTTGCACATAGTTCTCTATCACATTTAGCGCTTTTTTTCTTAGTTCAAGATCTTTGTTTTCAGGTTGATACCGGAAGACAGGATAGGGCGGTACTTACAAGCAGTGTGGATGTTGGCACAGTATCGTCTGTGGCACCAGAGTTCTCTACTGAAAGCGACGTGTCATTGATCGCATTTACTAGTAGCAATACTTCAGATTTGCAGCAAGTTTAAGAACTTTTTGAGCTAGTTATTGGATTATTTTTCAGTTAATTTTACAATTTAGTGAATTTAGACTGTTTTAATGATAAATTAAGCGTACGAAATTGTGTGAGTTAAAATCTAGATCGGTGCTTTCTTGAGTAAATAAGATACTAAAAATAATTTTAAAATATAGTGAGATGATATGAAGATGAAATAGCTCAGGAAATTACATAGAATATCTAAATTTGTAGAAGATGATCACTCGTGAATATAACTTTGTCTTTGTTCAGAAAGTACTTAAACATTACAAAGAGAATTTTGAAAATAAACTTTAGAATGAATTGAGTGCTTATTTTGTTAGTTTGGACGACATACCCTAGGGAAGGTTGACGTGCTCAAATTGGTATTATTCTAAACCACTCCTACTTTTTTTTACTTTTCACATTTAAAATGAGACAGTTGTTATGGTCAACCGAAACGAAGATTCTTGTCAGTGCCATTGACATGTAAACCCCAGAATTATATGAGTTTCGTTTGCATAGCACTTCTTAAGAGGGTTTTAGCTTTTTTTTTCTTTTCAGTGCGACCTCTTTCTTTTAGAAAGTGGTTGATAGAGAGGTACAGAATATAGTGCAATCAGCATTTTACTTTTCATTCCTATTCCCTCTGCGTTTTTTTTTTTGCTTTATTTCGTTTTGCTTGCTTCTGTTTGGGTATTTTTTTAAATTTGCACTTCTGTTGTAATGACGTTGCTTTTGTGTAACTGATCATTCTTTCTATCAAGGCGCAGGGCCAAAGACGAGCTGTTGTCAGTAATTACTTTAATGCAATATGTCCTGAGGAGAGTATCCGGGACAACTAGTAAGTCGAGCATGGCAGCTGATGAAACCAGCGAAATAATTGGTTATCTATTGCTTTACTTCACCGTCTATTTGTACATTCAAGAGGTACATTAATGCAAGTGCTGCGCTTTGGCCCTGCCCTCTAACAAGCAGGATCTATTCTTTGGCTCTTTCATCTATTAGTAGAGCTGATTTGCTAATCATTAATCATTTGGTTTTGGTTACTTTTCTTTTTTTTTTTTTTTAAGAAAAAAACAACCACGAACACTCTTTTTCACTGAATGTCCTACCGAATAAATTGTTTTTCTCTGTGAATCTATCTGATGTCTACATGAGCACCATCACCCAGAATTTTTATAACCGTTGTGATGTGTTAAGTGTCTGTGTTCGTGTGTAAGTTGCACTTTTTATTTAGGTGAGTTCTTCGCGTTTTCCGATAATTCAAATCTCTCACTTTATTTGTAGGTGAGAGTGATTCATTCTCTGGAGACGTGGCTGTAGCTGCTGCTGCTTCTCAGCTGCTGTTCTTCTTCTCACTTACTGTGGATATCCTTACCTTTCACTGGAGTGCAGTCATCTTTCACTCATATATTTTCACTTAGTTGCCGTTTTAACTTTGTTTTCAAAACAAAGTTAAAACAGTTTGCTCTAGCGAAGGAACGTATTTCTTTTGATTTCTTTAAACAACTTCCCACGATCCCAGTAGGATAAATGCAACTGATCCATTCTCTTTCGTTTCCTCAATCAGGAACATAATTCTCAACTCGAAGCTCTTCTTCCTTGACTTTCTCTTTTCTTCTTTTTCATTTTTGAATGAGACGAGAAAACCAGATGCAGACAGGTTAAGGGGTCAGTTTTTTATTTAAGTAGTTATTAGTTAGCTTGTGAGCTCTGAAACATATTGAAAATTTGCAATGAAAATGCCGTTGATCATAACAACAAGTAGGCAGACTCAGATGAACCAATCAGGTTTGTCTAAAATCACGCAAAGAAGGTTACTTCGTCCTGAAAAGTGAGGAGAGATAGATGGCAAATTTTACTTACTTTCAAACAGATACGATGAAACATTGAGAGTAACTAGGGATCTTCTCATTGTACGATCAATGTTTCTTTTGTCGATTTGAGGCTAGAAACAAAATAACTAGGAACGACGAAATCTGGTGTTGGTGCACAATTTCACTTGTTTTTAACCAGTTTTTTTAGTGTAACGTAATTTGTGAGGTGATGTAAATTTTTTTCAACTGTTATGATGCCACAGTTGACGAAAATTATTGTACTTAAGTCTAAAATCTGAATAGAGAAACGTCATTATTTATGGTTCAAATAAAATGTTTCTGAATGTAAGAAACGCATCCATTTATTTTTAGTAGTTGAAGGCTATTCGTGTAACATTTGCAGAATTTAACCTAATTCTTTTACACGCTTCCAATAGGTCGAGTACTCTAATAAGCTTGTGAATAAACATGAAAGTTTCACCTGACCCTATGACTTTGAGTTCCTCTCTTGTTTATCCACACTACGGTGTTAACTACAGCACAAATCACATCTTAACAAGACATGCTCCAGCATTTGCATCAGGACTATATTGGGTTTAGCAGGGTTTCACTAAAAGCCGGTTATCGGTGGGCAACCTCCCCCCCCCTCACTCTATAAAGACTCTTATCACCGTCTTCCAAGCACAGCCACCGAGGGAAACACTGTTCAGTGTCGCCGAACAGTATTTCAACAATGTTGAGTGAAATACTCGTCGTAACTTCAACCAATCTTTATTACTCTTATTTAACTTTCTTAAATCCAGCACTTGTGGTTAATGACTACAATTTCCCTTTTTTCGGCAAAGGTTGGTATTCTAGGAATGACGAAACATTCAGAGTGAAACAAAGCAATTGCACGGGTGCGGATCTTTTCCCCCTCTCGCTTTAGTTACTCTCCCCATTCTTTCCTCTGCTCCCCCCTCCCCCCTCCCCCTCACCCTCTCTCCTTCCCCGTCTTTGGTAATGGAAAGTAGTAAAGTAATCGGAAAGTAGGAAGTAATCGACACGTAAAGTTTAAGACTTGTTTGTTTTAAAGAAATTAAAGTTTCTCAGAATCAGACGTGATGGTCGATTTTCTCGAAGGAAAGTCATGAATGTGTGTTGTTAGAATCATTTGATTATAAATGTAAAATTAAGACACCAACTAAATTGCAAAGCTGGAACCTCCCGAATGCAATGTAAATTAGCAATTGTTTACCGACGTGTAGATGAGTAGTGATGGATATCTACCTTTTTCCACCGACTCTGAGGTGAACAATTTTTATTGTATACACCTCGCATGCTGAATAAGCTTCGAAAACTGACTTCACTTTCGTCAATTTTTGACATATGGTTGGTCATTAAAATTTTCAGGCTCACTCGCCACTAGAATGTTTCTTTCCACAAAAAAATCCAGTCTTCCTTTCCTGTGGATAGGCAAAATTTCTTAATGCTCCTGCTCAAGTGCCTGTGTACTATTTCTCAATGTGGTTTTCGCATCTCTTTGAGACATTTTGTAACCCCACCCCTGACGCTGCTGAACGTTAGATGTCTGTTCTCTCCCTTCGATAGACTTTAATTTTTCACCCTAGATTTTGAGGTTGGAAAACTGAAATAACTCACCATTTAATGCCGTCAAACCAGGCTTCGTTGCAGTTTTTGTATTTTATGTAACAAAATAGAAAATACGTCATTAACAGCAACGAGACGAAAAGTAATTTTGTGTTTCTTCGCCTGCTCAGTAGTGTAAGGTGCTTTGCTAATCACCTCCCAGTAAGCCAATCGACGTGTGTCAAAAGATAAATGCCAATAAGCTAATTATTATTTTTTCTTTGTCTTTCTCAGGCTGATCGTTGTCCAGCAAACAAACACAAAAAGAGTTCAGTGGCTAACTGTAGTGAAACAAGCAACAACAAAACATGTGAATCAATGGTGATACTCGACTATGAGCAGGGAAGTACTGTCACGCTCACCAGTGTGAAGCAGTAACCAGCTGCTGGTTACTTTTTGTCAACTGTACTTCAAACGCAGCCGCTTTTCGCGTAAATCCACCAGCCGAGCGAGAGCTTGGTCTAGTGTTCATGGGAAGGGAGGACGATCACATATTAGAACCTTACATACACGTCATATTTACTTCTTAAGCAAAGGTTTTCACCGAAAACATGAAGTTAGGTAGCTAATTTTACTTAAAAGCAGCTACACTCATGTTGATCAGTCTAATCGAATAAAAGTGCAATAAAGCCTTAGTTCCTAGAGCACCGATAGTTTTTTAAATAAATTGATTCGCACTTAGGAAAAAAACATTAAGTAGGTAATTTCATCTTTTATTACACCCATTTTGAAATCATTGGTGGTCCCTGTAATGTGATTGGCTCTAATTGATGCAATTTACTCACGAATCACACCAATTTTTGCTTGAAATCGCATCTTTTTCTCAGCTAATGAGGAGGCTACACTAAAAACACAACCACCAATCAGATTTCAAGGCTTGTTTAAAGTAACCAATCAAATTGCAGGAAAATGAATGACAAAGAGTATATCATGTGGCAAATTTTGCAACTTTTGTTTCCAAACTTTTACTTTTTCCCCCCAAAAATGGATGAATTAATTTCAGACCGGCTCAGTACTGCATCAATAAAATATTTGAACTTACCAAGTACTGTATTTGGGCGATTTCAAAATGGATGTAACAAAGTGGTAATTGAACCTCGTGTCGTGCAATTTTGGTCTGAAATCATACTTGTGATTTCAAATCACGTGTATGATTTCCGCCCAAATTGCATTCCACTCAGTTCAATTTCCACTATTAATATGCTCCAAATCTTCGTCACAGTAAACGTTTGACAAGTTTTAGAGGAGTTCTAGATTACACCAACAAAGTAAGGTTCTGTATAAAACAGTGAAAACTTCGAAGGTGGCTGAAATTAGATTTTGAAGTTAAGTATTGCTAACCCACACTTTATCCAACTGGTTTCCTTTATATCTCCTTCTACCTTCTTTTTATTTGTTATTCACACCCTTCCCTCTATAGAGCAAAACTTTTACCGGACTCAACATTGCAAGGCCGTGAATTGTTGTAAATCTTGATAACTAGGATCGCGTTTGAATTATAGGTATCAACAAGAAAGGATAAGGCCATCATTGATGTTGGAATATGTATGTGAACGAAAACAACAACTTGGCTTTCCATTTATTTATAAAATACAAATATTGATGAACCGATAAGAATAATAGGGATTGTATTTATATAACTTAATTAGAAAATAGCTGCATTTTTTATACATATTCCCTTCAAAATGAGGTAAACACTGTTAAAAAACATAATTAAAGCAAAGTTGAATCATTAAAGCCCTGTTTTGTCAATTTATGGCGTACAATCAGTTTTGTGTCCGCATACACGCTTACGAAATATCAAGGGGCAAGTTAATCAAGGTTACTCAAAAATTGCTCGTTTACTCGTAAACAATAAATAGAAAGAAGAGATTGTGAGAAAGCTGATTTCGGAAAGTCACTCTACGCTTTCGGCCAATCATAAAAGAGGTAGTGTGTTGAATGTGTTTGATTTGAATTATTGATACTAAAATTAATATCCAACAAGCCAGGGAAATTTTCCAAGTATAAAAAATCCTCACTTGAAGTCTGCAAGTTCGGTTTTTGTTTTCAACTGAAGTATCGTAAACTAGTTAATAGGAGACGGAAATCTCCAAATTGAATTCATTAAGAATTCTCAAAGGGACTTTGCCTGGTGAAGTCAAAAGCGTATTTTGAAAGATTTTGGGCTTTAATTGATGCTTTTTTTTAAGTGATTCGAGTCTTCTTTGGCATATGGGCTCTTCATTTGGACTTCCAAAATTTCTATCTCGATTAAGATTGAAGGTAGACAACCTCCCTATGTTGAAAGTCGCAAACCCGTGTTGCGCCTGCTCTACATCTCATTGCATGTTATTAATTCAATGTGTGGTGTTAACATATAGAGGCATGTAACTTACATACAGAGTTACGTTGCGCGCGCAGGGCGCTCGCTGAGCCCTTCTAATATAACTAAAGAAAACCAATAAGATCCCGGAAATCTTGTCAGATGATGTACAGTCAATTAACTGTGATGCCCAATCACTGAAATTTTTATAAACCTCAGGTGTTTCTTTAAAGTCGTATGATAATTTGTACTCTTAGAGAATTTCTCGGTCCTACACGGTGAAGAGAAACATAAAGCGCATTTACTGAATACTTCCCGAACCCACCTTTACCCCGTTATAGACCCATTTATTTGTAATCGTTCATTTTATTCTGTTGTAAGAAGCATACCTTTATGTGGATTCAAACACTGGAAATGTTGCCGCGTGAAATTTAGTTTTTACTTAAGTCAAACGTCATGAAAAGAAATTAATGACGTCATAAATGCTGAAAGTAAACCCGCGTTGTGATAAATAACGTTGATTGGCGGCAAGAGTTATGTAGACCACATACACTGTTCTAACATGAACTCAACCGAAAATATTCCGATTGATCAATCTATTTGTTCCCTGTACGAAGGATTTGTGGAATTGGAGGAACTAGTTAGCTGTGATAATGAACTCATTTGGAAAGAACGAGCGCGGTGGATTAAGCTCGAAGAAGACGTAGATGAATGTGCCGAGCGATGGGGGAAGCCTCATGTTCCGTGTTTGACATATCGGAGCCTAAGGGAGGTTGAAACGAATCTACAAAATGGAGTGTGTTTGTTGGATCTCAATAGAGATACTCTACCTTCCATTTGTGATGCAATTATTGGTGAAGTCAAGGCGCAGAAAAAGTTGGAAGATGAAGAATGTCTCGTAGTGAAAACTCTTCTAATGACAAGACATGAACATCACCACCAGCATAAAGGTGGAAAACGAGTTAAGAACTTCGCCAGGCGCCTGTCACGGATCACGCCTAATGGACAGCGCTCCAGGACGCATTGTAATTCACATTCTCACTCACCAAATGTTTCGGAAGATGTCCACAGTTCAGGAGAAAGATACGAGGATTGGCACCAAGCTAAGTGGGTGACCCTTTACATTTTTACTGATAAGTACTTAATTACCTGCCTGAGGGCGACAGTAAGTTTTTCCCAAAAACCCTGACGGTAAAGGAGAACAAAACTTACCGTTCTCCTTTGAGCCAGTCATTAAGCGTGCTGTTACACTTCCCAAGATGAAATTTTCCGCTGTTTCAAGGTTCACAGCCTGATCGCGTCTGAGTGGAATTCTTCTTTTGGAGTTAGATATTTGGACGGAGTACTTGATTTAATCTGCATTCACTTGTGTTCTTGTGAAATTTCCTATTGCATGGATTCTAAGGCTAGAATTTATCGACTTAAAAGGCAAATGTTGATTATTTATTTATACGATGATCCCTCTTGATTTCAGGACGCAGCCAAATCCTAAACGAAACGTGTCAAATGATTTTCCAGCAGACGTAGCAGTGAGTTTCAGCCATGATCCTGTAGAGGAGTTCGTCGATCAGTTTGAGGATCACAAAGAAAAGTCAGATTTGAGAGGGAAACTTCCGACAAATTCTCAAGCAACCACTGTTTTGGTTGGGGCTCATAATAGCTTGACTTGTACCGTCAGTGCTTTTGTCAGACTCGCCACCGGTTGTGAACTGGGTAACTTAGCTGAAGTACAGATTCCTATAAGGTTTATGTTTATACTGTTGGGACCTGAAGATGACGGGATTGGTTATCATGAGGTCGGGCGTTCTTTTGCAACTCTTATGGCAGATAAACTCTTCCTGCAATCTGCTTATATGGCGAAGGTAAATTGTGCATCAAATCTTTCTCAATCCCTAGTCGATCAGCCTTCCTTTCTGTGTAATCTTATATTTACGAGAATTCAAGCCCGATGAGTTAAAAAATTATCATGTAACCATAAATTTTATGATAAAAATTGGTTACTCGTCAGTTGATCGCGATCCTCAGTAACACGTCATGTAAGTTATGGGAGTTGGAGACTTCTGCATAGCAGTTGGCAAGTTAGGAAAGAATCACTACTCGAAAATCAGGGTGTGACTATGAAAAACTTATTTTTATCCAATAGATTTGTTTTTCAAAGTGGTTACAGGCTAGTTCACCAACCATTAAGTGATGTTGACTCGAACGGAAACTGAAAAAATTTATTATCGATGTTTTAGCGTCAACAGGATCTCCTTGATTCTCTATTCAGCTTTATGGGAGACAGCCTTATAATTCCTCCAGGAGATTGGGATCGAAATCTTCTGAATCAAACAGTACCAATCTTAGCCACTCAGGCTAAGGAATTAGCCTTTAGGAGACGAAGAGGAGGAATTCAAAGCAAGGACAAACCAAACAACGAAACAATTGGCGAGGTTATTCAAGAAAATGAAGTGTGTGATGACCCTTTGTCTAGGACGGGAAAATTTTGTGGTGGACTTATACGAGATTTCAAAAGGCGACTTCCTTTCTACCCGAGTGATTTCAAAGATGCTTTGGACGTACATTGTCTACCGACAATTATCTTTGTGTACTTCGCTTGCCTTGCTCCTGCAATCACCTTCGGCGGTTTGTTGAGTGAGAAAACCAATGCATGGATGGGAGTTTCAGAGATGATATTTGCAACAGCATTATCAGGAGTTCTATTTGGCCTCTTTGCAGGACAGCCATTGATCATAACAGGGGCTACGGGTCCATTACTTGTGTTCGAGAAAAGCGTATTTCAGTTAAGCGAGCGATTTGAGGTGGAATTCCTCCCTTGGCGAGCTTGGGTTGGAATATGGGTGATGGTGATATGTTTTATCATTGTTGCAGTTGAAGGATGTTTTCTCATCAAATATTTTACACGTTTTACAGAAGAAATATTCGCCCTAATGATATCTATCATTTTTCTTTATGATGCGTTTAATTATGTTGGACATGTCTTTGATATGTATCCCTTGAATGCAGACATCGCGACTTATCTGTTGGTTCCATCAAATTCGACTAATCACAGGGAAGGAAACCCTACAGAATATCAGTCAACAGCAAATACAGCTCTGCTCACCACCGTTTTAATGCTGGGAACCTTCTTTGTCGCTTACTCTTTGAGAAAGTTACGTCACAGTCATTTCTTCGGACCCAGAGCTCGTCGCATAGTCAGTGATTTTGGAGTTTTCATTGCTATTGTTTCCATGGTGACAGTTGGTTGGTTGACAAAGGGTGTGTACACACAAAAACTGTCAGTTCCGGATGGTTTTTCTGTGCCCTCACCAAACAGAAACAGCTGGCTTATTAACCCCATGGGAGAACAACAACATATCAGTGCCGGCGCCATTTTTGGAGCTTTCATTCCCGCAGTTCTTGTCAGTATCTTGATTTTCATGGAAATTGAATTCACCGGTATTATTCTAGACAAAAAAGAACACAAATTGAAAAAAGGCGTGGGTTACAACCTGGATCTCTTCGTCCTTGGACTGTTAGTGGGTCTTTGCTCAGTTCTGGGCCTTCCATGGATGTGTGCCACCCCTGTTCATACATTGTCTCACTTTCATTCCCTGACAGTGCTCAGTACTAACAATGCCCCGGGGGAACATCCTCATTTGGTACAAGTCAAAGAACAACGTCTCACCAACATTGTGATTCACCTTCTGATCGGGTTCACTGTTCTTCTTTCGCCAGTGATGCGTCTTATTCCTATCGCTGTTCTGTTTGGAGTGTTTATTTTCCTGGGCGTGTCATCATTATCACACATTCAGCTGGTCGAGCGAATCAAGTTACTTTTCATCCCTGCTTCTCACCATCCTGTTGAAAAATTCGTGATGAATGTGAAAACGAGAAAAATGCACCTGTTCACTATTGTGCAAGTGTGTTGTGTATGCGCGCTTGTGGCCATGAAGCTCACTGTTGTTGCCCCAGCATTTCCTTTCTTTATTATCTGCATGATACCTCTTCGTAAGCTTCTAGAGCGGTTTTTCACCAGTGTAGAGCTAGAGGCGTTAGATACTGAAGTTGAGGATGTCTATGACAGTGACATGGATGAATATGACTCTATACATTTTCCTTTCTAAATTTTTGTTTTAAAGAAATTTAGAAATCTCTGTAGCAGTTAATTGTATTTACCAATGGTCACTCCTAAGTTCGTAAGCGATCATAGAGCTGATAAGAATCTGATGCCTGTGATGGCTGATAAGTGATTGTGAAACAGAACTTCTAGAATTGTTTGTTGTTTTGGGGCGTAGTTCAAACTGTCTGTCATTTAAATCAATTTTCCTTGTTATTCTGTTAGCATTGTTAGCTCTGTTTGAGCGTAAACTAAGCATCGTGGAGTAAAACTGTTCCATTCTTACGTCTGTTTCATTTCTCTCTAATACACAAACTAATCACAAGGCCAACACCTCGGGGACTCTAGAAGAAGAAAGATGGTTAGTTTTGAGCTCGGTGAAGAACGAGAGAATGATGTTTTTCGTCTTGTCACAAGCGTGGGACAAAGAAAAAATTGAGTTCCTTTTAGGAATCGAACCTCAGACCTTCGAATTCCGCGCTCCGATGCTCTACCACCGAGCCACAGAGACTCTATGGCCCATTACGAAGTTCATGTATTTATAAACATGACGCTATGGACATCGCCGACCATAGCGGTATGCAGGACGCGTGTCATACATGAACTTAGTGATGGGTATTCACCATAGAGTCTCTGTGGCTCAGTGGTAGAGCAATTCGAAGGTCTGAGGTTCGATTCCTCATGGGGACTCAGAATTTTTTTCTTTGTCCCACGCTCATGACAAGACGAAAACATCTTTTCCCCATCAACTTCCGCTCAAGCCCTCTACACTCGAGCCCGAGGTCATAGGTTGCTCGAAATTGATCTCTGCAATGAGGCCCAAAAATCACTTGCACAGGACTTTTCCACTTCTTTTGATTCTGTTTATGATCCAGGGAAAACAACATGGGATTGCAATCAAAAGCAGAAGAACCAACCAATCACAATACAGCGTTTTCGGCCCTCAAGTCACAAGCAACATCGATTTCGGTCACTTTAATTTCACCAGATCGTAACACCCTGTGCTTTTGATTACGATTACTTCCATCGTTTTTAAACCTTGATTGATAGTTGTCTCTTTCAGAGACTCCCCTTTTAACGTTAGCGTTTTGGAAAAGAAAGTCAGAACGACGGGCTCTGATCACAGGGCACACTTTAGGGTGTCCGTCAAGGAGGGTTGTCTATGCCCCAAGACAGGACGATAGACCAAAGAGGAAAGACCAAAGAGAAAACATAAATTCTAGAAAAATAATCATCCCAGAAGGAAATACCAGTGATAAAACAGACGAACCTCAAGCCAGTTCCACAGTGATTGCTTGTCCGCAGAGCTAAAATCCTTTCTGAGCATAGGTTATTCGACCCCAAAGCCAGTTTAAGAATGACTTTTATAAAACGAAATAAGCAAAAACAAAAAAAAAACCCTTTCAACCCTGAAAATTTTTTCAATAAATAAATTTCCTTCAAATTGTTATTAGTAATAACGATTTGTGTTGACATTTGAGTTCAAATGTCATTTCTTCAAGAGTCTTTTCCTCGGCTTCACAAGAGACTGCATTAACAACGCTCGGATCATCACTTGCTGCACTCCACTCCAGTCTACATCGATGGCTACTTTAATATTGTTATCATTGTTATCATTAATGTTATTACAATTATTTATCTCGATACGGCTTCAACTTGGGTCAAATCTTGTGTTCGCTGTACACTATCCGGGAGTTTCTCATTAACATCTTTGTTTGGTTCCACCTTTGAAAGCCTGCTTTCATTTGACTCCGAGTTTTCTTGATCCTTTCTTCGATCATATTCGCTGTTTTTAGCCTCATTTTTTTGGTGAGGAGGCTTGTCTTTTTCCTGTGTGGAGTCCTGTGGCATGACGGGTTCCAGAAGAACCAATAAGGCGTCGACATCAAGCCGCACATCAAGGAAACTACCCCCATACAGATTAGTCAAGACTGAACTCGGAAAAAATGCCTCTAAACATTCTTTCATGTAAGGCATCACTTGTTTTCCCAAAACTTGACAAAAATTGGCAAATGAGGCTCTTTCTGTCTCATTAAGAGCTGTTGCTTCAGTCCTGAAAACGATAAGAAACATTGGATCGAAAGGACACAAAATAATTAGTCGATATGAAGCTTTAACTCGAATTTTTCATTGATACTTGATTCAGTAAAAGTTCAAAACCCACCAAGAGTAACTGGAATCTTGGTGGCACTAGGACACATTTTGTTCACAATTTATGTCTACTGATAAGTTTTTGTGCTATTTCTTTCTGTTTCCAAAACCAAAATTTTCCATACGACGAAAATGACAGGAACCTCGACCTTTTGTAAATCAGTACAAATACCATAACGAATTATACCTCCAAAAAACGACAACATAAAAACTTTCATAACCACTCTAACGATATAAACCTGTTTCCTTACCTGTGGAATGCACATGTAGATTGTATGACTGTTTTCAATGCACTGCATACACTATCAGTAACAGGCGATGCGAGGGATATTGGCGCACAATGCCTCAGATTGTTGAAAGCAGAGAGAATACTGTTAATGAATGCTGCCAATGGAGGATGCTGTAACAATTCAATAGGAGGATTGAGCTCATCAGGCTGTCAAGACAACAAAGACATCAAATAAATTCACACTCATCTGGAAACTTCACATGTTCATCAAATTAAAAAGTTAATGAAAGTGTCTCATGTAAAGGTGACATGAATTTGGCAAAATCAACTTTGAAAACACAGCAACTTTAATCAACAGGAAAGTTCATCTCTACCTGTGCAACAGATGATGTTTTTTTTTTAAGAGAACCATTGAAAATTTGGTAAGAAATCTTCATTGGAAAATTGAACATTAACATAGTTTAAGGTTCAAGTTTGTTTGGTTGACATAATTGCACAAGGACAAAAAACCTTTCACTTATATTTAAAGAAATTGTACTATAAAAGATCTACAGCACAAAAGCTACTGGGGTACACCATTTTTGAACAAAGAATTCCTGAATGAGACTCAATGTACATACACAGATGTACCTATTACACTTTGAGTATGTACTGTAAGTAATGTGCACAAAGTAACAACTTGAACTCTTGTAATCAGACCAAGCTTTACAGTGAAAGTGATCAATAGATATGATGTTTAATTATTCTAATGAATAGATGTATCACAGAAGTAACAGAGAACAGGAAACTACTATAAGTTCAAGTACCTTGGTTGCCATTGTAGAAATTATTGTGGATGTGACTGTAGAAGGTACTGGCTGTGGTGAGAATGATTTCATGGCTTTATGAAAACTAAAGGAAAAATAAACAAACTGGCTGTGAGTAGATCATTTGATGTACAAACAGATCAAGTTTTATTAATAATTTTGGCATATGTGCAATGTTCCATTCCCCATGTTGTAGCCCAGTTGCACTCATTCCAATGCAGAGTTTGAAATTCCACTGTCACTATGGTGAAATTCCACCATACATGACATACAATATCTTTTTAATTACTGGGGTCACTAATTAATCCGTTGTATTATTAGAAACAACGATTCTTAATAAATTCATATGAGTCAATTGGGCCAACTTAGATGGGAACTATTTATCCTTTTATGTGATCAGACTGGTCAATTTTGTGTAAGTATTGTGAAACATGAGACAGAAAGGACATTGAAAGTACTCATATGATAAAAAATTGTTTGGCTTTGATTTTAATCCAAGCAATAATGCACTTACAAAATAAGTGAAATTCAATTTAAAATGGCTGATTTCCACAACAACTATCTCTCCTTTACCTGTCTGCCACTTTCAGATTACCTTCCACTTAACAGGCATATTTCAACAAAACACATCAATTGACATGGAGTAAGAAGGAGGACACTTTTTTCATCTCAAGGGCACTTTGAATACCTGTCAGTGGCATTATGTACTTCTGTGTTGAATGACTTCAGGGCTGCAGCATGAAAGAGAGGAGGAAGAAGACCTCTAAAGTCTGCTCCCACTCGGCTGAACGACAAACCAAAGTACATACACTGACCAAGCAGTGAGTCAAGACGGTTTCCAACCCCTTGCTCCAAGTCATTCTCTAAAGTGTTCAAGAACTGCTGCACCTTAGAAAAAATATAAAATGTTATCTTGTCAGACACACCTCTTTAAAAAGTTGACTATCTCTTAGACAAATGATGGAAGGAGCTGCATCATATATTCATTTCAGAAAAACTTTTTAATTAAGTGACTTTCTTCTAGGAGTAAGGATAATATGACAATAGAATGAACACTGGCATGCAGGTGTACTGCTTTAGTCCAGTTAAAAATAGTGCAAGTTCCTAGTTTTTTATTTTTATTTGATTCATATCACAATCCTGATGACTAAAAAACAAAGAGAAATATGCTAACAGTTTTATTGTTTCTGGTTCCTACAGGTCTCTCAAATTACAATAGCAGTTGTGAGATTGCATTTTAAAACTGCTAACAGTTTTATTGTTTCTGGTTCCTACAGGAATTTCATTCCATTCCTTAAAAACAAATAGGAAGTGTATAAACCACACTGTTAGAGGTTATACAGTCTTTTTACTATTAGACACATTTGCTGATACAATAGAGGAAAACGAACTATTTCTGTCACTCAATTGTTCAATCCTACCTTCTGCACTATCCAGCAATGGAACAAATTACCATAAATTGGACTGTCTTCATTTTCCATGGATAATATTGGGTCATCATCCGAGAATATAGCTCGATATTGTGTGACAATGTCAAATAAATGTACACGACTGGTTTCAATTGTCTTTGTGATGTGATAATAAGGATCATCTGAAGAAATTGATGCAAGAACACTTTGAAGCCATGTATCACGGGCTTGAAGGAACTGTAAAGAGGAAATTCTCCTTTAAATCAAACTTCAGAAGACAAGAGCACATCACGACTCTCACTATGTTCTTTATCCTACACCAAACAGAATGAGACATCCCAAACATGTACTGCACAACAAAGGTCAATGTCATGGTATAAAGATATTAACATACATACAGTAAGGGAAAAATAGACCCACCCAAATAGACTCAGAAAAAGACTTGTTGTATCCTTGAGGATGATATTCATGACAATTTAAAGAATAAAATAAAAAGGCAATTATCTGATTCATATAAATTATGAAACATGACCAGTAATTTCAGTCTCCTCACAAACCTTGATCCTTAGTTCAGATTCTGAAAACAAATCAAGACGCCTGAGGTATCCAATCACACGCAGGCAAGCAGGAAGCTGGATGGCTGAGCGTAGCTGCTGTAACAGCTGAGAAAGCATCAGTTGAGTTGATGACTGTACAACATCAACAATGTTTTGGATAATGGGAATATTAGAAAGTTTCTTTTCTAGTCTCTGCACATAGGATGAAAGTTCTAAAGCTTCTTCATAGTAACCATTTCGTACGCATGAATCCATCAACTGTGAACATAACAATGAAATATTCATGGGTTTGTTGCAGGAAAACAGATTAAGCAACAGACCAACACTGGATGACCAATGTTTATGTAATGTTTAAAAAACAAGCAGGAGTGTTTTATCAGGTTTAAAACCACAAGGCGTAGCCAAGTGGTTTTTGACCCGATAAAACACGTGCTGCCAGTTTTTTGAACGGCTTCAAAAACATTCTTGGAAAAGCGTGTGTCAAGAGAGTTCATAACATTTATACTTTTGTGAACGTTAGAAATTAGCATACGAGAAAAACTGATCTGAACTGATCCAACTGATCTTGAATTCGAAGTTTCAGATGATGTATTGTCTAATATGCCTTTACCAGATTACTGTACTAATGGAATAGAGAATTTTTCCAGATGTGTATTTCACAACTGTACTATTAATTTGGTGCAAAAGTAAATTTACTGTGTGAAATTTGTTGAAAGAACATTAAATATGTTCCCACCATTTGTTGTATCAGTTTCTGTGTTGATAATTAATTAATATTCAAAGTCACGTGCAGTGTCTTTATATCTGATAAAACACCACATACTTATAAGGATGAGGTTTATCGATATAAAGTCACTGCATGTGATGTATTATCTACCATTTGATAGGTTAATGGGCTTATGAATTATTAATGAGTTTTGAATGTTAGTTCAAGTCAACTGTCGGCAAGGGCACAGGTACTCATTCCCCTTTCTTCTCCCAGTTGTCTCAGACAAAGAACCCTGTAAAATCACACACTTGCAATTGCACAAAGTAATTGTAAGCTTAAGTGTTGCGATAAGAAATTTTGTTAAACAAAATATTAAGGTACATGTATCTGTAGACTATGAAAAATGGAAATGGAATGTATAGAAAGCTGCAAAATTTTGTGAATCGCGAAATTAAGTCCTCGAAGTCAAATTACTATTGCAACCTAATTGAAGAAAGTAAAGGCGATTCCAGCATGGTTTGGAAAGCAGTGAATGAAGCTTCCTCATGCAACGTTAGCTCATCCATCCTGCAGTATATAATTGCAAGTGAAGTACAATATAACTACCCCAAATCCATTGCTACAGCCCTGAATGATTACTTTGCTTCTGTTGGAAGATTGCTGGCAGAAAAATTCTCTCAATCTCTTAATCATGTAAATCCTGCGAAACTCAATGTTTCTGAACCAGTGATGGTTTCTTTTGAGTTAAGAACCATAAGCCATTCCTTTGTTTTACAACAGATTTGTGCCCTTTAGTGCAATAAGGCCATCGGGTTAGACAGAATCAGTGCCCGTTTACTGAAATGTGCTTCTCGAACTATAACTCCATCAATTACAAAATTGTTAAATCTGTCAATTGCAACCAACAAGTTCCCTAACATCTGGAAATGTGCTAAAGTCACAGCACTTTTCAAAGCTGGGAACCATACTAGCCCGTCTGATTATCACCCTATTTCTATTTTACCAACTCTTAGTAAAATCCTAGAGAGGGCTGTGCATTATCAATTTTATCAATACCTTAACCAACATAACCTACTCAATGAAAAGAAATTTGGATTTCGGCCTAAATATTCAACAGTTAACGCTGCTTCTAGTTTTGCCAATGAAATTTTATTTAATATGGAAAGGGGTAAAACTGTGTGGAGCCGTATTCTTGGACCTTTCTAAGGCCTTTGATATGGTTGACTACACAATTTTGCTACGAAAGTTGCCATCTTTTGGGGTGACTTCTGACATGGCTAAATGGTTTGAGTCATATCTTAATGGACGAATGCAATGTACATCTTGCGGTCTGGAATTGTCTGATTTGTTATCTGTTATGCATGGCGTACCTCAGGGCAGAATATTGGGCCCTTTGTTATTTCTTATTTATATAAATGATTTGCCCACTGTCATCAAGCATTCGGAGGAAGCCCTATATGCTGATGATGCAGTGCTTTATTGCTATGACTCAAACCCAGCTGGTCTGGAGTGCGCCCTAAATGCCGACTTGCATGCTATTGCTAGCTGGTTAAATGATAACAAACTTACTCTTAATGTTGATAAGACCAAAGCTATGCTTATTGGTAGTGATTCCAAGCTTTGCAAGTTAAACAGTCTCTCGGTTTTTGTTCTTGGTAATCAACTTGATAGTGTTAGAAGCTTTAAGTATCTAGGGGTTGTATTATCCTCCAACTTTACGTGGACCGAACATGTGGCACATGTGATATCTAAAGTGAACCAGAGATTAGGTCTTTTGTGTATAATTAAGCATTTGTTGCCATATAATGCATGCCTTCCTTATTACAAAAGCCTTGTCCTTCCCATCCTTGATTATGCTGATATGGTATGGGGTGATAAGGATAACACTGTCTTAATGAACAATCTGCAGGTGTTGCAAAATAAGGCAGCAAAACTTGTTCTAGATAAACCATTGTACTCTTCTGCAACTGATGCTCTCAATCAGCTCAGCTGGTTAAATTTAAAACAACGTAGGCACTTCCATCGCTGCTTGTATGTTTATAAATGCGTGAATGGAATTACATCTCACAAATTGGAATTATCTAGAAACAGCGATGTACATAGATACAACACTTGTTGCAAAGATCATCTTAAACTTTCATCAGTTAAACAGAACTGGGGTAAACAAAGAACCTGTTATCATGCCTTTAAAGACTGGAATGCCTTGGAGAGTGACTTGAAGAACTCTGGCACTATATGTCAGTTTAGGAATAACTTTTTAAAATCTTTTAATCTATAGCTTACTTTTTTACTTTTTAATATCGCCAATTTTTATTTACTTTTAACAATTTAATGTTATTTTGGATTAGGACCTCTCTGTAGATCACCTACGGGTGAGAGAGCTTCCTGTTTAAATGTCATCATTATATAACTGATTTAGCTAACTCCAGTGCTGGAAAAATCATCAGGTACTGTTAAGATCCTAGACTGTCTTAAATCTAAAGTTCTTTGGTCTTACATGTCAACTTTAAACTTTAAAGTCCCCCCCCCCCCTGCCAATCATCACCCAAAATGCTTGAATATGCTTGTGTATGTCAGAAAACTGCAGCTAAGTCCAGGAAATCACCAAACTTACCTGTGAGATTTCCAAAATCTCTAGCAGCTGTGTATGCCGTGCTAATGTCAAGGAATTTAAGTGACGACTACAAGTGAAAAATAAAAACTAGTGTTAGTTATAATCTGAATGCTGAACAGCAGAGAAAAATTTACACCAGCACTCATTCACCTTGTGTTAATTTCTTGTGCCACCTTCATGAAATTGCTACATGTTTCAGAAAATGTTGGTAACTTGTCCAGAAGTGACTCAACATGCTCCTCCACTGACACGAACTACAATGAAGTTTCCATCAAATCAGACTTTTCCAATACTACCATTTTACTTATTACATGTATAAAAATCAACCCAATTGTCTTTACAGTACTATAATGGGGACCTCTAACCCAAAGAGGATCAAAATTTTCTGATTTGTGGATTTAAAGGTGTACACCTTTAAGCAAATAGGATTGTGCAAAATCTTCAAGAGAATGTGAAATTTAAGCTTGGATAATTACACTGTACAATTCCTAGAAGTCTTGGGAGTATTTTGAACTTCTTGGTACATCTTAATCAAGCATACACAGAGGAATGCGCATGATGCTTATGTCTATAAAAATTTTTGTTGAATGACTTTGTCCCTTAGTAACTTGAACCTTGAAATAAGTTATTTAAAACCTCAAATTGATTTCCCTGACATTTTCTTGCTGCATCCCATTTATTTTAACCTCAAAAATTTGAACCCCTTGTAACTTGAAAATCATGCTTTCTTACTACTGGGACTCACTTCATAGAAATAACTATGGATATCTTTTAAGTACTTAGTACATGTACATGTCATGCACAACTCTTCTCCTCTAACACTATTAGTTCAGTTGACTTACATCATTAAAAATTTCTTTGGAGCATTCTGCAGTTTTGATGAATGTCTTGTAGTTGTTAAAGGCCAAGTGCTCAGTTTGCTCTAAGATCTGGGCCTTTTCTTCAGCAAGTTTTTCAGGTTCCCGGCCTATTGTAAAATAATTCAAGAAACTTAAAATTAAACACTTTTCCTCCCTTATAAGAATACAGTAATTTCACATGCATATTAGTTATAAGCAGGTCACTACACAGTGCATGTCTGTTTTTTGTGACAATATTAAGATGCAAATTATTTCTTGTAGATATCTGTTTAAAACTAACATGGATATAAGATCAGGAAAGACAGGAGTAACAAATCAAATCATTTAAAAACCACAATTAAATCAAAATGTTTCTTCCAAAAATCTCTCTCTTTGCCTCCTTCTTATAATGTTGTTTTTATGGATTTGCAACAATTTTCCTTTCCTCTCTCCTGCTATTTTCCCAACCCCAATTATCACTAAGAGCTGTATAAAAGATCTCCAACAGAATTAATTGTAAAAAAAGCTTCACACATTTGTCTGCCTCTAACAATCTCATCTCCAGATCTGGGTAGGTGAATCAATCAGATAAGTGAATGGAAAGGAATGGTATTCAATATAAATCCCTTAAAGAAGATGGATAATAATGGGCATAAAAGGTCTTACTTAATTTTTCCACACTGGAAGCACTGAGTTCTGCTAGATACAAAGAGAAATCTGGATTATCCTTCCATGCATCTGAAATAATAGAGTAAAAAGCAGAGAAGATGAACACTGATTACTTGTAGTATTGATAATTGTTTGCAATATTGATAAACATTTTCTAGTTGAAAACTTCACATGCAGCAACAGAGGAATTTTGGCCAAGTTCTCTGAATGTTTGAAACACATAATACTTTTACTTTTTTATACAATAGAACTTCTTTTTTGGATAACAATAATACAATAAATCCAGATACCGCACACAAAGTATACTCTACTTGCCATATCAGTTAAGAATCCAAAGCAGAAATTCCATTATTGTATGAAGAGTAATGGTATCATGCCTTTATTTGGCTTTATACGAAAGAACTAGTTCACATACATAATGAAGGTATCTGAAGGAATCTGATTCATGCAATATTCACTGATCTCATTCGTTAACGTACGCAAGCTTTATATACTTACTTTGACTTCCAAACGAGCTTCCAGAAGATAAACGTTTTACAAACAACATCAAAGTACATTGTTGTACGATTATCAATCTCTCCGGTGAGAACTAAGATTACCAAAGATTATATATCAAGGACGGCAAAACAGGAAAGAACCACATAAGATTATTCAAGTTATTTCACTTTGTGATAATTACCTTGAAACGACTCCTGGAACAGCGTCTTGAAGAGACCATCATCCTGCTCGGAAACATCCATTCTCTTCCTTGTGCCACTTGGCAGTTGTTTCATACTTCGTGTAAGGTACTTCCAGCTAACCTCCGAAAGTGTAGCAAAGCCCCAAGGGAAGTAAATTCTTTGAACATGGCGGATGGTCAGGTGTGACGAAGAAACAGAAAGCAAAACAAAATTGGAATTATGGCCTTGGATGGCGAGGAAAGTACCCCGGTCCCAAATTTGGCTCTAGAAGCGATTGTTAAGCCTACACTCCGTGAGGTAATGCTTCAGCTTTGTTTCCTTTTTGAGTCGAGGTTTACAGAGGCTGAACTAAATATAACCTTGACTTATACGAACGTACGCTTGATTTATTTATGCCCCATACACACCAATATGTTTAATGAAACCGGGTTTAACTGAATGGAGATCAGAAAAAAAGAAATGGAAAACTTTTTCCCATTTGATTTTTTTATCAGAAACAGTTAGAACTTTTTAATTAAATCAGATCCCCTTAGAGGGACCAAACTGAATACTAGTACACACTTTTCTTTTGTCAGTGAGTGCCAGTCAATCCTGTTGACAAAAGGAAAGTTGCCTATGTGTTTGATGAACATATGCATGACAAATGTAGCAACCTTTACATTTTTAAGCATATAAGCTCCCTTTGAAAACTTTGAAATACCCATACATCAGCTGTATGTACAGTTGAATAATTATTTAGACAGATACATGTACCAGGTGTAGGTACAGTACCTTAATAGGAAGTAAACAGATTCTTGATATGGTCATAATTGGATATGTCATGGGTACTTGGTGACAAGTGACTCCAGTGCAGGTAAATGAGATCTCTTTTTTTCTTCTTTTTTGTGTTCTAGTTAGAGCCATTTTATGATGATGAAGCTGTTGAAAAGCTCCGAACTGCTTTTGCCAAGGTAACAGGTGTTGAAATTTAACAGATGATGCAGTGATCATATAAGTTATTTAATTTTTAAATATGCAAGAAAATTTTTTAACAACTTGGACCAAGTTGAGGGTTTTATTGTTTGTACACACTACACTTAATGAGATTCACATACAGCAACAGTGCTTCATTGTCAATGATTACATTGACAAAGGTCTATGCAGGTGGTAGACAAATAAAAACAATATTCTTCACAATACCATTGTTTACATTTTGATCAATTAGCAAATTGGTGTGCATACAGGATAGGTTGCTTTATCCTTGGCCTATAGCTTTCTAAAAACAACATATAAAGTTAATCCCCTATAAATTGTGGAACTGCTGGATGGCAAACACTAAATTATAAATGATTATAAGCAGTAGATTCTTTGTAAGTTTTAAGGTTTTGAAATACCATGTCTTCAAAACTAGTTGGTACACTAGGAAAAAATTTTGAAAATGGACAAAATTTGCTAGGATTTGAACAAAAATTTTCCTATCTCCATGGGATGAGTTAGTGAGGGGTGAGTTAGTTAGTGAGTTACATTGATCCATCTTTGATCTACCACCTGTAGCACAGTGTCCATGTAGACCAGGTTAAATTGCATCTTTGCAATAAATTGTATTGATTTCTTAGGTTGAGAATGATATACCAGGGATAACACAACAACTTGTTGGAGAAATTTTGAAGTCAGGTAGCCATGTGTATTTTTTTTGTGATTGATTTTTTTTGTTTAGAATCGGTAAACCAGATTATTTGTATTTTGTTATCTTTAAATTCATGCCTATCAGTAAAGAACAAGACAAACTATTCATATGTATTGAAAAATTTTAAACAGAAAAAAACATTTGAAATGCAATAAGAACATGTTTGTATTAAATAGTGTTATGAGTTGTATTAGATCAAAGAAGATTTGTAAACTTAACAAGTTGTTAAATAAAAGTGATACAAGCAAGTTAGTTGGGTATTTTAGACCATGCTTTAGTCACAGTGATTGTCATAGTGACCTCAACCAACAGATACAGCAACTTCAAATTGAATCTCTTATCATAAAGTCCTTCAATTATCTTTATTTCCAACAGCATCATTATCAGTGAACATGAATGAAGTTCTTCTTCTCTGTGCTGCTCAAAACAGTGAAGGTGAGTTTGGATTTTCCTTTTGTTAGCTTCTACAGGCCATCTGTTTAACTTTTAATGCGCAAGTTCTTATGTTAGCTCATTTACAATTTGATACAGTGGAGAATTTGTTTAGGAATATCTAACTGCTGGAATTGGAAAAAATATCTATGTATGTTTGATGACCTATGCCATGTATTAACCCTCTAAATGAGTTTATCTGAAGTAATCATAAGAACATGATACACTGTACTGACTATTTAAACTTTTTAAAACTTGTAGTTATAAACTGCAGTTTACATTGTAGTTGGGGGTGACAGATTTAAAATTTGCCTAACTGTTTTTTCGGTGTGGTAACCTTGATTTTGGTAATAATGACAATAACTTGTTAATTGATAACTGGACAATATTTGATTTGAATTTCAACAAACAAATAAAACATATGGCAGCTGCAATCTATTGTAGAATTGGCTATCAAAAGTAATACGCCATACAGGGACTCTTTTGACTCCTCTTTCATATACAAATACTGTTTAATTTCGGCCTCTTTCAAGAAATTATCTTCCACAATCTTTGGGACACACATGGGTAAATGGGTATAATACCACATCTGAAAGATTCACCTATAGTTTCCAAGATTTTTGTTGCAAAAGGAGTTCGTTAGTATTTGCTGACATTCATTACTCTGATCTTTCCCAGATTATACTTTTAAAGTCCAAGGAGAGGAATTCAATGCATTGTTGAAAAAAGCAAAAGGTAATTGTGATAATGGACTGCTACAGTGTAGTTAAGACAGACCACTTTTCCTTCAGCACTTAAATACTTAGCAACATGAGAAGGTGACATCAATGTGAGATATAGTGTTTCATAATATTAGAACTATAAATAAGAATGCAACATAGCTTTGCAAATTTATTCCCATTCTAGTCGAATCTTAATTGTTCATTGGTGTGGAAATGCATATTATGTTGACTGCTCTATAATCAAAACTTGTGTGTGTGTTGTGATGTTCATGTCTTAAACCTGATCTTGATTTTCCTTTGTAGACTTAAAGACCATATTAGCAAAAATTCCAGCTGAAATTGGCAACAGGCAAAAGTTCTTGCAGACCATTAAGTAAGAAGAAAATAGGAAAATTAGGGATATGGAATATATAATTATTTAGGTTCTAAATATAATGACATAAACATAATTTTACATGTAAATTGATATATAAGAGAGAAGTGATGATGTCTTTTGTATGTTTTGCTGTCCAATAACCAGTTAGACTTGATTATTTGCTAAGAGATTGTGTGATCTGTAGGGAGGATGCACATGTTTTCTTACGCAACCAGAAAATAATTTTTTTCTGGTTGATAACTCTGCAATACTCTTCTTGGTTGCTACAAAGTAGTTGTGGAACACATCACTCCAGAGATAAAAAAAAGAATAACTGTTTTTGACATTTTACTTTTTACCCAGGGATATTGCTACTGCTATAAGGGACCTGCTAGATGCAGTGAATGAGGTTTTCAAGAAGTGTCAGAATGTTGGGAAGGTGGCACAATATAAAGAGGTACAGTAATTGAAAACACTTGTATGGTCATAAGCTTCAGAAGCACTTAACATGTGTGCTTTTGGTAGCATCTGACATTCCTTAAAATAAAGGAATTCTTTAAATCACAGTTCTACAGAATCTGCCATTGCAATTGACATTGCTTTTACAAAATCTTGTAGGGATGGTTATAATGTTCTTTAAAATTTCATGATACTTGTTAAGGAAAGGAATTTGACTCACCTTTGGCTATGGGCAGGCTCTCGCCTATTATTGACAGTACTCACATTGTTTTTTTCTTTTCAATTAAGGGTCTTGAGAGGAACAAAAAGGAATTTGTTAAATATTCCAAAAACTTCAGTGATACTCTAAAGCAGTATTTTAAAGATCAAAGGTTGGTTTGAAATGGAGTTGAAGCAGTATTTATTGTTAATGGTGCCGCAAAGTCTGAGAGTTAGGCAACTAAATCTGACCACTCCATGATAAGCTTATGTTCTTATTGGTTCTCTCTGAGTACACCAGATGATGTTATCCCCGCTGTTTGGTCTTTCCTTAGCTCTTATTGTACGTTACCACATCATTCTAATCCTGGTTTTACCCAAACTTACTCAGAAATCTCACTCAGACTACAAGCTGTGCCTCTTTCCTTTGTGCAAATAGATATTGTGTTGGACTATCTGGCTTTGACTTAATCGCCTCTACTCCCGGTGATTTGCCAACTTTTCTCTTTTTCTCACTTGCGGAGACTTAGTCAAACGAGGCATACAAGGAGAAAGATAGGGGAAGTTAAATTCATGCGCGTCCAGATCCCAAACAATGTCCTTTGTGCTCTTCTTGCCCTTTGTTTTCGAATCTTTTCCCTTCGCACTCCACATAGGCTAGGCTAAACTGGGTGTGGAGAACTTTTCGTGGTTCGAGAGGAAGGCCATTTTCTGGAAAAGGTACACCAAAACATTTACGTCTAAACGATCTCTGCTTGTAACATGATGTGTCCCTTAGCACTCGTCAGGGAAGAAGGTCTTAATACTGGGGTGCTTGTCAGTGTGTCATTGTTACTAAGTTTTGATCTGATAATTGTTCTTTTGTTTTCAATCTATATTTTTTTTTAGGTCGGAGGCAGTATATGTTAGCGCGAACAGACTCATCAACCAGACAAACCATATTTTGTATATGTTTAGATTAGCTACAAGCCCATAGATAAATTTGTAAAATATCCTCAGGACTTGCCTTTGTATTCAGCTGAGTCAATCTTAACGGGAGCGATGCCTGTTTTAATATTTATGTAAACAGAGACTGATTCTTACATGTACAAGCAAACCTAATTTTGTTGTTAGGGGCGAAAAAGACAATGGTTCACATTGAAAAGGCTGAAGAAACCATTTGTGAAACAGAATGGAATCATGGATATCTTGGAAAACATAGTGAAATTTACAAGGCGTGGAATACTTGTTTCCGCTTCAGTTTCCTCATATTCTCTTCTCGCATTTTCTCTTGTATGGATTCGGCAAATTTGGGTGATTCTCTTAACCATCTTTTTGTACTTTTCTAGAATTGTAGAATTAAATCTTTGTTTTCTAGACAACAAAATCTCATAAAATTTACTCTCGAGTTTCAAGAATGTAATACCGATGTGACAGCGATAAACGCATCAGAGATTGGCGTATATGACGCTCACCATAAGGGAATGGCCAACTTACCACCTATTACAGTTTGAACATTTTATTTTTCAGGCTTTATGTTCCTTGCTGTTACTACTTCACTGATTACTCCCAAATAAGTTAGCGAACAATTCTTATAAAGATTTCCTTAATTATTCCCCACTAATGTCTGTTTCGAAAAATAAAATAAAAAAGACAGGTCACCGTGTTTGTTTAAGAGATATAATGGGCCAAACTTACCCCAATTAAACCTGCACAGGCACTAACCACGCGCGTCATTTCTTCGGTTCACGGTACATTCTGCGGTAGCTGGAAGTTAGGGTTTTTAAAATGACAACTTGACAAGTAGAAAGTCTCAACCGTATGGAACAATGGAACATTTTACGAATAATTTGGGGAAAATCACGCAATTTTAAACGACATCGACTCAGAACGTTCCTCGAGTCGTTTCTTTTAGGGACATTTGCATCCTCGAGTAACGTGCTTCAGCTATATCTTTCTCTTCGATGAATTTGTTTTATTTCTCCAATTTAAAGGGGATAATTTATAAACCAACATTATGCGATAAAGATTTAGGTCACTATGCTCGTACAAGACAAAAATGGTTATCATTGGGTCTAACAGCCTTCCGACCATCTGGGTGACCACCTAATGCAGGTTCGACTGTATTTCAATATCTAGAGACTTTATCTTTTTAATTTATGGGTGTGACCAATAAGAGCTTGGCAAGTTTCAGGAATTAATTTGTTTCAGCAATGCCAACATTGGCAAGACTCATGGCTGTGTTATTTCCTGTTAGCTGAAAGGAACAAGGATAAAAGTTATTGAATATCGACATGTCGACATGGTACTAAGAGGGAGGACAGCTTCTTGCGGATAATATTTTTGGACCATGATTTAAAGTTCAAAGCATTCTTCAAAGCGTCTTCACCGAGAAAGCGAATTTACAAATTTAGGGACACGCTGTGTACTCTGAAATCTTCCTCACGGATTCCACGAGGGCAGCAATTTGTTTATGACGGTCGATAGGTCGACTGATCAAACGAGAAATTACCCAACGTTTTTTCTTGCCTATGAATGAAATGTAACCATTGGACCGATGTGCTTAGCCGAGATTGAAAGTTGCAAATTTACGGCCATGGCGACAGTGGTTGATTACTGTCAGAGTGATATTTATTTTCAGTGTAAAAAAACCATCTAAATTGAGCAAAACGAATATGCCATGTTATAGAAAAGCATGGATATAAGGTGCAAAGCAAAATAAAGTCCTTAAACCAGAGTTTTATGCAACAGCTTTTTTATTACAAAGTGCGTCAAGTGGTATTATGAAGGTGAGACAGTCACCTTGAACGAAAGAGGTGTTCGACGTGCTAAAGTTAAACCGCCATAAGAGTTCTTTCCAGATCGTAAATTTGACATGGCATAAATTTTAGGGAATTCCGGCATGGAAATTAACTTTGACCAGAGTAAACTACTTTCTCCACAATAAAGCAAATTTACCTAATTTCACGAATTCACGAAAGGAGACTGTGATTCTTGATCAAAATTAATGGTAGCTCAATGTGAGTATTTTGTTAAGTTGAATAGACTATTTTCTCCCAGTAAGAGAAGATAACAATCAACTAGTTGTAATTCGAGGTCGATGAGGGAATGAGAAATGATCAAACGACTTCTAATTTTTTTGCCGAAAGACTTACGATGTCTATATGTTATTTCCAATCACATTCCCAATACTAAAATAACGAAGTGGCAATAACTAAGAAGAAGCACCAACTAACTAAAGTTATCTTGTTGTGTATTCATTTAATGGAGACGCTCACTCTTCAATTTCTTTCTATCTTCTGTCTTTATTCATCGATCAAGTATCTAATAAATTGGTACAATCATCAATCTAATTACACAAACAATCGGTAACTGTTTTTTCTTCTTCCATGCTTCTGCCTCCAAATTAATGTAACTCGCCGTTGTTCACTCCATTCTCTTTTTGATTTAAAGTAACGAAGTTCAACAAGTCGATATGTGTCACAATTCCTAATATCATCTCTTTTTCATGCTGTTCTCCTTTAACGGAATCCTGTTTGAATCCGGGTTGAATCAAAATCATAACCGTGAAATAGAGAACAAAATGATCACAAGCTGGTATTCAAAGTTCTTCAGGGCTATTAATATGTACAGGTAAAGGGCTTTATCAGCAGCTTAAGAAGTTTGGAGAGGGTAGGTGTGTGTGAACTGCAATTTGCTTGTTGTGATCTCGGATGGAACACCTGCAAGGATGCTACTGCCTTCTACATTCTGGTCATATCACAACCAACCCCAGCCACACTGGATTCCAAGAAGGGTAACACGAACAATTGATACATATTAGGTATTGCATATATTGTCATCATCATTTCATAAATTATCAAATTACCTACGGGGTTCTCTGTGAACCACAACGGCATAGTGATCGTGATCCAAGATACGAGATAAGTGGTCAAGGGTAGCGTCTAGTGTAACCTGTGGTTTGAATCCTCACAAGGATTCAAACTACAATGTACTTGTAGACCCTCGGAATTTTCGGTCAGATGACACGATATTGTATAATCTATAACCACCGATGAGGAGTTAAAATAGCTATTTATTGCACTAACTTCGTAACCTTAACATTTGGGACTTTTTCCTTAGTGTTTCCTTGCTACTCCAGTGATTGTACCTCCAGTGCTAGCTCCAAGCACTACCATGTCAACTTTACCTTTGAACAATACATCGTAAGAAAATCAGTTTAACGAGTGCAAAAATTTCATATTGCACTTTTCCACAAAAAAAGTTACATCACGACAAGAACTGAATTTCTCTTTTTAGCTACCTTACAGCGGTTATTACATATTGGTAAATAAGATAGAATACCTACCACCACATTGCTGAATTATCTCTTCATCTGTTCCGTCATATGGAACCAAGGCATTGCTCGCATTTCGATACTAACGAAAAAGTAACACATTTAAGCCTTATTTAATATTGTATATTAATAAACAAATAAATCGATATTTACCAGAAATTCACGAAATCCATATGACTTATTGCCTGTTGACTAAGTTGACAAGTGCATGAGTTATGAGCAGAGGTCAGTTCGATAGATATGCATGCTTGATATTTCTTACTAGATTATCGCAAAGTTCCTCTTAATCGTGATGATTGATAAACATCATTTTGGCAGTACACTGCTACAATTTTCTACACAGTCAGCTATTTTAAATTATGTCAGGAAAACCACCAAAATCACATCTAACTTACTTATAGAGGTGTGATGTGGGAATTGTTAAATTTATTAGTTTTGATTTACACTACATTCATTTCATATGTTTATTTGAGGTTTTTTTGTTGCGTATAGTCATAAAAAACTGATGTTTAAACAGTTCCTTAAGACAGGTCTAGTGTTGTTTATGCGATGGTGACAGACATTATAGTTGAATTGAACTATTTCTTATTTTCTTCACCTTATCTTAGACGACAGAATTTGGGATCTCGCTATTAAGTCCTTGAGAAAAACCAATGTGTGATTCTGAAAGAAACAGGTTACACTATATCTACATGATTTCCTGCGTATTGGACTTGATGGGCTGTGTCCAGGTTACCTTTATCCTGTCCTCGCAAGGGAACATGTCTTGACACGAGGATAATAACTGATGTGAACCCAATGGAGCGCAGGTGGAGTATGTTTCTAGAAAATGTTAAGCTATTTATTAGAGAAACAGGCAAAAAGTACTACTGGTACGAATCTGAAGGAAAGCTTGACAAATGCAGTACTCAGAGATGAACTGGTCGGTAGCATATGAATAATTTTTTTGGGTTACATTAAATTAATTTATGAAGAGAAGGTTTGCCCTCTCCCAATGCACATACTGGTATTGAATACATAGTAAGATATCAAATGACCTATGGTGAGCGAGGGCCTTCTGGAAACCAGACAGTTACTAACAGGAGAACCGTCTTCCATATCCTGGGTTGGTGGATAACTAGCTTTCAAGAATTTAAATGAATGTTTAACAAAGCGATCAGGGCAATATCATGGTGATAACAAAGAAAATCCATTGCGTTGCACGGTTCTGTAGTTTTTGTAGCTTGTTAAATAATGTTTTGCCACAATTACCTCGGTTTAAGCCCCAGTAATAGCGGCGCAACCGTCTGGAATAGCTAACCCTGAAACATTAGAGAGTCTGGTCCATTAAACCAATTTAAACGCCTTCTCTATCATAATTTTTAAACAGAGCATTCATGGAAATCAGGTTTTTAAGTGGCACATTGTTGTAAGTTAATATAATGTTAGGATTAGGATTTTTAGGTTCTTAGGATATTAGTCATTGTATTGGAATTTTTTGTACCTGATGAATTTTTTTCACCGTCTATAAATAATGATTAAATAAATAAATGAAAATAATTAACAGTAAATAATAATGTAGACTGACTGACCAATATTGCCTGATGCCGGTTCAATGATGGTGTCTCCAGGGTTGAGTTTTCCTTGGCGCTCGGCATCTTCAATCATTCTCAGTCCTATCCTGTCCTTCACCGAACCTCAAGCGTTGAAATACTCGCACTTCGCCACTGAGAATTAAACAAGGTTTCAGTATTATAAACTGACTTTTTACAACAGAGGTAGAGTCATATATAGTAATTTTATGACACAGGCAAGTATTTCATCTTAACTTAAGCTTATACTCACACAATTCAGTGGGGTATTTTCAATGTGATGAAGAATACCTGGAATTATTTTGTTTCCTGTCACTCCAGAAAAATTTGGAAAGAATTAATTTTTTTTTATTTAACGACATGACTGACCTTGCTTCTCTAAACACAGTTTCATCACTCACGCGGTCTTCACGTGTTGATGTGGAGATTCCCTTTTCAGTCCCAAGTGCTAAGTACATTGTGAGGGTAAATCGGTCTGCACCCATTGCCGTTTATCACCGACAGAACTTGATCGTTTCAATTCTTGGTGGGATATTTCACCAGGTGCCATCTGAATGCCTGTTCCTGACGGGGCACAAATTTTGTATTGAAGATTTTATGTTGTGCTGTCAACTGTGCGTTCATGAAGATATGAAGCACTCGAGAACGGGACAAGCACTCATAAAGGTGAAGTTATCTAAATAGAGTGGCTCTACCGTGCTGCGGGGCATACGCTGGCGTCATCAAAGTCCGCAATGGAACTTTGGAATTCAATTAGAATGGTCAGTTAAATTTGATTTAAATCTCCGCTCGGTTCATGGGTTAGTGTAGGTTTGTGCTTGCTTGTCACATCTGTATATGCATTCAGAAGCGTAGCAAACTTCGTTTTGTAAAAAGTCGCAACTGCCGCGTTAGAAATGATTTCAATAAATTGGTTCATTTATCAACCGTACGTTTAACAAGACATAAAGAACCTAGAAATTTTCTAAAGCATTAAAAGAAAAAAAAATTAGGGTTTCCAAAAGAAAATCGCTTACGCATCAATTAATCAATTGTACACAAACTTCATCAGCGCGAACGATGGGAATATGAAAGACGCGCTAGATTGGATTCCCAAATTTAGTATTTTAAAACGAATGTCAAGCTTTATTCACAACTCAGTCAGAACATTTACAGATGGATATAGAACGCAAACAAATCGTGTTTTATATACAGAAATGTATATTGACTCCAAAGGACTTGCATAGCTAAGCAAATTAAGAGCCTGTTTCATTGGTAAAATTATCAACAACAAAAAGAGCAACTATTTAGAATCCAATCTTTCAAATACTTGTGAACGATAAATAGTCTAAAAGTAAATATTTACAAAGAGAATGATAAAAAAGGAACATATAAAATAATGTAAGTCTAAAGTACGATGAACATGGCACTTTCTGTTGTTTGGATGTCAATGTCAATGTTCTTGACGTGTTCCTAATGAGCCTCTCAGACACAATAGAGCGAATCTTAACAAAGAGAAAGACTTTTTAGCTCTAATCCATAAGATGGCCTTCGCATAACTCTCTCCTTTCTTAGTTGAAATCAGCCCAGCCAGTCGGCTATGGTATCTGTTGCATTCTTTTCCCATACCTCCGGTTGTGGTGAAGGCCAGAGGTGACGGCGTACCACGTTCAATTTCAATAACTCTGTCCCCACATGGACGCCTCTTCTCGTTTTCGGACAATTCGTAGATCTATTCCGAATTCAGTAGCTTTGTTATTATTAGCACGCACCTCGAGCAACTCTTAAGTGTATTTTGTTTCGTTTTGTTATGGTTTGTTCTTTCATGCCTCATATCTCGCACGCACGCTGACGCACGAACCCATCCATCTCTAAAACAGGAGGAGACTATGTGACCGCGGCGATAATTGCCCTCTTAGGTGCTTACTTGGATTTATTGATTACCACAGTTCCCATTTTCAAGTTGTCTAAGATTTGGATAATTTTATCTGATTAACCACTGTTATATACTATCCCTGAACTAAATTAAGTGTCCTTCATAGCTCATTGCGGCGTTGGTAACGAGGGCGTGCTCATTGACGAGTATCAGAACAAATCTCAGAGCATCTCTTGCTAATTGAGAACTCTTCTCAGGTTCTAGATGAACACACAACTGACACTAAATATTTTGTGAAATTTTCAACATGGCAGTTTAAATCTTTTGTAAAGAAAAGTTTCATCCGCAGCCCTTCAGCGTGTGCATTATAGACTGGCATAATGCCAGTAAATCAGTAGTTGTGTCATGAGTGCGGTTTTGGATACCGTCCAATGGCAGTATAATACGAAGCATCCGTTATTTACTCGTGAACTCTGCCCAGATCATATGCGTTCTTTTCTTATTCTACGATACAATCAAACCTGCATTAAGCGGCAATGAAATTTAGTGACCGCTAAATACAGGTTGACGCGCAATTCAGGTTCCATAGATTAGGGGTCTTATAGAAAACGATACACAACGCCTTTATGCCTTAACTGATCACTAAATGTACAGATTCTCGCTCAAAAACCCTACATACTTTGATTTTGGGAGATAAAAGAAGGATTAAAAATTACTTGGAGGATTATTCCCTGTTATACTGGAGTGGTTCTGCTTTTAGTGACCATTTGATACTGGGGAAAAAACAATAAAACTAGGCTGTTGGGACTTGAAAAAGGTGACCAGTTAATAGAGGTGAAAATTACAGTGATTAAAGGGAAACAAATTCGGAACTTTGACAACTGACCGCAGGGTGGCCGCTTAATATACACATTCGATCGTATCACTTTTAGATCGCTCTTAATCTGAGAACTTGCATACCCCTTAATGCGGCTTTGCTCATTCCGACAAACAGTGCAGATGATTTACGTATGATTGTCGTTTCTTTGTTAGAGAAAATAATGTAGTATTTTCTCTTGGTTCTAGTAAACAGTAGGTTTGTACGTTAGCGTGTGTTCATTGAGATATAGGGTATGAAAGATGCATAAGTAAGTAAGTAAGTAAGTAATAACTTTATTTAACGAGGGTAGAGACATTGATTACTGGTCACCCAGTAGTTTTCATAATGGCCCTCCTAAAAGAGCATAAGGGTTGTTCGAGGTGGTCGTTCATCATAACAAAGCTATCAAAGTTGTGTTATTGAATTATACGCCCATCTTAGGTCTCTACTGTTTACGCGGAGTGTGACTGAATCATTTACCTCGCCAAAAATTGCAATTCACATCTCAGTCATCTCAGGTCGCTACACTTTGTTGTTCGACGTCGAGAGGTCCTGGAGCGAGCAAGACAGTGACTAGACAGTTTTAATCCTTCCTTCTCGAGAGTAATTATTGACAATCGGTTTTCATTCCTGAGGAAGCTTTGGAACGCGCTGTTCTGTGCTCTCCATTCTGCAGGTATATGTTGGAAATTGTATCTCAAACGCATTTCTGTAAATATTTATTAAATGAAAACTGTTACAACGCAACGCCTTAATTAATAATATTAATACTTCAAGCGGACACTGTAGTATAAAAAAAAAAATTTAGCGTGCCCTTACAAACAACAAATAAGTCAAATTTTTTTATATTAGAACAAACACTTTTGTTCTGTGTGCAAGTGCTAATGTCCTTTGTAGAATTTAAGCAACTGTATATCTTGGTTCAAACTAATTTACAAACAGACTATATTTCTGTGTCTATAAATACGCTTTTTAATATATTCAACTGACTGTCCGATTTGAAATAGTTTCGGGCCGTTAGAGTGAAGTTTATATGAGAATTTAGGAATTATTAAAGCAATCTTTTTTAGACGTCTCACGTTATCGTTTGCGTTTTAAATAAAATAATAAGCTTAAAGTTAAGGAACATGTCACATCGAGACAAATTCAACTGAGTAACAAACAGCCAAAATACTCAAATTACAGCAAATTAGACTTTACCTATACCCTTATGTTGATATCAGATGTATTTCTTTTTGTGCTGTAAGTTTACAGTACCGCCTTGCGAATAATTATATACTCTTTCCAAACGGAACGATTTAAATATGTACATTTTTTTAACTCAGTAATCTTCTCTCGGAAGAAAGAAAAGAAAATTGTAAACAGTTTACATTACTCTAACAAAACAAACAATCAGGAACTTTTTTCTTCTTCTATGCTCCGCCTCCAAATTAATGTAACTCGCCGTTTTTCAATCCATTCTCTTTTTGATTTAAAGTAATGAAGTTCAACAGGTCAATGCGTGTCACAATTCCAAATATCATCTCTTTTTCATCCGGTTTACCTTTGTTGGAATCTGAGGTTGAAAACAAAATCAAGGAGAAATTACGAAACAGGCAATAATGCACATAAATATTCCACCACTATGTTCATTTTACCAAATAAGGTCACGAGAACGCGCGAAATATGCCACAGTATAGTTTCACGATGTTACACTGTAGAACAGGGCAAAAATGCGGATCCAAATGAATGATCCAAACTTTCATTTTTTTTTTCTTTTTTGGGCTTGAGTTTTAAAGAAACGGACTTAAAAGCGCGAAACGGACTTAAAAAGCGCGACAGATACATTCTTTGGTAAGTCACAAAGAACCGGTTCGTTCGTATTGTTTCAGTCTTCTGAGTAAAGGTGGTTAGGAAGGTGATCATAAACGTCTGAAGGTAGCCACATACTTTGTAGCAAGAGCTTAATAAACTTGACGCAACAGCGGAGAACAAACGCGGACAACAGCAAAGCGTTGAAAAAAAGTAACGTTTTAGATCACTTTTCCAAAAGAAAAAAAACAAACTGGATAAATCTTTGTCGATTTTCCTCTCTTGTTTTAGACGGGATAAGAGCGGAGTGAGAAAACAGGAGGTAGGTTTGGGTCATTCCATCGATTTTAGAATCGCACCGACGTCTTTGAGCTTTACGCTCTGTACAATGTATCACATATTGCTGTCAGCGGTCAGAATTCCGCGTGGTTGACGAACAAAAGGAAGGGAGACAGAATAATTCACTTGGACAGGAAGGGCGATTCGCTGGCTGTGATCTCAAATGAAAGGCCTGCAAGGAGGCTACTACTTTCCAAGGTCCGCCCAGATCCCAACCAAAGCATCTAACACTCTAACCGAATTCCCTTCCTTCGCCAGCTACGTTGGCTAATAAATCATATTTTATATAGTATGGACTTATCCTCATGTTAGAAATTACCAAATCACTTACAGAGTCGTTGCCTGTGAACTACAACGGCATAGTGATCATGATCCAAGATACGAGACAATCGGCCAAGGGTAGTGTCCAGTGTAACCTGGTGAAAAAGTAAAAAATTAGAGCTCCATTGAATATAAAGCTTGCTTTCTCTGTGTTTTTATATAATTATACTTTCGAATATCACGACACCGGAGACCCTTCTGAAAGTGCGAGTCTCGTTGACTAACGGCCAGTTCAATGTCCGCTCTATGCTTTTAAGCGACTGGCCCCCAAAAGCATAGGAGGAGAACGCTTTAAAGAGCTTTCACTAATTACCTTCTTAAAGTTTTTGTACACAGAGTTGATAATGGGGCTTTCAGATGTGATTCGTCCACTAAGCATCCGGGACATTATGTTACCAAGGGTTACCATGCCCATCACGGACCTTGAACGAAAAGAGAATAGGAATGGTATGGCTTATCTGTTAAGATTGACACCTGTGCTCAAAGGTGTAGATTTGGTTAACATCGCCTTAACGAAAAGAACGAGCGCTTCATGAAGCCTTCCGTGGTTAACGCAGGATATCTTAAAGAAGATCGTACTAAGGAGAATGACAAAACAGTCTATTCACTGCATTGCAGGTAATTTAGTGTTAACAACTGGGTTGAAAACGTAAATTAGCCACCGTAAAGAGTAAAAAAGCTAACGTTTCGAGCGTTAGCCCTTCGTCAGAGCGATTGACGAAGGGCTAACGCTCAAAACGTCAGCTTTTTTACTCTTTACGGTGGCTAATTTACGTTTTCAACCCAGTTGTTAACACTAAATTACCTGCTATACTCTCCCACCGACGCAGCACCACAGTTTCTTTAGAAACTTACCCCTTTATTCACTGCATTTCTTGATGCGGAGAACAAAAAAAAAATCAACCAACTCATAGAAATCTTTGCAAAGCATTTAACTGTCTAGTTTTAAGACACAAGGATTGCACACCAACATTATAACTAATGCAGCAATATTGCTTTCGATAACTGTTGAAGAATTTCAGAAAACCTCGGAAAATGTGATCTTAAACTCACCCTGTTTCGTCGACAACGGGAAGTTGATCAAAACCTTCTCTGCAAAACAATTTAATTTTCAAGGTAAATGAAAACAAAGGAACAAAGAGGGAAAAGAGAGGGACAATACTGAGCAGTCAAGGTATCCGCTGGGATATGTCGACTTCTCCAAGGATTTTGAGCAGCACCGGAGATCTTCCCTCACTTCTACTTAACATCCTCACACTGGTCGCCATAGATAAACAGGATGGAGGCTTGTATATTATTTCGTTCTTCTATGGCAAGCAAGGGCTGCCTGATCTTAACTCAGATCTTAAAGTCGTGCAAATAACTCTAACTCAGAAGTTCAGAAGATTGTCAGCTTTCATGCACACGTTTCGAAAAACATACGACGTTTGAGAGATTTTCTTCAACTAACTTTGAATTGATTCAAAACTTCGGAAGCTTGGACCAGCGGCCTATCACCCTGTTTCCTTATTTTCTCTTATCAACACATTTTGTTGACAAGACTCATAATAAAAAAGTTCTAAATTTGAAATCACTATCTCCCAACACTTTTGTGCCTAAAGGCGATAAAGGTCTCACTACAATGCTCGTGATCATTTTATTCAATTCGTTGCAGTTATTGAGAGTTACTTACTTTGCACTAACACATTCAGGATTGAGTTCAGCAGAACTTTTTACTCATGCAAGTATGTCGCTTCCAAAAACTTTATTAAAAGTATTTGAAAAATCGGGAACTTATCAAAAATGCATTCCACAGTACAGGGAGCAACAATGAATTTCATTCAAAAGAGCGAATGAATGAACACAATACCTGTCCATTATGTCAATCGACTGTTGACAGGTGACAGTTGGCAAAACAGTCAGAGGAGTTTGAAGGTCAATGCAAGAAATTTTCTTTGTCCACCACCTTTAAAATCATAAATGTTTCGTTAGTGCTGTGACAAAGATGGTACATGGAGATTTTTTTACCATTCTTCAAGTTATATAGGTAATAATAACACAATGACAATCGCCGAGTGTAACAGGGTATCCAGTTAGATGGCACCATGGTTAGATCGCTCCCAGTTGGATCGCTCCAACCAAAAGTTAGATCGCTCCATCAAATAAGTTACTTCGCTACCAACATAAGTTATTTCTCTCCATGTTGTAATGTGAAGTATTACTTAGCAATGAGGTGATGATGTGTCTTGCGACGATTCAAGTGCATCGTATTCACTCTGTCCTTCAGATTAGCCACCTATATATACATGTATATATAGGTGGCTAGGTGTATAGCGATGATGGAATAAATGATCCTGGTTACACTTCGTGATTCCGTTACATGAGTCTTTATTTGTTCTTTCTGCGTAGCTCGCATTTATTTCAAGCGCGCGCAAGCGATATTAATCGATTGTTAGGTAAGATATATACGTCATTTGATGAATTATCAATTTAGATAGCTTAGTTTTACTACCTTTACCTTAGTTTTCAACATGGAGTGAAGTAACTTATGTTGGGAGCGAAGTAACTTATTTGATGGAGCGATCCAATCTTTAATTGGAGCGATCTAACTGGGAGCGATCTAACCATGGTGCGATCTAACCATAATTCGTGTAACATAACTAGCTTTAGATCCCCTTAGATGAGTGAGTCGAGCAACCATTTTGCCGCAGCGCGCAAAAAGTAGAATTAAAGTTTTTTCCGATCATCGAAGAGCAACGCTGACAAAATTTATACCTCCTTTTTCTGTTAAGCATTTCAAGAAAAAATGATAGAGATGCGACAGTTACTGTAGACAACACTTTGTATGAAAAAAATGTGAGACATGTTTTGGTGAAAATCTACCAGTGTAACATAGCCTTCATTGCAAAGTGTATCTAGTTAAAGGAAACATACCAAAATTTGCTGTGGTCTTCATTCCTTTCTTTTTCAAGAAATCCTTTGTCTTCCATCCAGTCGTCACTCAAGAATTTTGTCCTGTGAATGTCATCAAACAGTTGTAAACTACCTTGTATTCTTCATATGATAATTAGATATAATAACATTATCATTATTTTGCTGCAAACACTCGTTGGGAAAAAATCAGTTATGACCTTACATGTAGTTCCTGACAGAGTCTGGTAGAAGGACAACGCACTTCTGTCCCTCACACAGAGTCTGGGCTGCCTTCACTGCAGCTGCCATTGCACTTCCACAAGAACCTCCTAAGTAAGAAATGGTAATTGACTGAATATATTTACACATAATCATTCCACTATTTAGCTATTTTACCATGTTGAGTCAACAGAACATGCAAAATATGGGGTACTCATGCCTGCCACTCACTGGTAAGTTACGTTTTTCTTAAATTGATTTCAATTGAGGGATATGGGTATGATTAGCATAAAATATGATTGTTTACTTTAGGGAAGTCTTGCAGAGAAGTTTTGTCTGTGACTGTCACAGAACTTTTAACAACCTGAAAGGATTGTTGTCGGCCAAACCTTCTGGTTTCTGTATAGTACATTGAATTATGTCTGTAATTTGTATTTGAAATATGATTAAAAAAAACAAACTGAGAGGATTGGATTCAACTGAGCTAAGTATTATAATTATGTTAGATGAAAGTACATAAGTTTGACATCATGCTATCACTGCTAGTTGTAGGAGTGATAGTGATCAAAGCTATAAAGCTTTATCTACACTACATGTTGATTACTGAACCCTCCCCTAATAAACATCACCACAAATGATGTCCCTCTAATCCTTTTTATCACTTCCAAACTCATACAGGTGATGCCTCTTTCCAACAAACATAGGCATGCGTAGCATGCAAGAGTTTATTTTTTAGCTGGGTAGGTTGAAATGGGATACTTTGTGTTCCTAATGTTTTCATAACTTTCAAAAGAACGAAAATGTCACATTACTTCACTTCAAGAGAAAGAGAAAAAACTTAATTTATCTAAACTCACAAGGTATTTTGTGGTTAATTGTCTCTATTGTCTATAACTACTTCTGAGCAAAAATAAATTGCATCGGTGTCACACTTACTGTAGTCTCCTTTACAACCATTGTTTGGTCTTGTCACACAACGCACCCTATTCCCCATAGGAGAGAGAGCCATTGTGTGATGAGACCAAATAACAGTTGCAAAAGAGACTACGCTTACAGCTGTTCCTCTAACAGAAAGAAAATGAAAATTATTTGTCTACAATTAGGTGCCTCAAAAATATAATTCCATGTTATTCTACTGCAAAAGGCAGACAAACTGTTGTATCTCCAAATATATCTACCCTATGAGGGAAGACATGCTGAGCAAAAGAAAAGGATAATATTTAAAAGAGGGTTCCTTGATTGGTTGTTGCTAATCTGGACTTTGCCCTCTGTGTATGAAATATGTGATAAAATGTAGGTTGTTTACAAGGAATTAACACACAATTGAGTTAATTCCAAGGTAGCTAAAAGCGAATTTTTTAGTCAAAACACGGGAGAATGTGTGGAAAATTCACTATCAGTAGCATAAAGTTTCATACAAATTTTGTTTCTGTGGTGTTGGATAATGCAGTTAGAATATGAAATAAAATGAAGGTTGTTTCCAAGGAAGTGGCATGTGATGGAGCAAAGTCAAATGTGGCATAATGGAATTTGATTGGTAGAATATGATTCAAGCACATGAAAAAGTGCCTTATAATGTTCTTGTAGTGCAATGATTGGGTATGTTCTGATTGGATTTTGGACATTGTTTTCATAGTATGTGATGGAATGTAAGTTGTTTGGCACATGTGTTTTGAGAAAAGGAGCAGAAAAACATTTTTAAACAGTTTGAACTTAAAAATTATACAATAAAGGTAAATGTGACTGTTTCATATCCTGATAAATGTGGACCTCACTCGATGAGGTTCTTGCAAAGTCCACAATCATAACACTTATCAAATGGGCCCAAATTTTCTTGTTAAGTCATTCTTTGTGCACAGCTTCTTGATTCCATGACATCATTTACAAGAAAACAATATGTGAATGCTGTTATTGGTGCATAATATCCAAATGCTGTGATATGATTGGTGTGAGATACATACCCTAATGCCGCAATCTGATTGGCGTAAGATACATACCCTAATGCAGAAATCTGTTTGGTGTGAGATATGTACCCTAATGTGGTGATCTGATTGGTGCGGGCATTACACCACTCTACAAGCTAATAATTTTTTTTTTTTTGTAAAAAAAAAAAAATTAAAAAATGTTTGATCAATGATATCCTATGAGAAAACATACCACACAGCAATCCTTCTTCTTTAATGAGTCTTCTTGCAAAAGTGAATGCTTCTTTGTCTCCAACTTTGTACCACTTGTCAACAACTGAACGGTCCAGAACAGTTGGAACAAAGTCATAACCAATACCTTCAACCTAAATAGACAGGTGATAGTAGTCAGAGGGACCAAATTTTGTTTTCAGAAGACATACATGCTACTATAGGTGAGTGAAAATCATCATATTGTCCTTTAAATTATTTTCAGTCAACAGATATTGGGTCAATTATGAATAAACTTAAAACTGAAGAAAAATTGTTTGCCCTTGTATAGCTTTTATTTCAAGGAATATCTACATGGCAATTCCTGTCCAGCAACATCTAAAAACAGTGACAAAGCATACAACCTTGTTGTGTTCTTATATTATAAGGGTGCAGTCCTGTTGATTAGTTTGAAGAAAAGTCAGGAATATGAATTGTTGTGTGCATGCTGTTATATATGTACTCTAGGGAGGTCAATCACTTTCTTTGATTCTTTTTTTTTAGACTTCTCTTAAAAGACTTGTGCAATATACATGTACAAGTGATCTTCCAACAATGAGAGAAAGAAAGTAATTGAAGGAAAGAGGAGGAGATTGCAATGGGAGTGCATATGTAGATATGAAATGAAACTGTAGGTTTCACTTTGTTTTTTTAATTTATTATAAATGGCATCAATTTCTAAAACTTGAATTATAAAAATTAAATGTTCACTGACACTTTGGAAAAAATGAGGTCTTTTTCAGTAGTGCAGTGGTTCTTGCAGTGGATTTAATATTTAATACAAGAGTATGGTTAGAAATCCCTATTAATAGTAACCTACATTATATATTGGATTGTCACAATCATTGAGTTCTTCTGGCTCAGCTAGGATGGATCCATGTGGATCAACACCTACAATCTATTGAAAATAACATTATGTGCAGACAAAATGAAAAATAACTAAATAAATGAACAAAACACTAAAATTGAATTTATAAATTAAGATGTTCAACAAGGATGTAAAAAAGGCTTAAGAACACAAAACAAAACAGAAAAGAAAAAATGTATTGGACAAAATGAAAATCTGTAATTTGGAAATTGAACTTACAATCTGTAATTTTTGAAATGGAAATTTTATAATGATTATGTTGTGTAAAAAGAGGGTTAGAAATAATTTCTTGTATGCTCTGCTTTAAGTACCTTAACATTTGGGCATTTTTCTTTAATCCTCCTGGCTACTCCAGTGATTGTACCTCCAGTGCCAGCTCCAAGCACCACCATGTCAACTTTACCTTTGAACAACACATCATACAATCATCAATCTGACTTTCATCACATCGCATTTTCCTTGTTTTATTTTAATATGATGACATGGCATTTTTCTCCACAAAACAGGTGCATCATAACAAGAACTTCATTTCTGCCCCAGACTGCCTAATTACAGCAGCTTTAATTTTAATTAATTAGATTATCATGCACTCATTAGCAAACAAGTTAGTAGTCACATACCACCACACTGCTGAACTATCTCTTCACCTGTTCCATCATAATGAGCCAAAGGGTTGCTTGCATTTCGATACTAAAAGTGACAAATCTTAGCCTCATTAATTCATACATTCAATAAAATTTACCAATTGACCTCTAAAAACACATTAATAATTTAATGGTTACTCATCAGTTTATTATCAATAACTGTTAACTCGACCAGTGCACTTATGATGGAATATCACTTCAATTAAACAACTACATCACTTCCAATTTCTAAATTTAAAAAAACTACAGTTGAACCCCATCTTACACCAACCATGGTAACACTGTCAACTCATCTTTATGGCCATGTCATTATTACTGATACTACTGTTTGGTGCTGCAAAATCACCATACATTTTCTTATAAAAAAAAAAATCCATCTATGTGGGTGCAAAAGGTACCCAAATTAATTATACACATGAAAGTACAGAGGTGGAGGAAGGGAGGGGGGTTGAACTTGCTATGGGTTGGTCAGTTTTAAATACAAGTACAATGAACTCAGAAAATAAATAACTGCATTAGGCTCAATCATTTTCTGTCAAAACTCCTGACTATTACATGATAGCTACCTATTGTAATCAAAGGCACCAGATAGTCTTGTAAGGGTTTTGAGATTAATGAACCAAAAATTTTGAAAGTTATGACTCAATCTCCCTTAAATTTGACCCTTCAGTCGATGACTAGCATTTTCTCTATCTTGATTAGTCAGAAATAAATATCATGTTTAAGTTAACCCAAAAGATTGAGTAAGAGGCAGGAACATATTATAATTAATTATAATTATGTCATTTCTTAACCTGATCCAAGATGATGGAATTTGGGATCTCACAGTTGAGTCGTTGAGCAACACCAATGTGTGATTCTGAAGTAAACAGATAACACTTTGTTTCATCTACAAGCTCTGTTTTCTTTCAAATAAGATATGAGCTATGGCTCATTCACACTTTATACTATGGGTGAACTTCTTACTTTTGAGGATCGTAACATGTCTTGACATGGGTGTGTTAGTGCTCTTAATGGAGAAAATTTAGGCAGGGTATTAAAATTGTTCCAAGAAAATAATAACGCATCAACAAGCAAAACAGGCTGCAGGTAAAGACAGCTGCTTCTAATCTGATCAAATATTTCAGAAATACAGTTACAGTATTGACCTTGCCTTTTTCTTAAATACACCATTCTTGACCAAGCGAACAAAGGTGTGTTCTCTCCTTGATCATACTGGTATAAAAAATGTATTTACATAATACAGGGGACTTGAGGCAATCCCTAAAACATTACTACTGAGAAGCAAGACATGCTTAATAAAGCCTTTGCCCTGTTGTGCACCAAAATCAAGTTTTCCTGCTTCAATTAAGACCTGATGAAAATTTTTAGTGGACAGATACCAACAGGAGATCTTTCTCCGATGTGAGTGGCTTACATCTTACTATGTGAAAGTGACCAAGGCTTTATAGCAATAGAATTACTTAAAAGGAATCTACATGACTTGATGTGGCAGTCACAATTTAAAGAGTGAATCCATTTGTGATAATATTGTTGTTTACCTGGTGAGTCAAACTTGGCTTCTGTTGGTGTACGCACTATTTCTGCACCTAAGGCTCGAAGGACATCTACCTAAAAATAATCAGGTATTTGCTGTAGAGAGATCAAATGAATCAAACCAGCCAGAATTCCCTAAAAACTGTCAGGATAATGCTAACTGCAAGCTTAGCCATGCCATGAAGAATGAATTATTAGCAGGAGTTATACTTTATGGACATGGACATATATGGCAAAAAAAAAATTTATGAGTTCAATACGACCTTAAATTTTTGAAGGAATTTTCAGTTTTCTTTTCAAGCAGTATAATCTTAACTATGAACAAAATGGAATAATCCTAACTTTTATCTGGGTGAGGTGAGCTTAATAGGGCAATATGTATACTCTTCTGCCCAAAAGGACTGATACAACAACAAAATCAAACAAAGTCTCTTTTTCCACTTCATAAAGAATTTTTTTGGATTGAATGAAGTAAATTTAAAGAGCTTATATTTTGCTTATATCTTTTGGTTTGAGAACTTATTTCTAAGGATCAAGGAGAATCTGAAAAATATAATGCAACATTAAATGTTTACAAATTGGTACAGTATTAAATATATTCCAGCAGGTCAATACCTTTTCCTTACTCATCTTTTCAGGCATTACTATAATGCAGCGATAACCTTTCACAGCTGCTGCTAAAGCCAGGCCAATTCCTGAAAACAGGCATAAAATAAGTAACTCAGCACACCAACCTTATAGATTCTTAAGGTCTCTTTCTTTATGGTTATCCTTGGAGGAAATCTCTGTGAACCTCTATGTAATTTCACAATGTAGTATTAGATTTCTTTCAAAAGAGGTCTGTGATATTCTTCATACGTGAGACCAGAAGTTTTAACAAATAAACATCATTCACTACTTAAGCTAAATTTTCAACAAGAAATTTTTGAGAACATGTCTCAATACCATTGGTTCAACATGAACAGCTCTGGCAGGGTTGGTTTGAGTTTAGTCCAAAGGGTAGAAAGCCAGTGCTATGGAATATTGATTATTGAACACACCTCCATACACGCCTACAATTATGATGCAATGTGAATCCGTATTTGCAATGCAAAGCTAATTTAGTTTAACAGTCCATATTCACTTCCACCAAGAAGGAATTTTGCTACTAAACAATAGAGAACACGGTAGACTAACTGACCAGTATTTCCCGATGTCGGTTCAATGATGGTGTCTCCAGGGTTGAGTTTGCCTTGGCGCTCGGCATCTTCAATCATTCTCAGTCCTATCCTGTCCTTCACTGAACCTCCTGCGTTGAAATACTCGCACTTCGCCACTGAAAATGAATCAAAATTTAACTTTTTATAAGCTGACTTTTAACAATAGAATAAAGGGGGTAAGTTTGTAAAGAAATTGTGTTGCTGCGTCGGCGGGGGAGTATAACAAGATAATTTGATTTCATCAGCCCGAGTTCATGATGTAAAATTGGCTACCGTAAAGAGTTTCTAAGCTGACGTTTCGAACTACGTCCGAAACGTCATCCGAGAAACTATTTACGGCGGCCAATTTACATTATCAACTCAGTTGATAACACCATGTTATCTTGTTTTTGCATTAGAGTCAGAGTAATGGTCATTTGATGACGGACGCAAGTATTTCAACTTAACTTGAGCTTTTACTCACACAATTCACATTTCAAACCACAGCTTTTCCCGATCTTGTTTATTCGAACTAGTGGGGTATTTCCAATGCGATGAAGAATATTTGGAATGATCTTGTTTTCTGTCACCCTAAAAAATTCGAAAAGAGTTAATTTTTCATCAAACGACGTAACTGGTCTTGCCTCACTAAAGTAGTTCCATCACTTACGCGGTCTTGTTGTGATGATGGGGAGATTCAATTTTCACTCCCAAGTGCCAAGTACATTTTGAGGGTAAATCGGGCCGAACCCATTGCCGTTTATCACCGACAGAACTTGATCGTTTCAACTCGTGATGGGACATTTCTCTTAAAACGCCTCATAAGCCTACAAAATCTTAAGACGTCTCTCACAGATGACCCAACGGAAGTTGAGTTCTTCTGGTCCGTAAGATATCCTGTGACGTAATGTCGTATGATTGGTTACCAATGAGATGTGATCAGTGTCTGAAAAGCGCTTCGGGCAAATAGTATTCTCCATGAACCTTCACCCGGACCACTTCTGTGAACCACCCCTTTTTTTGAGAACTGACAAATTTTCATTCCATATGTCCTTAAACCGACGTATTCAAAATGTTGTTTTCAATTCCATTCCTGGAAATTAGAAAATTATCAGAATATAGATAGATAGATCTTTCCTTCAGGGCTTTCCAATCGACTGGTTAATATAGTTATTGATAATGTGCGCTCAACAGCAACTGCATTACCCTTCTGGTTGTCGTCTACGTGTCAAACACGCCTTTGCTTGAGTTTTTGACAATACTCATCTGAGAGATTTTTAAACCTATTTCAACTCAAAGCGAATGATATGAAGGAGAAGTAACCAAAAAAAAAAAAACAAGCATTGCTTACTTGCTAGCCTTTCTGTTTCCCTTTTTGCGTGAGCGGAGGAGCCGCGCGAGGGTATGAGACGAAAATGAACTGGAAGTGGTGGGGCGAGGGGGGGGGGGGGGTGAGTTAAGGTGTGGGGGAGGGGAGATCGGAAAGTAAAAGAATTCGAGCCGAATGTTGAGTGAATTTTACCAATACTTTACTCTTGAACAGGTGTGACACTCAGTAACCCCAGAAACAAGATTTAAAGGCCTATTTACACGGTACGACTCTGTCGCATGCGACAAGCTTACGACAGGCCTACGACACGAATTGTATCGTGTAAATCAAACCTACCATTCGCTTACGACTGTCGTGCACGTCACGAAAAATGTCGTAGGATTTTAAAACATGTTTTAAAACGCTGCGACAATTGTAGCCGAAATTGATAGAAAATGACGTATTTTGTGACAAATTTCTACTGAGTAGGGGAGGAAGGTGAAATTTTCTTGCGTCAAAATGGCGGAGGAAGTCGCCTCCGGAAAGTCGAAGACTGCTTCCAAAGCGAAAAATACATTCTCAGATGAGGAAACAGAGAATATGATATCACTGTGGAGCGAGGAAGAGGTTCTTTTCCTTCTCTTGCAAATTATTGAAACAATGACCGCGGCCGAAACGAGTGGAATTGCACGCGATTTTGGCATGTCGTAAGTGAAAATGTCGTGCGCGTGTAAATTGTCCTAAGTCATGTCGTAAGCCTGTCGTAAGCTTGTCGCATGCGACAAAGTCGTACCGTGTAAATAGGCCTTAATAGGTTCAAAAATGAAGTGCAATTTTTCTCGGAAAGTTTTATAAACTTAGAAGCCCCTAGTTTGAAAACAGGTGAGGAAAATGGCATGTTTAAATTTGATGTAAAATAGGATCAGGATTTTGAAAACCAGACAGCCCACCCCTAGCAGAGGGTCCCCGATAGGTTTTTCGGGATCCGGGATCGGGCTTATTTAAAGGCCGGGAATTTAAAGTAAGAGGGGAACGAGATGCGGGATTGTTATCATGAACGGGACTCGGGAATCGGCGATTTTGAGGAGCGCGATTCTGGAAACATACACTTAAACAAACCGAGAACAGGGATGTCCGTTGACGAGAATTTATGAAGAAATTGATCTTCTCGTGATCAGTCCACGAAAAGCACCAGGCCAACAGGCTCTCAAGCATTCGGTAGGTGGTCAGGCTGTTCGGCGACATTCTTGAGTTAGTGCGCGGCAATTTAAGTTATATCAGACGCGAAGTTGCTAATTTACCAAAAATCCTCAATGGCCCAAAGGGTAACAAGGCATGTAAGACTGCTGCGTCAGTTGAAATGCTTAATGGCCTCGAAAACCCTCATGGTGTTAGATTACCCAAGAAACTTTGTAAATGCAGCAAAAGATGGCTTAAAGAGGACAGCCCGTTGAGTGGTGTACTATTTTTCAAATCCAAATTCTTGGTATCCTGTACTTGGACGTGCCATGATCCTGTCGGCCATACCAGCAATTCAACCGTTACCACCTCTACAGGTGACAGTACAGAGCATACAGAAGATAAGGGACTGGGCGTAAACATTTGTTGCAGCAGTGGGTCAGCGCTCTGTCAGACAGGAAACAACGATGGCAATAGCTGGAACTTCCCCTTTATACCTCTATAAGAGAGGAATTCAGCCGAACAAACCAGTCAGCCTCGAAAAGATGGACTATTAGAGTACGATTCCCCGTGTGATGATGGTGACAATCCATCTTTGGAACAAGACACTGATTTTCACCTGGGAAGATGAAAATCAGCTTCATTAGAAGTATTCGCTTCAACAGCAGTGTAATGGCTGCCACGCCTTTACCACCGGACATTAATTCGCTGTAACTTTGATTCTTGTTGAACCGCAACAATGACGTCACTGTTTGTCCGTTAGGGACGTGATCTTTTAGGTTCCACCCAGAACCGCATTTTAGTTGGTTTTCTTGCTTTGAGCTAACGATAAAACGTGCCTATCGGAAGAGCGCCTTTTTGCCCTCCTTATCTTGAAGTTCGTTTTGGTTAAACTCTTACAAGCGGGACTGTTATGTAAGTGCCTTTGTTCCTTTCTTGGTGCTTGTCTAAATATCTAGTATTTTGGTAGTTTCGCCTAGTTTTTACATGTTTCTTTATCGCTCGTTTTCGCCACCTTGTAACACGTGGCCTACGTTGTTCACGCTTCGTTAGAACGCTATACGTTTTTCCCAATTGGTTATTAGTTTTTGTTAGAGTTCGTTTTCAAGCAGTTTTCTTTTATCCTTTTTAGAATTTAGCTCACCTTCTTCCTTATAATTTTCATATTTCAGTTTACGATAAGTACTTGGTTACCTTGACTACGTTAAATAAAACCATTCAAAGCTTCTGCGCAAAATATATCCTCGCTTCATAGTGTGTATTGCTTTGCTTGTGTCGGCCGCTACAAGCAGAATTGTGTTCAATTAAGTTTTCTTTATCTCCCTTGTTATGAAACCATGGGATTGCCGTCATCTTTTGTGTTTTATGCACTTGTTGACATTGTTATTCGTCCGACCTGTCTGTACTAATATGTTTGTCCGTGATCGAAGTTTAACGGAAGAAGTCGTTATCGTGACTTGCGTGCGTTATTCGTACAAAGCTTTGAAAACTTCTAAAATAAACAGTATCATTATTTTGATGAAAAGAGATGAACTTACGCCTTACGGTGACCATAGACTTCAACGGATCAATGCTGGTTGAGAAAATCATCACCTACCGAAAAGGCCCTCCTAAGTTTAGGAAATGGACTTAGACAAAATTGTATGATCGGGATCGGGATTGACCAGTATAACTGTCGGGGTTACGGGATTGAGAAAAAATTTTAGTCGGGATTGCGGGATTGAAGAATGCTATTGGAGACCTTCCTAGCAAGTATTCTAGTGGCTTTTATTAGAACCAGTCCAGTTCTACCTTTCCTGGTGGGTGCTGCTCTCCGAAAAGTTAATGCTATCAAGCTTACATGACAGCTCTTAATAAACTCTACTTGTATGTTGTGGAACAGGCTTTCATTTCAACATCTGTTAAAATTTTTCTTTCTTATTCATTGATTTCTCTATCACTTGATTCCTACAAATCAAAGCATGACTCAAAAAATAACCGAAATAAACAAATAAACAAATTTATTTCAAATCAGTTTTTTTAGTTCTAATACTCATTTACCACCATTTAAAGTTCCGAACAACCAACCGTTAAAATAAGATTAGAAGAAATGAAAAAAAAACCCTAAGAATTAACTCAGACACTCAGCTGTGGGATGATTTCTAGCGATGTCATCTCTCGTTCTAATAATCAATCAATAAATAATGGTCATATATAACTACAATTTTGATATAATTCAAAGCAGAAATTTTACTAACTTTAACTTATTGCTTCAAATGAACAATTTTGACCTTATTTAATTGCACTGAATATCATCAACAAGTCCAAGGGAACTGTTAAAAGCCACAAAAATTCTAAAGTAAAAAATGCTAACTACACTACGAATACATTTTATAAATTAAAGTAACACACTAACAAATTACAATAACCAAGAATATTGTTACTGAATAGGGTTCCAAAATGATACCAAAATTTATCTATGATTACAAAAGCTACTTCTAATTTTGTAAGCATTATGTCACTGTCAACCATATAAAACCTACTGTCTATAGATGTGATGTAACAAAACCAGGGCCAGCCAGATTAAGCTGCACTCTTTTAACCAATCAGAACTTCACCAGTGTTTAATAGTAATTAGTTAAATTACATACAACCCTAATCTTGAAAAAGACAGGTGAGTGAGGATGAGGCAGGGCTATAAATAAAATTTGCTTCAGGAAAATTTGCAGGTAAAGACCAAGTTGAACTTAATCAATTCCCATGCAAACTTAACAAAAGTATAGTGGAGCCTCCACTCAAGGCACACAAACTTTGCCGCCAAAAATGTTCATATAAGCTTTGTATTTGTTATCTTCGTTGAAGAAAACATCTGTCCAAGGGAAAAGGGACACTATTTGTGGACCTCAAAGCCTGTTCAAGCCTGTTCTTAGCCTTCATTCAAGGGAAACTAAAAACCATAAAATGCTCACTTTATCCAACACAACCTTTTTCTTTGACCACCAATATAATGAACTTGTACAAGTAAGAGTTCACTGAAAACTACCCCAGAAATTTAAGTTAATCACAGTTTTATAAATACTCACATCATTTATCCGCTTGAATAAATGATTTCTGTAGATTTCCATCCAGAATAATAAAATTTTATTTTTGCAATGAGGTAATCATTAACCCACACCAAACCACTTATTACTCAGGACACACTTGTGTTTGTCTCCAGGATGTCTCCTAACATTAGTGTGAAACATAACAGAACATCACAATGTGTCAGTTGGATACTGGAACAAAAAAAAATGAAATAGAAAAATATAAACTTTTAAAATCTAAATTACCAGATCTGGCTTAATTTATTAAATTAAATATCATCTGCTCAAGTTTTAACCTCAATGCTTTATTACTGTAGCAACACCTACACTACCTATAACGTGAATTTAATCCTTTCTATCATCCTCCATTTCATGTGATCACTAAACCACCAGTATTTGGTGCTACAAGTTCTCCAGTGCAATCCTCTTGAGAATCTCTGTTTCTAACATCTTCAAGAGGTTGGGCTTCCATTTCAACATAACGCTGTTGCCAGGACTGTCTCCATCCCACTCTGGTGATGTGATACACAGCTCGTGCCAAGAAAACAGCTCCAATGATCACAAAATAGCTCCCATAAATGACAAACTGGGAAGATGAAAGATTTCATTTCACTTTCTGGTCATTGTTTGCAGTAATTAAAACACAAGTTTAACAGAGAACTAACAGAGTATAAGCATTCCCCAGATGCTTAAATTATTTTTCAGGGTTCTCAACCCTTCACTTTCTAGTGGTCAGTGTGAAATGCAGACTGCAGACTGAAGACTGGGGGCAAAATGCAGACTGAGGGCAAAATACAGACTGAAGACTACAGACCAAGGTAAAATGCAGACTCACTTCTTTAGTTGAAATTTATGAACATTTCTGGTTACTCTAAATGATTAAACTTAATTTAAGTAACTTGAGACTTCTACTTGCTCTTAATTTGTTTCAATTTAAGGAAGACTCTGCCATTTTTCCAGAGAATTAAAATACCTCAGAGGAAAACTGAATTTTCTGAGCATTCCTTTTCCAACAAGAAGTTCCACATAGGTTAAGTTGACCATGATAGTGGCAGATTTACCTCAGGTTTATACTGAAGTGAAACACCTCACAGAATAAGAAAGGCTAACATCAGGGGATATTGTTGGGAAGTTTTTAATTAGACTCTTATCTTGCACCCACAAATTTGCATTAAATTAAAAAAATTTGCATGCCTAACTTTACAGCACAAAACAAAGGTATGGGAAACAGCCTGGTTTCTAATGTCCAAATAATTGAAATTGCTGCTGTGTGATGAGAGTCTATCACCACTACTTTCAAGGCCAAACAAAATATACATGAGCTACATGTATGTTAAAGCTACCTAATGTTGCTCAGCAGAACTGTTTATTCCTTAACAAGGGAAATATCTTTAGCTGGCTGTGTACTATATATTCAAACACTCACATTTCCTGTTCTTACCTTAAAACAATATGTCAATGCCAAAACCATCTGAGGAAGTGAAGTTTGAAACATCAATTACCATGAAGATTATTGCCAGCCTCTCTTGAATTATGCAACCTCAATCCAGCTCACTTTTAAAGTTTTTGCTGAGAAGCAGGTTTTTTTAAGAACAAAGTCTGCATTTTACCCCTGGTCTACAGTCTTCAGTCTGCATTTTACCCTTAGTCTGCATTTTACCCCCAGTCTGCAGTCTGCGCCTTACGCTGACCACACTTTCTAGTTTGACAGACACTCTTGTAATTTCTAACTAACATAATAAATGCATGAATACCTGTTCGATAACTGAAAGCTTTAGGTCTGGTCCATCCACCACAACTGCTGTCAGGATTGTTGACACCAGCAGTGCAGCAAACATATTTATTCCAAACACCAAGGCAAATCTTGACATTTCCACATGCTTAGCAATCTGCAAACTTAAAATAGAAACTAAAGATAAATCATGATATCCACAGTGTAGTGAACATCAGGAAGTTCACACAGTATTTGTCCTTGTAAATTGTAGTGTGAATAAATTGTTGCAAAATGTTAAGGCAGTATATTTTTCTAAAGAAACTGTGGTGCTACATTGGTGTGTGTGTGGGGGGGGGAAGGGGGGTGGGTGGGTGTTACAAGATGATTTGATGTTATCAACTGAGTTGATGATGTACATAATAGCCATCATACCAGTTTCTAAAGCTGATGTTTCAAGTGTTAGTCCTTAGTCAGAGTGTACGAGGAAGGGCTAATACTGAAAATATCAGCTTTACAAACTCCTTACATGGCCAATTTTCATCATAAACTCAGTTGATAAAACCAAATTATCTTGTTGCAAAATATATCTATTTGACCCTATTAAGGTACAGCTTTGTGACTCAAATTAAATGACAAAATGCTACAACATTGCTTAAAAAGATACCACATTTTTGTTTTTGGGGCATTTTGACGTCATCACTATATCTATTACAGAATAAACATACCACAACATGAATCTTGTAGATGAAATGATTTTTCTTTAATACAGGATATTTGAGAGGAATTCATTTTCGGCTCTAATTTTGACTTCAGGAAATAAAACTATGTCATGTACTAATTATTTTAATTCCTTTTTGAAAAAAAGAACAGTTACCTTGCTATTGTTATCAGGAAAGTATATGCTGTGCGAAATAGGACATACATAAGATAGGCCAACCAGATATTGCTGGTATGTGCACTTTGGAACAAAAAGAATGCATCAGCTACAGACACCACTCCCAGGCACAACTCTCCAAATATGGACCAGTTAATTTTCACATGTGCTAATGCTATAGCCACCAATGACCCAGTCAAGTGTGAGATTGCAGTAACCCCACCATTGTAAATTTTGTGGTTATGAGATGGGTAGATAATCTCCCATAAATTCTGTACGTAATTTTCAACTTGGAACTCCCCGCCAGTAGCAAAGGCCCACCAGAGAGACCACCGCAGCAATTCTTTGTCAGAGTAGCACAGCTTAAAATCACGAAACATGGTAATCATTGTTCGCTTCCAGGATGATATACAACCGTTTCGTTGTTCTTCGATGAGATAGTCAGATTCTGTCGTAGTGATAAAAACGTTTCCAGAAGCTTTTGGTAGCAGGAGTGTTAGAATACAAGAGATTGAAACACTGCCAAGAGAGATGTAATTAAGAACCAGATAGTCAGTCACTTTGAACGTTATTAGAAGCTGTCCAACAACTCCTGAGATCAATCTTCCCAACAGGACTGCCGCCCTGGTATAACTGGTCACGATCTTGTAATGATCTCTGTCAACTACCGCATAAATATAAGAATAGTAAGCTACTTCAGCTCCAGTAGCTACTCCATAGACGAACTGCATGAACTGCATCGCTAAGACTCCACCGGCCCAAATCAAAAGGATTCTCGTGGCCAAATAAGCCAGCCCCTCGATTATAATTACGGGTTTGTATCTCAGCAGATCTGTGACTAAAAACACTACTAACAGAGTTAAAAGGTAAGAGTAGGTCCATACGGGGTAGATTTTTTCCAGATCCTCTTCGGTCATATTCTTTTGCGCTTTTAAGTATGGAGTTAGAAAAGGCTCTGATGGTTTCATTTCTTTGAAAAAGCCATAGGAACAGAGAAGCAAAGTAGCTTTGATCCAAAACTCCATCGTGGTGCTCGAGGATGCGACACGTGATGGCGAAAAAAAAAAAAAACACAGGAAGTGAGCGAGCACCGAACTACCTAGGGAGGGGAGGCAAAGTGGAATGAAGAGGAAATCGCCTTGACACATCTCAAGTAGGCTACATTTAACCCATTCCATTTTTTTTCCGTTTTCAACTTTTGCTTTCTAGAATACCAACGAAGCTTTTGCTTCAATGAAATAAGGTGAACGCATTTCAATTTCCCCTTCCAACCCTTGTTAGATCGAATCATACTGAACACAAAGAAAGATGGCGGGTAATTGTACACTGTTTATAGAAGACCAACACTACTGCGTAAGTATCGATCTTTCCGTTTCATTTGAAGTCAGTAAGGTAAGTAATTTCTCTTCTCTATCTATGGTGTTTTACAGAAAATTATCGCCATTGTCAAGCAGACGGTCGCTTCTTTTTCTTTGGTTGCCAGGTGGGAACTGACCAAACATGGTCCTCTTAATGATATTGTGAAATGTTTAAGAAACGTTGTAAATTACAGAGCAGAAATGGCTCCATATCTCCCCCTTTTTTCTTTATATGGAAACATACCATATTACTCTTACATCCTAAATTCTATCGAAGTTTTGAAAGCATGTCGATTCATTACATATTTCCTGATCAATGAAGCTCGTTCTATAGGTTCGTATGTAATTACTTAATATTATGTTCAAATTTTAAGATGTTTGCGTAGGCTAGATTTTCCTCAGCGTATCGGTTTTAAACTTGAATTTACGATCGCTCTAACAAGTTCAAAGTGATGTTTTGCGTATATTGACGTACAGGTGGAAGATTTAAAAAATCAGAGGATTCGATCGACCAATAACAGCGGTAATTGTGAAGAAGAGCTCCCCAAAAAACCTGTCGGCCGACTGTTGGTCAACTGTCGGTCGACAGTCGGCCGACAGTTGGTCGTCTGTCGGCTGACAGTTGGCCGACTGTCGGCCGTTTGTCGGCCGACAGTTGGCTGACAGACGGCCGACAGGTTTTGCCTGAAATATAGTCGACAGTCGGCCGACTGTTGGTAATGTGTCGGTAACCTGTCGGTAGCTTGTCGGTAAAACGTTAACACAAACCTTAATGTTTTCTCTCGGTTTTCGCTTGATACAACATCCAACATGTGTAATACATTGACAAGAATAGCCTTTCATAGATTTGGTGGCTCCTAAAGGAGCCATTTTGTGAGTGGTGAAACATACAAGATACTTCACTCGTAGAATCGTGCCTCAAACTTCATTGGCAACAGTTGCCCCTCTCTCCTCATGTTGCTCATGACCGGGATGTAGCGCCGAAGTCTTTTGCGACAGACAACCTCCAGATCTCGCACCGATTTAACTTCTTGGTCGCGGAGGACAAGGTCCAGTTCCCTCGAGTCTACCTTTTTCGGTTCTGCTATCGCCACGAAGTCTCGTAGTGTGCTCTGAGGACAGCCTGCAAGACAGAAGGCACAGGCCATGCTGCATCTGTTCTCTTTCATCGTCTGGAGAACCTGGTCATATCGTTCGTGTATGTTGGCCAGGCTGTGGGTGCTGACGCGAATGTCTGGTGTTGCTGTTGTGATGCGGGTGGGTCTTCTTATGGCGCAGTCTTCTTATGGCGCAGGTTGGTTTCTGTGTCGCACTTCCGCTCGGAGTTCTGCGATGACAAGGTTGGCTAGCTCTTCAGCCTCTTTCTCACGTTCCTCTAGCAATGTCGTCAGCTTCTGGTTCTGTTCCTACTGGTTCTGGAAGGCCTGACCCACTCTTTTGTAGTCCTTTTGTAGTGACTCATACTTTTTCTTTAGATCGTCGTGCGACGTATCTGCAGGCTGTTGACTTTGATGTCTTTTTTCTTTTCTGAGGCGGGTGTTCATTACACGAACATTGCCTACTGTCGCCGTTGCAGACGCCACACCTATTCTCACAGTGAAAAATAGAGTGGTCGCCGCCGCACACTGTGCACTTTAAGATTCTCTGAGACATGTTGTTGTTTGCGAACTATTACGTCGTAATGATAATAACTTTTTTAACTAAAGGCTTTTCATACGCTATCATCGGATCAAGTCCGTCGATTGGTAAGTAGGTGAAGTCTGTCGAGTCATACATCACCATTACGGATTGTTATGTCACGTTAACTGTTCGTTTTTAACACAATTTTTCTTTTTTCTTAACCTGTCGGTAACCTGTTAGTTAGCTGTCGGTAGACTGTCGGTAACCTGTCGGTCAACTGTCGGCCGACAGTTGACCGACAGGTTTTTTTGGGAGCTCTTCTTCACAATTACCATAACAGCTTACCAGATCTTACCCGTGATACTGTTAAACTGTTTTCATTCAAATCTGTCTGAGCTTTAACCTATCAAGTAATTTGTTATTATATATTTGAGGTATGAATTTATTTCATGATGTAAAATTTAATGATCTGTCATCATTTGCAGCCTCTTCATAATATTTGTTATATGGCTTTTCAGAAAGTACAAGTATTTTGTGCAGGTAGAAGATCCTCACTTTACATATAACCATTGAAAATAATTGATGATGTCAAAAACCACATTACTGAACATCAATGACTCACAAACTACTCTGTTGACTGGGAATCTGCACAATGCCTTACTTACAGCACTAACTACTTTCCATGGTTTACTCTGGAAAGCTGGCTTACCAGCATAGAACAGACTCCACTCAACAGGTGACCACTACTGCTGGCACCATTCAAATGACTTATTCGTGACATAAACATGCAAATCAATGGAACAGAACAAGCTAACTTTACTGATGAATTGAAACTGACCAAAAATGATTTACTTCTGCTACTTGAGTCATACATCCAATTAAATCACAGCTAAACTGACCAGTCAGTATACACAAACTGAACCTAGTAAATTTGACTGACAATAACAACTCACTTGACTCTGATGATGACTTCCACTCAGGTAATTGAAATGTTAGTGACTACTACCGACAACAATTCTGCACAGGACTGATGACCTGATCTGATGATCTGATCTGCACAATCATATAAAAATATTTAATGAAAACATTAACTTACTAAACTTTAGGTTTTAATCAACTAGTCTCTTACTACCACACAATTTAAAAAAAAAAAATGTGGTGGTCCAGTGGGCTTAGTCAGTAATTCAAATGTGGCTGAACGCAGAGCTAATAGTATGACAGTAAGCACTTCCAAGAACAGAATATACAGAATGTTAAATTATGTAACAATATTATTTATAACAGAACGCGTAAATTTGTCTAATCAAATTCAATTGCGTGAGTGTGCTTCATACTCCTATTGTGCACACTCATGATGTCAGCAAACAAATCTCTTGAGAAAAAAATTTCTTCGTGATTTTTTACTTTGGGATTTTACTATTAAACAACTGGTTAAGACTTCGTTGGCAATTTGAGCTAAACATGGAAAGTTGTCAGCAAGCTGATGAGGAAGAAATGTTTTCCTGAAACAAAATTATCAATGCGCTGAAGCATAGCAGAAGGAATATTAACCCTTTTACAACATTTAAACTATCGGTTGAAAATGTTATTAAACAATTGGTTCATACATCAGCTGTGCGTTCATTGAGATATAAAGCACTTGGGAAGTTTGGAGAGCATGCAAGAAGCTAGAGTTGCTCAAGGTGTAGCCTCGATCAACTCTTACGCATCCTTCGAGCTCTCCAAACTTCCTGCACGCTTTATATCTTGATGAATGCACACTGATGTATTAACTAATTGTTTACTGTAAATGACTGTGAATATATGATAATCACATATGTGAACTGCGGATTAAGAAATGAATATAACAGTGATCTTTGCAGTAATGAACACTAGTTATGCATTAGTGAAAATAAGGTCTGAAAAAAAATTCAGGCCTGTATGGGATTTTAACCCATGACCCCTGTGATACAGGTGCAGTGCTTGACCAACTGAGCTAACCAGCCAACTGGGAACTGGTCCTTATTTGGTGGAGCACTGCAGTGGTATCACAGTGGTCATGGTTTAAAATTTGGAACGGGCTTGAATTGCTTTTTCAGGCCTTATTTTTACTACTGCTTATAATAAGTAGTGTTCATAACTACGAACTTAAGTTTTCTTTCATGTTCAATGTTATGTGTCCTCACCACTTACTTGTGGTTCATGTCAACAGAGACTTATTTTGGCTCTTACTTCTGCTGCTTGTCTCGACAGTATAAGCTATCTACTGGTAAGTGTCCTGCTTGAAGCTCCTTTTAAGTCTAACAGAGATATATTGTAGATATACTAACAGATAAACATACCTTTTGCTTGTGGTGAGTGAAGCACTTCTCACTTTAATTAATCTATTTTGTTTTTAAATGAAGTAAAGCCAAAGACTGTTGATTGAGCACTTTTTTTGAAGTAAAATATTACACATTACCAAAGAGTTGTAAACTTGATAATGTACTTTACAACTCCAGACAGGTGTTCCTCCAGATGACAACACTTTATGTGACTTTCAGGCCTGGCTTCTTTCGTTTACAAGTATGTTGACTGTTTCAAGTTGAGAGATAGCATTTATTTGTAGTTCAGTTCATTTTCATATTCTATTGTGGCAACCTTATGCTGTAATTATGATATTTAACAATCAATCAACAAGTTCAAGCAAACACTTTTGCTGTTCATCTCAAATATTTATTTAAGAGCGATACTATCATATTAGATGGCCTTCTGATGACTTTCTGTTCAGTGAAAACTTCACAAAAAATGCTGGCTACATCCCCTGTGTCCATTATCTCATAAAAAAAACCCAGCTGAGCATTTATCAAAACACCTGAAAACCTCTTGGGCCTGAAAATCATCTAGTAACCCACTTAAAAAGGCACCCACAAATATAAGGCCTAAGTAGCAGTAATTATTTCTCCTTGTGAACTTTGAAGGAACCCCTTATCTCCCAAAAACTTTTTCCAGGTGATTTGATCTGAAATAAAATGGCAGTCATCAGGGCTGTTCTGAATTAAACTATACAGCTAAGATGATACGTGGTGGGAACATTAATACTGATTATGGAACAAAACAACATTTTGAAAGGTGGTGAGAGAATTCCTTATTGTCAGTGGCTTTTTTCTGGGACAAAAAAGTGGGACTCAGGGTACCAGTCTCCTCTAAGCACGGAGGTGGGGTCAAGGATATATTTATGTATTCAAGAATATGTTTTCATAGCTGGCAGTAAAACCAGAAAAAAACATTGAAAAATTCAAGTGAGAATACAGGGCTTTTGGCAACTTTCAGAAACACTCTGTGGGACCTGAGAAAATCACCTGAAATATGGTATCAAAAAGTTTTTGGCCTGAGAAGTTTTTATGTCTTTTGAGAAATGCATGCCTGGAGTTTTTCTTTGTTAATGTAGTACATTTTCTTTTCCCATGCTTGCTGTAATTAAATTTTAAATCTCTCTTAATAGTTTTTTTCATTTATCACCATCTTACTGATCATAAAGGAAATTATACAAGGAATGTGAAATAGATTTGGTCTGTATTTTGTAGGTTTCTCTGTCCTTCTGTGGGTTTGCTGCATCACCTTTAACTTATACTGGAATGCTATAAAAGAAGTCAAAACAGATAAATTTGAAAAGTTAGTCTGATTTTTTTTTTGAGTAATACTGCAAGTCTTAAAATTGAGAAGATTATGTTTTGATTCAACAGGTTGTGTAGTGAACAATCTGACTAAATTGCAAGACATGTAAGCAAAGCTCAAAACTACAATCCAATTGTCCTTACAGTGTGCAGTTTATTTCTCTTGTGCCTGATTGGTTTTTTTCCAAGGAGTATAATAAGATCCCTTAATTGTTTCTGGCTTCCCATTTTTGTGAGTGAGTAATGTTTATTAGTAACATTTAAGCCTGGTTGACATGTGTGACGTGAATGCAAATGCAAATGTAAGCAAGTTCACATATCCAATGTGAATGCAAGGAAAGTGAGATACACAAGCATAGTGTAAGTATTTTTCCAAGATGGCTGATGACGACAAAACTTTTTTGTTGCAAAGTTTGCTGCAGTATGTTTTATCATTTGTTTTTGTTTACAGAGCTCTGAGGAGAAATTTTACTTGTACACTGTTTACTAAACTGTTCAAGAGGCACTGTATTCCTACATCAATGTCTTTGCTGTATATGTGTACATTCTTTCGTAAAACATACTGTCTTTTAAGCCCACTTCTTTGGCCACATCTTTCCAAGCAAGACTTGTCTTTGATTTGTCTTTCAATTCTGGGAAACTTTTGTCAAAACAAGTTTTATTTTTGAAATAAAAGGCGTAAGTTTCTAAAGAAACTGTCGTGCTGCATTGGTGGGAGAGTGTAGCAGGTAATTTAGTGTTAACAACTTGGTTAAAAATGTAAATTGGCCTTCGTAAAGATTAAAAAAGCTGATGTTTCAAGTGTTAGCCCTTCATCAGAGCAATTGAAAGGCTCAGAGCAAGAACGACCCCTTGATTTTTTGGCCATTTTTGAAAGTGTTCAGAAGTAGTTGAATTTTGGCATGTGGACTTAGTTTTACTCGATATACACTGTTTTGATTTTTTTTTTTCGCTGGTTTGCGCTTCGTTTTCGAGAAATAACGTATGCAAAAAACCTTGAATTTCGTAGCGGCTTTCATTGAATGAAGCCGAAACAAAAGAAGCCTTTTGTTTCATCAAAACAATACAGCCTCCGAGAACTTGCATATTCATAACCAGCTTAAAGAAAGAGCATTTTTTTTGTTTTGAGTTTAAAACACCGTTTAGCAAACATAAAATATCCTTGAATAAACTCGCGCTACGGCAGAATTGAAGACAAAACCAAAGATACGTTGACATAGCCAAAAGTTTATACGAAAACGCCCCTGTCGAACGCTTACGCGAAGGAGTGCCGCCGGTTTATTTAACGATAAAATTTACAACGTGTAATCGAATGTTCTCGTAGCACAGTTGGTTAGGCATTGGACTCACAGTCGGACGGTTGGTACAGCTCTCTTTTTAACAAATGTCTTTTTTTTCGCTCACCCTTTTTTTTCCTTCTCTTTTTCAACTCGGGAAGAGGTAGGCCATTTTTGAGAGTTTGATACGTTGACATAGCCAAAAGTTTATACGAAAACACTCCTGTCGAAAAATTTTTTTTCTGACAAAGTACTAACACTCAACCTAGTTGTTAACACTAAGTTACTACTTTTGAAATGGTGGAAAACATTCTTGCCATCTCTTTCTGAACTGTTCAATGGTGTCATAGAACCGATAGAGCCTGTGCTTTCATCTTGCATTTGTGTTGCCCTACTTCACACATGTGGGAAGCAAATGCAAGCACAAGAAAGAAGAATTTTTTTAATCCTCTATGCCTTTTAAGTACCAGTAATCAGGGTAGTTTCTACTTCACCTAGAACCTTTTAAGGAGCTTCTAATGGGTCTGTACAAAAAAATTTTTCATTCCATGCTCTGATATACATTAATTAGATGAGAAAACACATGGTACATATTTTTTTTTGCAGATATTATCACCTTGTCTCATGGGGAATCCCCTTTGTAGTGGCCTGCTTACCTCTGATCAATGACCATTATGGACCTGCAGGGGCCTGGTGGTGAGTATTTACATTGTAGATTATGCAATTTGCAAAATGAATGAACAAGAAAAAAGTTTTGGCCTCATGTTATCATTGTTGTAGGTATTGAATGTTACTTTTTGCAGCTATGGTTCATGTTAGTTTGATTTTATTCAGGTGCATCTTATGATGTTATATTAAGGTATACTAATCAATAGCTTTCTGTTAAATTCAGGGAAAAACAGAATTGGAAACATAGCCATACTAATTAAAAAAATTAAAAAATTTCTTAGATTGTTATTGGTTAAAAAACTTTTATTTTCACTAATTCTCTTACCAAGTTGTTATGAACAGTTTGTTATCAAATGGTTCAATAAACCAATTACATTCAAAGTGGTAGTTTAAATCAACCAATCACAACCTTGGTTTCAACTTGGTCTGTAATCATACCTGTGATAAACAAATTGGACTCCCACTGCTTGTTTGTCCGATTTATTATAATTTGTATGATTACGGACCAAATGGGCTCCACTCAGTCCTATTACCATTACTTATTCTGTTGTTTTCCTTTCCACAAACTTGCATGTTAATAATTAAAAGGAGGAAGGGAAATATGAGTGATGAATGAAGTAGCTAGTGTTGGAAGAATATGAAGCTGTGTTAAAACACAAAATTAGCTACTCAATTTTAAAGAGCAGAATTTTTTTTCCAGTTGGATTTCAAAACAAAGTGACAACAGCGTAGCATGGAGATTCGCCACGTAAGTGAATGAGGTTATCAGTATGACCTATTTGCTCTATATATTTTTTTGGTAGCAAGATTTGAGTCATTATGGTCAGAGTTATGGCAAATATGTTAAAGTTTGGTAAATTTTGTAAATTAAAATATCATTTTACTCAAGGTATGACAGGGTGATTTTTGTACAGCAAAGGGTTAAATCTAGTGAGTGGTTACCATGTGTTGTTTAATCTAAATTGAAGGGAATTCTCACTCAAGTACCTTTGTAATTAAATTTTTCTACAGAAATGAATGTTATATTGAACTGAACATGGTTGTAAATATTCTTTTGTAACAGTTGCTTATAATCAAAAATGCTTTGTGCTTCTAATTCACAGATATTATATTCCTGTGTATCTCTGTATCATTGGACTTTTTGTTGTTTATTCTTACATCTTCATAACAATTAGGAGACAGGTCAGTTTTTTTACATGTCTTTGATCTCACAGACAATTGATTGAGTATTAATAGAACACTGAATCAATAAAATGGAACTGGAACTCATTACATGTCATTTTTTGGTCAGAGATATAACATCTTGTAATCTAGGAAGGAAAATGGAAATGCTGCCCCACTTTTCGTCCTTCATGGCCATCTTCATAGCTGTTTCATTGCACATGGCTTTTGTAAATGAAAATTTTGTTCACCTTTTTCTCCCCTTTTTAACTTAACTGTGAGTAAATTTCACTTCAAGTGAGTGTCTGAGCTGTATTTCAACTGGCAGATAAAACGTTGGGAGGGTACATACAATGCTGAAGCTGACAGAAGCAAAGTAAGTCTATTGAAACATTTTATCCGTATAATTTTTTGCATCTTTGCATAGAGACCCAGTTATCTTTTGCTTGACTCATTCATTTTGAGTTTTTCTCATTTTAGGATACAGCTGGGCTAGTGACAGCACAAACAAAACTTACCTGTTTTAACTTAAATTGTGTTTATTTGTTAGGAGCTGATGAAACAGGACATTAGGCCACTGATGTGGTACCCTGTAGTTTATCTTTTGACAACAATATGTCCTCTCATAGACAGGTTGGTGCAGCTAGTTGTAGTGATATAGTCTTTGTAGAACTTGCCATGCAGATAATAAAATATGTTTACTTTTGTATAGTTCAAGGTTTTTGTCTGCAAGATACACTTTGCAGAACAACTTTGGAAAACTAACAGAGGATCAGTGTAACCCAATAATATCAGTGAGAAACTAAGCCATATACTTTTTTGGGCTAATAAATTTTAGGCTCTCTCTTTTCCAATGTACTATTTCAATATTTAAAGAAGAGACAGTTATTTCTTTGAAATAAATAGCAGATTTACATGTGTATGGTGATAATTAACTTGTGACTACATAATAAGAAAAGGACAGATTTTTATTGAAACATGACTGCTTTTTTCATTGGATGGAGTGCTACATTCTGTTTACTTGGAATGGCTGGCTCAGAGACAAAGAAGCTGTAGGCATGTTCATTGTCAATGCATACTTGTTTGCAGAATTCAGAATGCAGCAAGCCCCCAACCCAATTTCACATTGCTGCTGCTTCAAGTACTGTCTAGTCCCCTGGTTGGTAAGTGGAATGCTAGGATCTTGAAGAAAGAATGGGAAAATTTTTTAAAGTTACCTCAAGTAATCTCTGTGATATCCTGTTTGTAGGAGTCAAGTTCTCAAACAGAGTCATAGAATCCTTAGCCTACTGATTGTCAAACGACCAAAAGTGGTTTATGATGCTGATGATGGTTATAATTTGGATGCTTAAGCATATTAATGGTGACAGATTATAAGTGACACAGTTTTTAAGTTTAAGTTTAAGTTTTAAGTTTACTTTGCAAAGTTAAAGAGAGCATTTTTGTATAGGGGAAAGAATTCTTAAGGGAATTTAGTGATATATGGATTACATGTTGTTGTGGCATAAGTAATACAAGCATTTCAACTTACAAGCTTATTTTGTTTAGGAATGTTAAATGCAATTGTCTTTGGTATGGATAAGGAAACATTGAGCAGGCTGAACTGCATCCAAATGAAGGTATGAATCACCCCTTTGTTGTCATTTAATATTTCCTAGAGTTGAATAACATTGTTGTTTTTGTATTTTAGGTTGCTTTGATACAACACACAGCAGCTAAGAAGCCTCTTGTTCGGGAGTATCCTGTTGGAGAAACAAATGAAGTCAGACCCAATGATGATTCATCCTGGTCCTCAGCTACATCAACAGAATCCCCATATCCACCCTCTCCCACACCAGTTGCTGCACCACCTCCTCCCTTAGATGAGCAGGTAGCAACCTAAGATGAAACAGGCTGCTGCTGTGTAATGTAATGTTCTATACTAAAATGGCCTGCTTTGTTGTAAAATTTAATTTTGGAAATCACGGTAGAATAAGTATTTCAGACATGTGCAACTCAACACCTTGAATTATGTAAGTACACCAGTCAGCATTTCAAGTGTTCGTTTGTTTGAGTATTTTTCTCTATGTACTGTGGAAGGACCACAAACACAACATTTGGCCTTTGCTGATTTTGACCACAAACCTACCTTATAATTGAAAGTTAAGAATTATTGCCCCTGGTAAAAGTTTCCCATCTACCGATCTTCGTTACCTGCCTTTCAGTTGATAACTATCATCGTTTGACTTCTCGAACAGTCCATGTTCTGTTGTTTCCGTTGTGTTTTTCACTGGGGAGATTAACGTGGTATATGTTTTGTGAGTGAATAGATCCTTCCATGTAAATCGGTTCACTGTAAACATAGCAAGAAATGTAAATACAAGCTATATTAAGGTTGTAATAATTATAATATATTGCCACTAGCACAACAGGAATAATTCAAGCATACTGTCCTATTCACTGAACAAACTCTTCCACATTCTTATCAAATTTGATCCGCCCTACAACCCCTCCCAGCTTGCAAAATAACTGTCATCCACGTGCTATTTTTGTTCTTTAATAAAACCGTGAAACGTGTTAGAGCTCTTTTCATTGTCTAAAGTGATTACTGACAAGCAGGTAGTTGTCAGTAAGAGCGAATATGAAATCAGAATGAAAGTGTTCAACAAAAAGGTTCCTGTGCTGTAATTCATATTTCTTACCAGTTCTATTTGCAGTGAGGAAATTCAGTCGATTCCCGATTACTTAAGCTTCAAGGGAAAGTGGCGAGGGAGTAAGTTATCAGGAACTGAAAAAGAAAAGAAAAGAATGGAATTTGGGAAAATACGATGGCATCTGCATTTTGATCACATTTAGTTACAAAGCACTACGCGAATATGAAAATGATACATTGAAGAGCGGGAAGGAAAAAAGGTGTGCATTATGTGCAATGGTCGTGTATCCCGGTGTCCCAGCGGATTTGGACCCCCCTAGAATTGGACCCCCCGGTCCAAATCCGCTAGCGGATATGGACCCCCCCGGTCCATATCCGCTAGCGGATTTGGACCCCCGGGGTCCATATCCGCTAGCGGATATGGACTCCCCTCCGCGGATTTGGACCCCTTTAACAAAACTGAGTAAAAACATTACCATGCATAACTTCCTAATAGAAATAATAAAAATTTAGAAAGTAGGCTTTCAAAGAAAGTTTTTTTTTCAGAAAGTAGGTTTTTATTTTAAAACATTCTCGTAGACGTGATCTATGACGCAATAGTTTGTTGTCATTTAATTCATGCGTAGGTTATTCTACCAACTTAAATAAATGTGTCAGAAATGAAACGATATCTGCCCTTTTCTTCGTCAATTATAGTACGCAATCTTGTGTTGAAATTTTAACGGACATCGCCTAAAAGCTCGCAGTTGGAACAAGTTACGAAAAAGGAATGTTTAGTTGGGGGGGGGGGGTCCAAATCCGCGAAGGGGGGTCCAAATCCGCTAGCAGATATGGACCGGGGGGGTCCAAATCCGCTAGCGGATATGGACCGGGGGGGTCCAAATCCGCTGTGACACCGGACGCACCTTGCCTTTCCACTATCTGTCATCATCTAAGTTTAGATTTGATTTCATAAAGGTGCGTGATGAATACTTCTAAACTAGGGAAACTTAAACAGTTTGGTGTTAAGCCAAAAAAAGGCCAAATCACACATATGCTTTAGGCAAACTTAACATTTTACACATTAGCCTTGTTTGTTTTACTTGTCAAGGTCTTGTAAGATACTGTTCAAGTTATCGAGTGTATACTCTTACAGAGAATTACCTGAACTGGAAGCAAAAGAGGGGTATATGTTAGCGTAAGGTTCGAGTTATGGACGGTTCGAGAAACCTGCAGAGTGGGCGAATGTTCGAGTTCCCATTTGCGAAATTGCAATTGATATTATACGGGGATTCAGGGAAAATCGGTTTTGTTTCGAGACTTAGGAGTTAGTAGGAGGTTCGAGTTGGCGAGAGGCGGAGTGAGGCTATCGGAAGTCGAAAGTATGTTTGTATGAGATAGATGCTGGATAAACGGCCCAAAATCATAAGAGGCGTGATCAGAAGTTTAAAACTGGGCACACATTTGGGCACGTAATTGTCAGCTTCTTACAATTAACCATGATGAGGAAGAACAGGTAATACCACTGTGGTATACCATTGTGGGACAGTTAAGTTAGACTAGCTTGAACACCACGCGTACAAACGGGAGGCACCAGGAGTCTTGTCAGGAAATTTATTTCATCCTCTGAGACTCTGTCTCACTTCGTATTACTTCAGCTCTTAGTACATGCTCTTATATGCGTTATCGGTAGGCATGTTTGGGCTTACAGGACAACTAACCCTGGCAGAGTAACCATAATTTTAGAATGCTGACCAAAACAATCTCACGAGACATTCGAAATGTACAACAACGTACTTATAGCGAAAACCAATCTTCGAGAACCAAAACCTGAAAAAACCTTCCGTTCAGGATTCTAAGCAAGGTCAAGGACAAATCCATACATGATTAGCGATGACGATTATCGAACAAGAATGAAGTCCTATCACAACGGTCAAGGACACATCACTCAAGAGGTAAAAATAAAAGTGAGGTCCTGGAGCACATAGCAAAACAAGGCTCACAAGATTCGCATAAGGATTTCAAAACATCCCTAATTTTAGTAGTTCCTAAACACTTACAATTTTAGTAGTTCATAACGTTATTTGAACCTAGCGAGATCAGTCAGACGATGAAAAATCTGACAATAGGCGATATTCAGTTATGAAACCTTGTCAGTTTCTCAGTCCATTTCTTCGACTTAAAGTTAGGAACGGCCTTATAACTTATATTACCACTTAAAATGGTCATTCCTTTCGGTGAATACAGCTGTAATGAAAATGCGTCCATCAACGCTGTCAAATACCAGCAAATCACAGTTGAGCATAAAAATTCATTAAGTGACGACATTCCAGTCGCCCTTACAGCCTTCAGACGACTTGAAATCGAAACGTCGTGATTCACACCAGTCTGAAGTAACTACATCGTGAAACGAACGACTGTTCTTCATTAGGAGCTATCATCATAGAGTAAAACAACAAAGGGGATACTATGTCTGTCAAATATAAAATTACAATCAACTCAGAAGGAACTTCTTATATAACTCAATGGCGGATCCAGACCTTGGGCTAAGGGGGGGAGGGTCGGTTTTTAGTCGCTTGTCCCACCTGACAGCCCAAAATTGGGGGGGGAGGGAGGGGGCGGGCCCCCCAAGCCCCTCCCCCATATCCGCCACTGTAAGTGCTAGTTGGGTTCGCTAATATTGATATTTGCTTATTGACATTGGTAGCCTATGCAAGAGAAAATTTAAGTCTCCCAGCTGGGGTCGTTCAGGAAAAGTACTCATTTAATAGTATTAGATCTTGTATTTGAGCGACCCGGGAATTCTGTGCACTGAGTCGGTTCTCCGAGCTGATGTTCTCCCATGGACCTGTCCATTCCTTGGTTCCACGATGGAAAATGCTGCTGAAAAGCCACCTACAAAAATAATTATTCGATGTTAAATTGGTTTAAAGCTTCATATTCTTGCAAGCCAATTCCACAGAAGGCCTCAGCAGGAGAGGAGGGTGATACTATGGTTACGAATGAGCCCTGTCCAAGAACCGTCATCTAAAGAATTTTGTACAAGACAAACCGTTAATCAAAATTTAATTCCCGCGTTAAAAATCAAAGGGTGAGGAGCGATTACGCATTAGATCACTGAACTTAACGTGTATAAAAAAGTATATTAGCATGCACGGTCAGTGGAACATTATTTTTTGTCAGCCTGGGGGGTTTCTCTTTCAGGTGGTCCTTTTTCAGACTATTCAACTCCATCGTTACTATTGGTGATATCTTGTGAGAGACTATAACACTAATTTACAATACAAGTCTTAGCCCACAAGAATCTTACTTCTGGTAACCTTTGAACCATGAGAAAACAAGGAATTGGTCACTCCTTCACTCTTTTGTACAACCTGGTCAGTCATTTGATGGATGTAAACCTGATTTCACATTTCACTGAGTTTCTAATCTTATTCCCTAACCTTCATATCAGCCCAGTTCAGTCTGTTGAGGGTTTCCTTGTTCACTCCAAATGCAATAGCATTAATCAATCCTAAACAGAGATAATTTTATTTGTAAGTCAAACTTCACAGCCCTACCTTGGCTACTGTCTTTGCCGTAGTATTAAGGATCGAAGACCAAAGAGGTTTACTTACCTGTTAAAGGTATGGAGATAACATGGAGGAGAATCAGAACAAAGCTTGGGTCTGAATAAACTGCGTTGTAAACTCTGCAAAAGCATGACAATGAACTTCTCATTTCAGTCACAGAATTAACCGCATTGACCTACTTTCCAAGATTTAAAAGCGCCTGAACTATCAAATAATACTTGGATCAAAGAGAGAACATCGGAAAGTACTGCAGGCTGGACATCACAGCTTCTTTCACAATTTGGAAAACTATGGTGAGTTTTTCCTTGGATAAAGAGAAACGTGATCAATTTTGGATAAAGTACGGTTTTTAAAGGCCCTTTTAAACGGTTTCAACATTTGACCAATATTCGTTCATTAGAAGGTGAACGGATGTTGAGTAAATTTTGAAACCGTTTAAACGAGCCATTCAACATTTTCGAGAACAAAGGAAAAGTTGAATCGATTTTGAATGAAAGTTTAAACCGATTTAAACTTGATTCAACACGCTTTCAACAAGCTTTCAACATTTTTACGTTTTCAACAACGTTGAACGAGCTGTTCAAACGCACCGAACATTTGGTTCAACAAAGTGTTGAATGCAAGTTGAAGCAAATGTTGAAACCGTTTAAACGGGCCTTAATGTCAAATCGTATGAGGATGAAAGTACGTACAATTAATTGAATCTGTCAAATTTATTACCCTAAAGTCTATGAGAAAACACTTGGCCACTCGACATATCCCGTAGAACATCCAAAAAAAGCCCAAATACAGAATTTATACTTGTCAGTATAAACCAATTAACTTAAGAACGAGGCTCTCGTGGAAAGTTACTAAAGGACAATAACCTTCTTGAGGGGCTCCAAAGTGTCCACAGTTTTTTCGCCAAATCTCATGATGTCGCAACTAGGTCATTTTTGACATCAATTTATTTAGTACATGCTCATTGGGATCACCACGCCTGTCGTACAGGCTCACATATTTTGTGAACGGAGTGGACCGCTCTGACTCACAATAATAATTATGTCAAAAATAGGTCCAATTGAAGCTATTGTGACTAGAGCGTGTGGGATCAGGGGTTCGAGAATGCTACAGCAGAGAGAGGTCGGACGCTACTAAGTTAATAATGATCTCCATCAGCGATAAAGTTTTTTAATGCATGGGTAAACATCCTACACTGCTTGTTTTACAGCACTGCTTCATCCTGTTCGCGGTTGACGATGCTTTTTAGGTTTAGCTCGTGTGATAAGTTACCTGTGTATGAAAGGAGCCAACGACAGCACAAGATAAATGAATGGGTAGGCCATCAATGAATTAATGTGGTTCATCAGTACCTGAAACGTGAACGTAGCATTTTTGCGTGTTAAACAGATCTACAAATCAAAAACAACAATAGGATCAAGATCAGTATCTGGGCAACTGCCTACTTGCCCCTCACCTAACCCAACATTAACCCTAACTTGTTATCAATTGACTGTTGTTGGGTTAGGGGAGGGGTAGGTGGGCATTTGCCTAGACACGCATCGCAACAGGAACGTACAGTCCACTTCGCGGAAGGCTTCGTGACCGTTCACTGTTCGCGATGTCACGTGGAGGAGCGATGCGTGACAAGACTAGAAAATACGGTCTGCAACTTGGAGAATGGAGTCTCATCACCAGTCCGCAAAGACACAGAGGGATTACTTACTCACCCTTCTTTGTTCAACGTCTGCCGCATTATTCATTCTGTGAATTCCTTCCCAGCGTTGGACCTAAAATCGTAGGTTCATCTCACTTCAATGAGCAAAAGTACGCTTTCACGAGATAGACCTTACAAGGAAATTTTATTATTGACCGATTCAATAGAGGCATTGATATTTGAATGCTAATCAATTGGTGATTGTTACAACCTACAACTTTAAATTTCCCAACTTTCCTACAACGATAACTTATACATGTTCATTTAATGTAACGTACATTCCTAATTTCTGGACTATTTCCAGTTTCGGCTGATCTGCCTCATTAACAGAGAATCGCTTCTCTTAGTCCAGCTCATCCGTTTGCCAGCTTACATTTTGTCATCCTTGGTCGACAATTCTACTGCAATCTTTTCATCTTTACTACTTTTTGAACAGGAAAAGTGAACCTTTTATTTACACTTAAGAAACATTTGGTACATTTTTTTGGCTTTGGAAGGTAAAATGAATGGTCACACGCAGAACTAGACGGGGGGCTTGTCTGATAAAACTGAGGGAGTGACTAAAGAACTAAGTTCATGGCACGGCCACTTCACTCAAAAATACCAGCCCTTTGGCGATCAAAGATCTATCGATGCACTTCGGACGCGTCGAACTACACAGCACTTAGTTACTTATCTTAAAACATAAACACCGATAATCACATGCTAACCTGTCGCCGGTGAGTAACAAATATGTAAATATAGGCAACGAAGAGTCCAATGATGCAAATAAACAAAGGAATGTAGTACCTGATAAAAAATGGAGAGAAAGAGTCAGCGGCAACGTAAATTAGCTTGCATCTGTAGAAGGTAAAAGATATCTCATATCTTGTTATGGTAAGTCTGATCCTCGTTCAATGAACAGGTTCCACTGTCAGTCAAGAGGGAAGGGGGGAGGGGAGGGCCAACGACAATCTTTTGTGGATAAATAAATTATTAGTTGATTATCTGCCTGGTAAGATTAGTGTTGATGAAATGATAATTTTGTTTATCCAACAATCTCGACTAGATGTTTTTCAGGCGAAGTCATTAGTATATTCATGAAAAAGGTGACTGTCTGAAGTGTCTTGGATATGAGTGCAATCTTACGTTGCAAATCTCCATATGGCGCTTTTTTCAACATCGCCTGCTACCCAGCTGCAAAAAAACAAACAAACAAAAAACAAAAAAAACGGTTCATTTAATTAGTCATTGAATGCAATAATATACATTTTCTGGAAACTAGACACAAATACGGATACCCAGGTGCATGTAATGGCAAAATCTACACAAGCTTTTCTTGTGTTACCGAAACTGATTTCACCTTAAGTTCCATACGTTTAGTTTGTCGTCTAAAAAGCACCTGGAAAGCATTTTAAGAGCATGTGAATTAAATCGTCCCATTGATGTAAAATTGTTTTTGCTTATGCTGCCCCAGTAGCCCTCTAAGTATACATGAGAACACTAACACTCACGGAAGTGTTAAGAGCCTTGACTTGTGATTGATTACAAAAAACCCCAAATTTTAATAGGCTCCAAATGGTTTCCTTGAGTTTAAATACCTATTCTTTGATGGAACAATGCTACCAACATGTGTGTTCCCTTTAAGATAGTATCAAAAGAATGTTGATTTATCTTTCAAAATGTTTTATTCATTTTTATGTTATAATAGATCTCCATAGCAACAACTTGGCCTTGTTAATAAAAGCCAGTAACTCAAAAATGATTTCTGTCACCCCTGTTTTAAATTCACTGAATTGCAATCAGTGTGTCAGTACTCATCTTTCTGCCAAGTTTTGAAGTACATACTGCTCAGAGCCACCTTAACTCATGAAAAAATACAGTGTTTCTGAGCTGTGCGTCCCATTTTTTTTTTAAAAAAACTTTACAGAAATATAAATCTTGATATACTCTTAACAATTTGGTGATAAAATGGGGTTACAGCTACCTTGCTTTAAAGTTACAGGCAGATGATACAAGAACTAAGGGTTTCTATAAGAGGCTATACTGTTGCTATGGCAAATTTAATTGTTAAAGAAAATGGTCACAATTTTTTGAGAAATAATTGAGCAGTTATTTTAAACCAAATCTAAGAAGGGAAACACAAAAATTTATAGAAACTATGTGATCTATCAAAATATTGGAGTTGTAAAATATCTAAACCACTTGGAGCCACCTTGGTCCTAGGCCTCCTGTAGAGTGCATGAGTAAATATAAATTTTATACACATATTAAAGCTTGTGTTAACTCCATTTTTAACAAAATGCTACTATGATTTTATAAAATTTTTGACCCAGGTGATTATCCAATGATTATCTGGTATGATGGCTAACACATCAAAAAGTACTGTACCCACAAGAACAGTACCTTGATTATGTTTAAGGTTGCATAAACCACCTAAACTAAATTAATAAATCAACACTCCACTTTAGACTCTGTAAGCATAGCATCCTATGTACTCAACTCCCCCAAAGACTCACCACCATGGTCCAGCAGGTCCGTAAACATTTTCACTGAATGGAGCACTGGCAAAGATGACTGGTACACCCCAAGACACAAAATGATACAACCTGAATAGAAATGCTGTCAATGTCATACTTAAACTCACATATTATTGTTGGCAAAAAAAAAACAAATTAAGTGAAATCCCATTTGGACCTTAAGACTTGTTTCAGAAAATAGACAAATAATTGTTTGACTCACTTTTCTAAGCGTTTGGCTCTGTCTCCCCTCAAAGCTCTCCAGATATTGAAAGTAATACAGCAAACCCAAAACAGAAGCGCTAGTACTGAAAATGTAACATACTGATGAATTAGTTGATGCAACAATCTAATTTGACACTGGGTTGCAAATACCTTTGACCAAGTCATCCAGTTCTTTTAATTGTCAGAGTTATAAACTGAGGCCAATTCTAAGCTTATGATGGGTTCCAAAATTAAAGCAGTAAAATTAACATAACATTGTAACATGAGAATTGCTTACCAATGATTGCTTTTGATTTATAAATTTAACACAAATCCATTTACCAAAATATGTAATGAGCCATGCTTGCAATTCACACAAGGGTCCTCTCTCCTGTGGGACATCTGTCTGTTAATGAATGAATGAAATTCACAAAAATATTAACTTTCCATGCAATCAATTCTGGCTCCAAGAGAAAACAAGTCCCATCTTCCCATCTAACAAAATATTAACAAAGAAAACCGCCTGGCAGAACCATCACTCAAAGATATAAGTAATCCAACCACTATCCGCACCAAAAGTGAGGTAACATCTGGATATCAGAGGCAAAAAGCGACCAAGAAAACTTAGTTCAATTTGGAGAAGAACTACTGCAAAAGAACAAAGTCAGTCTATCTGTCATTGGATGAGGGGAAAAAATGTTGCACAAAGTGGAGTCATACCCTAGAGCCAGCTTTTGAGCCGCTTGGTACAAAAAAAAAAATTCAAGGTATTATTTAAGGCTATCAATTTTGAATGCACAAAATTTGAGGAATTTTTTTCAAGAAACCATATGATTTGTTCATACCAAATGACCCCATGCTATAATGATATATATTTTTTAAGATCAGTCCCTCTTAACTTGGTCATATTACAGGCCAGTACACCATATATCAAGTTTATGTATGCTAATTATTGAGACTAGGTTAACTGCTTACCAGCATAAATGAAATGCTTCCACATAGAGCTGCAACACTGAGTGCTAGAATTAATCGCTGAAATGTAACCCAAAATATTTTTCATTATCATTCATGATATAATGAAGAAGACTAAGTCACAATTTAGGGTGACTTGGGGTATTCCAAGTGTATGTGTTGCACAAAGTCCAATCAGACTAAAATACAGTGGGGTGCCAGAGACCTTGAGCTGATAGCAATGAGCATTTTGATATTTTAGCGGGTGTAAAATCTTGCACATTTATAAGCTCTTATAAGCATAAGTTTAGTGTTCAACAACCTTATTTCCAGGGTTTCTTCTTGTCCCTGGGAACAGGGTTGCATGTTCAGAAAATTTGCAAGGCAGTTCTTAAGTATATCAGTATTCTAGATAATTCTTTAAAAGTTCTCTGATCATGTGTACTTTAGGTAGTGTTGGGTTGATGCAACTGTCAAAAATGCAGTACTTGTAGTGGTTGATATGGCGGTTGACATATCACATGATTGTCAGTTGATTGTTGGTCAACAGTCAGTTGACAGGTATGCAATAATCAGTCAACAGTTGGCTAATATATATGGGTCAAGAGTCGATCAACATCATGCTTGATAAATTTCAATGTTCCACTAAGCACTTCACCTACACTTCACCAACAATTCAATGGTACTCCACTGAGTATGAGTTGCCTATTGGTTGATTGTCTGTCAAAGCTCAATTGACGCATGTCGATACTTCACTAATATTTCACTGCTAGCCAAACCATTTTGGAATAAAATAGAATAACATTATTAGAAAATAGATGAAAGTTTACAAATTTCTTTGACTGCTGTGACTGGTTTTCTTGTAATTTCTTGTCCACATAATCTTGATCTTCTCTCACACCTAAATTTGCAAGGATCTGCATGGTTTTGTGGGACAGTTTTTTAAAAAAATAGGGTTGATGTTGTCTTGTTACAGATCATGGATGATGTCAATTTTGTTATGGAAGAGGAGGTCCAGGGCAGGGTAGTCACTGAGAGAAGTTAAGATTTAAGTCTGATGAGCATAGTCAGGTGCTGTACCCAAGAATAGACCAACTCTTGACCAATAGATTAATAACACTTTACTGAGACATCAACAAGCCACACATCAAATGCCTGTCAGTCAACATAATGACTGAGTCTAGATGGATAGTCCATCTGTCTGTTGACCAACTGTTGACCAATACATCTGTCAATATGTCAACATATTGTTTTACCTGGTGGAAATACTTGTATGTTTTAAATAACCAGATGATGAAAATAACGAACAAGCTGCAAAATAACCAAAATTAATTAATACCTTGGAAAGACGAATAAATAGAAATGTAAAGAGGGATTGCCACGAATACATCCGAACAGAAACCTTGAATTCTCAGTGATTAAAGAATTTTAAATTCATGCTTGTTGTTACTGCTTTAAAGAGCAATTCCTTTTCTACCCAAAGTATTAGGGGGTATGATCCAAACGTAGCATGCAGTCAACATGAATATAGGTCACTTTTGTTGATAAAAATGTTTCACCGGCGGAAAAAGTCTTTGGAAATTTGGAAAAAAGAACATAATGAAAGCCTTTATTGAAGCATAAACTCATAGTTGAGTCCGAGCCAGTGGAAAATATCTTTGCGCATTGTAAATCACTGCAGGAAATTTGTGTTTCGTTCATTATGCTGGTCGTGACGTACTATCCCATGTTAACGGCTCAAGTGAAAGTTATGACTAATAACGATTGATGGGAAGCAATCCTCGTGAGCTGATTTTAGAAGATCTCGGATTCTACGGAGGCCTCAAACACGGATTATGTTTTAACGATGTACTCTTCTTACATTTTCGTACTTCTCTTGCTCTTCTACTCTTGACATAACTTATAAAAGTAGATGGATGCGTAAGTTCGGAATATTTTTACGACTTAAAGAGCACGACTGAAACAAATTTGAAAGGAAGTAAACGCTGATCCTTTCGAAATCACCCAACTTCCGATCTCATCCAAAGTTCGCGACTGCTTTCGAATCGCGCGCTCAGGTACAATTTGACGTTCACAGAGTCTCCCAAGATCATCATGAGAATAATATCATTCAAATTTTAATAAAGATTACCTTCCAATCAGTTCCAACGAAGACACGGTTTGTTTCACGGCATAGATCACCGTCTGAAACATCAGCATAAAGATCAGTAAATAGACATTCGAGGTATAGCAAACTTCACTCGTATAGTAACCTACACAATAGTGCTGCTTGTCCAAAAACAACGTGCAGTTGTTCGCCATATTGATATGTTGATGAAAATTGTTTAGTTTCCATCAGGAAGTAAATCTGTTCGAACTCCCTGTCACCCTTATTTGGTCACACCCAGTCACGCTCGCACCAGGACCTTCAGGGAACAGACGGCGTTGGGCCCCTAGAACAACGCTTGCAACAACGCCTCAAAGTTGTTCAAATTACCTCTTTGACGGTACAATTTGCTCACGTGAGGTGTAAAGTTCTTTTCCAAGAAAAATACCAGCTAAAGAATTCAGACCAACAAATACTTATGAAACAGAGCCGTACTGTATGGGGAACCTCAATTGTCTAAGAGCGGTACAATGTTCGAACACTGATTGTAGAAAAGTGGGATCAATCTAGCAAGTGAGAGAACAGTTAACCTATCTTAGAGATCCTTTCACGATAGCTGATAGACTGTAAGTCTCTTCACTTTTTGCTTTTTCATTCCAGCACCTCGCCTTACTTCGTTGAACAGTTATTCTTACTGTTCTGACAGTCTTTCCCGATGACTAGTCGAGGCTATTTGTGAAGGCTTGACAACTCATACACATGTCTCAAAACTGGTTTTTATTTAATATAAGAATAAATTTGACCTGCTGTTAACACGACCTGCAAAATATCTCTATGTAATTATTTGATTTCCACTTTTTCAATCACAAAACTATTTAGTGTATAGATATATATATATATATATGGAAAAAAAGAAAATGAAAAGTTTTTCTTCTTGTCACAAATGAAGATACAAATTTTATACAAAAATAGTCTAGTCTCCGATAAAATTTATAGATTCAAATAACAAATCCAGTGTTTATTTTAGATTAAAAAAAACATGAACTGGTACATGGAATAGCTATTTCAAATTTTTTTCTCTACAAAAATGTCCTTCCTGCGGGAAATCACGTTACATAACTAAACTAAACCTATTTGCAATAATGTCTTTGGTAAAAATGGCTTTGCTCTCCAGCCAAAGACGCCATTTGCAATTGCTCTTGGGAAATCACAAGCAATGAAAACTCTTTTATACAATCATCAAATAATTACAATTTAACCCTAGATATGTATTTGTGGAGTCCTTTCCACATTTTAAAACAGTTATGGTATCAATGTAATGGCTAGCAAGATTAGATGACAGAATATGAGTCACGTTTCCTAATATATGAACTATTTCCAATTTACTGAACTAGTGTAGGACTGTCAAGTTGAAGTCATGATTACTCATCCAATTAATTTGCGTATTTCTTGATGGCACCAAGAATCTGAAAGAGAACAGCAAGACACATCAGTTTCCATTTGTGCTACAGTTGAACAGTCTATTATAGGGTTCACTATCGACCAACCTCAGTTCAACGTCACATTGTTATCCTTTTCTTTGAACTTTATGTGAAAGACGATCTTTAGGCATTTTAGTCTGTTAGCAAACGCTGACTATGCCACATAAATCTCTGCATTGAGCCGCATGGGGTTAAATCTCATAGGATAAGATGCCTTAGATGGAAGGCTCGAAACAATTTCCTGGTAGGCGCCGGTCAGGTTGTCCTGTCAAATCTATTTTTGCTCGGATATCGGATAAACATCCATTTCGTCATGTAAACGTACAGCAAAAAAGAAGAAACACACACACATACCGACTTTGAGAGGTTGCGAATACTTCACAGTATTTAATTACGTTTAAATACAAACTGATCTCACCATATTATGATAGTCATTGGGAATACCGGCTTCTAACAATTCTTGTTCCGACAACTGACAGAGAAGCTCCAAGCTATCTGCGCCAAAGTTTATGAGGTTGGTTGTGAACTGAGGAAGTCCGATTCTGTCCATTATCTGTTCAACTGTTTTGGGTTTAGATTTCTATTACAGAAAAGTTAAGAGAATTGATGGCAGAGGATGCTATAAATACAGCAAGAAATTCATATTCAAATACGTTAAATTTTGTCAATTGCAATGGTCGCCAGGATACCTTTGTGGGATATGATGAAATCAGGCGGTTAGGGTGTTATATATGTTGATACAACGTGACTTAAAAAGAGAAAAGAAATCAATTAGTTTTTGTTCGATGAGCAGCGTGTTCAATTCTCTTCGTTGAAAAAAGGCAACTTTCTTGACTTAGAGAGAATTTTAGAACAACCATTACAAATTTTACTATTCATAAAACAATCATATAAACTCTACAGAATGACCTTCCGCTCTGATTTATCAAAAGAAAGGTATATACCTTGACGGGTAATGGGGGTGGTTCCCTGGGCGCCTGAAAAAAAGATCGTAGTCGTTAAAAATGATCACCATCTATCAACTATTTTTGCTTGTGCGCGATTGGTCTAAACGTAGCACTTGACCGAATATGCCTCAGCTTTTGAAAACTGGGGAGTATCCGAGAATATTCCCTAGGTGATATTCCCCAATTTTCAAACCTTATCCAGTGAACAGTAAGACGTTCGTAAAATATTTTTTTCATACGCGTTGCAAAAATATTTGAAAGATAATAAACACAATAGCCTCCATTTGCCGCGAAAAAATGCTGGTATATTAGTCCTTAGACATCATCGGGTCCTCGAAGCACACAGTTTTCCGCGAGCTTCGTTGTTAGAGAACTGTTCGCATCTCGGAACAGATACTGTAGGGGGACAAACATCCGTGTATATTTCGCGCCAAATGGAGGCTATTATTTATTCATCCAACAAAAATTTGAGAGCTGAAAACTTGACGGGTAGGAGCTTTTAAAATACCGTAAAACACTGTGTAACAAAAATTCACCCTCAGAGAAAGTTGACCTCCGACACTGTAACATTTAACCGTATGGAAAAGTATCCGAATATAAAACAACCGGTCATTACGAATCCCTCTTCACCTCACACAGTACTACTAAGGGTGAAAATGAAACAAGCTTGGTTGAAGCAAACGAATAAAGTTGAAGTAAATAAAAAAACCAACCTTTGTGTCGTCTGTCTGAGGGGCCGAATGTCGTTTAGGGATAACTGGAGGGATATCCTCACCACGGTGGCCATGCCTGGGTAGAAAGACACAACCAAGTTAAATGTTTTCAACCGAAAGTAAGTGATCTCAGTGAGAGAAGAATGGATGCTACGAAGAAAATTAATGTGGAGGTGTACGGTATAGAATTAGAGCATGATAAAAAGCTTCAAAAGGACGAGTGGGCACATTTTATTTTGACAACATTGTAAGATTGTTTGAGTATTGAGAAACATATTCTGAAAATAGTTACTTACAGATTTGTAAGATGGGTACTATACTTACTTTTCAGCCGAAAACACGTCTGAAATAGAATATCATCACAAAACCAAAATTAGTATTTGTGGACGCTGTTATTAAATCTTAAGCTTAACTTGGTGTCGCTTCAATATTTTCTGGCACCAATATTTTCTAATAGGTTGATTGTCAGAATTCTTGCCAAAAAAAAGCTGACTGAATGACGAGCTAATTGACTGAACTGACTGACTGACTGACTGACCGACTAACTTACTGACTGACCCCCAATGACCTATTGATAACTATCAATGACTAGGCACTCAGTGCTGACTTTAGGGCGAGCGACCGACTATTTACAGAATGTGTCACAGCCGCCCCATTCACCATCGGCAGCCTCTTGAAACCCATGAGAAGAGAGCCTTTACGGAGGACATTTAAGTTATGTAATTCATAAATATTTTATTTCATTTCTGTTAACAACCTTGTGGCGCAAGGCTTTTGCGCTGTGGTACCTGGGGCGTTTTCACTGACCCTCTTCTGTTGACTAAAAGTAAAAGGAATTATACAATCTTTAATAACAAAGTTGTCACCATACATCTCATTCTCATTGCCGCCGCAGTCAGTAACCAATTGACAAAGGACCTGGCAGCTACGAAACTCGAGGAATAGTCTCCGTCATTTTCAAAGCATTTCAGTAGAAAAGTAAAACACTTACTTTCTTCCAGATTAGCCTCGCTAATGAGATCTAGGTGAAATAAAGTGACATTAGTTACTTAACGTCTTTTTACAACAGTAGTGACCCATCTTGGACAAGCATCTTTTCGAAACCTTGGAAAAACACTTAAAGGGCACATACTCACTTCGTTACGAGACGGTATGTTATGATTTTATAAAGTATTGCTGATCTAAAGATGTTCCACTCCCCTCCCCTCCGCAAAGGAAATATTCTTGGAAACAAAAGGAACAGTTACCTCACGAGACCATAGTTACACTGTTAGACTGAAAATGGAAAACGATTGCACAGTAAGGAGGATGTGCACTTTGCATGTGCTTGTACTTAATTGATCCAAGACGGTTCGCTATGATTGTAAGAGGGTTGTAATATTCCAAATAAAGCGCTATCAGACACTGCCTGCAAGAAATGAGCGGGTTGTCGCCCAGACATTTTCCCCTGTTTATTTTGATTTAATGCCGTTAAATTCGTAATCTCAACAGGTTGTTCTTCCACTAACAAACGGACGGTAAAAAAACTGCTTTAAATTCAATGTTAATCATTACCAGAGGACTGTGAAGACATCTTTGTGTTGTTGTTGTCAGGAAGCTTCACGTGCATCTCAATGCTGCCGAGAAACAGATACTTATTCCTTCACCGGTACAAAGAAAACTACAGAGAAAACTACATCATTTTAAGTTCTCAGCTGTATTTCAGGATGACAGACAACGTACCTCTTCCAAAAAAACTGTTGAGACTTGAAGAAATCGATTAAAATTACAGATTTTATGTCACCAAGTTACAATGTTAATAGTGAATTATAAAGTTAGTTAATTTTAGATACAGACTCAATTGTAACGTGTACAGCAATCAGATCCTTCTAAAATCACGAGCAGAACGTAATCTTACTTGATTTCTCCAGTTTTCTCGCCCAGATGCGATAGTATGATACCTTTACGCTTCTGAGGAATGACATTTACCATTGTTCTGAGCGCAATGCAGCACTCTCCTGTAAAAAAAATTATTTCCCAAGAACTGTCGGCAGACTACGACTCCCTCCCTTAATTTACTATTTATCAATCGAGAGTTAGATCGTTAGAGAAAAATCTAAAAGTGAGGGCTTACCCGAATTGACCATGCAACAGTAAGGTAGA